CCTGCCTCACCGTGTATTTGGGATGACTGCAGTTACCAGCTCCAGATGAGACCTTCAGCTTACACTGTAGTCATAGCTCAGGCTTTCATTCAGTTGCTCCCTGAAAAAAGTATGTCTTGCACCCACTACTGCAGCTATTTTAATCAAAGTCTCCAGCAATGGAAATAACCCACACTGGAATACCTACACTTCCAAAAATTAAAATAAAAATGGCTGTAGGATCCTTCTGCAGAAAAGTATCTGCTTGCCCTTAAAAGTGAAGGTCCTGCTCTTATACTGCCTTCAATCCACAGCTGTAGAGCCATGGGTATTTAAGCTGTTTCCTTAAACCCACAATGCAACCAACTTGTAGGATGTAAAAGGCTAAAAAAAAAATTAGGCAGGGAATTTGGGAAAATGAAAAATTAAGTAGGAATGAGAAAGACTATCTTCTACCTGGCATGAGAAGGAGTATCTTCTGACTCTTATGCAGTGCCAGGGAAAGGATTCCAACCTAGTGATAAAACCGTCAAGTGATATAAAACTTAACAGGATCTCACTGTCTTTTGGTCACTTTTCCCTCCCTTTCTAATCACTTTTGAACCCAGCAGTAAATTTTAACCGCCTATGGCAGGCAGGTGGGAGCCTCAAAGATATTATGTTCTTACAATGTCCTTGAAAATAGGCAAAAGATTTAGCAGAGAAAAATTGTCTCTCAGCCCTCAGCAAAGAAAAGGCTGCAATGCAAGTTCAGTATTTATTAGAAACGCAATCGCCATAAGATATCAACCTCAGTGGACAAAGCTACAGAAAACCAGGCTTTACTAATTTAGTTGTTCAGGCAATCATTTGTTTAAAACAAAAACTACATGTTTCTGCAAACAGGGAAAAAAGTCCTTCCCCAGTCTGTTTTTCCTAACTGTATTTAAGTGGAGTACACTACAATATTCCACATCAGACCTCAGACAGCTAGTTTCATCTTCAATCATGATTAATAGTGGTGGTGTGGAGAGGCAGCTGTGAGAGGTGGTAAGACCCACAGCTAAATTTCTCTTTTTTTTTTTAACTGACCGGCTCAGGTTAAACACAATAAACCAGACCCAGGGGGACCATTTGCAGGAGATGTGTTTTGGGGAGCATCGCGTGGAGAGGAGCCAGGAAGGCCAGTGGCACCACCCCATAGCGCTGCAGTGCATCACACCACCCACATGCCCCAGTGATGCCCTGGCATCCTCGGAGGACACCAACCTGGACCAGGGTGAAAGAGCCACCCTTTTCACCATGTAATGACAAGAGGAGACCACAAGGACAGGACTGCAAGCCCCATTCCCAGCTTGCAGATGCAAAGAGGGAGTGCCAGAGAGGCAGGAAGCCCTGGAGCACATGGGGGGCTTCCCTCCCTTGTTCCAAAAGCCATGAGCTCCAGACATCGTAAGACTGGCCTTGGACAATCTTATACACAAAGCTTTTTTTTTTTTTTTTTTTTCCAAAACCCCTCAGAATTAGAAGTCTGGGTATAAAATGAAAATCTGATACTCTTACTTGTGGCAAATCTTGCTGCTTTTACTACATGATATGATTTCTGAGTGCAGAACAATATTAAAGAAAGCACTCAGGATTTAACAGACCTACAAAAATAGCTTTATAAGCTTTAATAATTACCAGTTCTAATTGAAAAATCCATCTTCCTGAACAACCCAGCTACAACATACTGTCCCCCCCCAACTAATGTTAACTATCTAAATTACATTTATTTAACTCTGGAAAAAACATATTCATTGTAATAAAGATTTTCCGCAACAGCTGCTTTTCTTAGCCATGATCTCAACTTCATTCTCTTGAGAATAACTACTGAAGAAAAGCCAAATGTAAAATCCTGTTTCCTGTCAATTTAAGCAGATGTTTTATGTAATCAAAAGCATTGTGGAGGCCCAAGCCAAACCCTATTCTCACTGCATTCTCAAAATAGGTCTACCAATGAAACACTAGCAAACGAATAAACAGTTAGCAATCTTATTACAGCTCAGAAACCAAAAAATCGCAATCCTCTTTAAAACAAGGTTGTACTTTGCCCAATAAAAATCAACTGCAGAAATTAAAGTTTAGGCCAAGTTCCTTGAAAGCATGTTCCCAGGGTCTGCTTGGCAATAATACAAGTCACACCGTAACGTTAATTAAGATTATTTTAAATAAATTTTGAGTGCGAAATCAGCGTAACCAAAGTACACTGAAGTTTGGCAGCTTGCCGCTGTATCCTTTAACAACAGGAATCTGGGCTGTGAAAACTGAATGCATTTATTCTGACAGGCACCATCAACTAGATGTTTAGCATGGTTTGACCCAGAACCAAAAGTACCAATTCACTCATCATGTCCTCCACACCAGGAAAATTTGCTGGTGTTAAAAATGGAGGAAAAAAGATAGTCAAGCAATATTAACTCACAATGCAACTCTGGTGTCAGCTAGAGATATCCATGCACGGTTACTGCACTTTCACAACTCAGAAGGACAATACCGAATTTCTCAAGTCAGTTCCAGGAAAGCAGATCCACAGAAACAGAGAGGCAGATACAAGATATACATAGGGCAAAAATACTTTATACAAAAAAACCTTACCCCATGGGTTATCAAACCCATTAAACTAGTATACTGTACAGAAAACGGAGGGACCCAATGGGAGTGTTGTTTTTCAGGGCTCGTATGAAGTTCCATCTTTCCTCAAGCACATCATCTCTGTTTCTGGAGGCAGGGTTAACTTCACTGTCAGGGAGATATTCAAGGAGAGGCCAAATTCCTTCTCTGTTTTCCAGCTTGATTAACAGTACCCACAAAACGCCTGAGGAAGTTGGGTTGAGAGAGAAAGAACTTCTATCCCTTTTGTTTTTCTTGTGTATTAATCATGTTAAACAAACATGCCCTCATCAAGGTTGGAATAAATCAAGTAATGAAGGCAAAGACCATTTTTCCTTTTTAAAAAGTTACACCTCATGCTCTTGAAACATGGTTTATGCCACTTACCATCTTAGCCTATAAAAAGGTTACCCACACTAAGTTCACTGGTATAACTCCAGCAATATGCCATATTTAGCACAGATAAGTCTTACATCAAAAATAGTGCTTGAACCAGCAGAATACATCTCCCCAGGGTATTGCACAATTCTGGCCCTATGACTGCAACCACTTTCGGGCTTTTGTTTTGTCTCCAACATCACTAAGGAGTTCTGTTTATTTACACACTCCAAAGTGATACATCAGTGTCAATATAAAACACATTACTATCACATATTACTACACAGGGTAGGAACAGTGCCTTTAGGAGTGTCTCAAAGTTTGGCCATGGTAAAGCCATGCCATTCACCACACAAGTCTCACAACGGTTTCATCCTCTTGGTATTAAGCTACTTCTCCAGGAATTAAATCCAAAAAACCCAATGAAAATGCAAACAGCCATGAGCCACTGCAGTAACAGCACCTACTAACAGCACCTTGTTGAGCTGCTCCAAAACTTGTTTCACATGCTGCCAAAATGCATGTGAAGCAACAGCTTCAGAGAGCCCCCGCTTTAAGAGGAATATTAGCAGATGCAGGTACTGGTGTCCCCCAGGACCACCCAGGGCTATTTGGCAAGGCACAGGGGAGCTGACAGAGAACAGGCGTGTGGAGGCACGCTCAGTAATCCTCCTGGCCCACTAAAAACTAAGAGAACCGCAGCCAGAAGACCAAATCTAGCCTGGGATTTCAACCTTCAGGAAATATCTGAGATTTCTTCCAGGTGGTTCACACAAAAGCAAGAGAATAATTATATGCCGAGGGTGGTCAGAGTGACCAATGAAGAAATAACAACAGAACTAGGACCCTAAGGCGTTTAAATAGGTAAAACTACAGGAATAAGCTCACTGGCTAGTCTGTTGCAGACAGGACAAGTAGCAACGTGTTTCTATTGCAGAAGTAGAGATCTGGGAAAATGAAGCATAAAATAAAGTGCCCGGGGGGGAGGGGTGGGGGGGATGCAGCCTAACACCAGGCTAGAGACAACTGGTAAGATCAGGAGTCCTTCCCTTGAGCGCAACCAAGGAGGAGATCTGGATGGGGCCTCACGACCACACTTCTCCTCCAAGTCCACGGTCCTCCATCCATCAGAACTGGTTCAACCAAGAAGACAGGGGCACTGCAGTATGACACGGAGCGCTGATTCCGCACCCCATGGATGCTGGAGGACGCAGGTCCTGTCCACCCTCCATCACCACTTGCTCTCATATTTCCTCTGCCAGTACCTGCACTTGCTGAATCTTTCCACAACCCAAATTTATAAGAGTTTGTGAAAGGGTCTGAAGAATGCCAGACAGCCAGCCTGCAGCTAAGAGAGAAATTAAGACCAATCCACTTCTTATACCACGGGGCTCATCTCCCCACCAGAAGGCACCAGTGACAATTATCTAAACAACTCTGGTAGCTCTAAGTGACCTGTCAACCCTCTGGGAACTGCTCCTCGCAGCGCAGGTCTTTGGGAAGGCTCCTCTCAGCGTCCCCGTCCCCGCCTGCACCCCACTGCCCCGCCACAGCTCCCCAGGCGGCCGCGGCCGCCTCGGGGAGACGAGCAGCGTGCAGCTGCCGGTGCTCCCGAAACCCGAGGGGAACTCACCCGGGAAACTCCGCAAAAACACCGCTGCGAACACGCACAGAGACAAGCTCTGCCGCCAGCCACCCCCTCGGCTCTATCCGCCGCCCTCCCCAACCCCGCTAAGAGCGCTTCTGGTTAACGCCTCCATTCCCCCGGGGAGGACGGCTGCCCGCGGAGAGCTGCGGCCGAGGGGCAGCGCCGGGATGCGGCGTCCCGTCCCGTCCCCCGCCACCAGCCCGGCCCCGCGGGGCGCTCCCCCGGGCACCCGCTCCCCGCCACGACCGCCGGAGCGCTCGGCCGGGCCCTCAGCGCCGTCTCCCGGGGGGTCCCCTCCCGCCCCCCGCCCGGTGCAGGGGGTCTCCGTGCGCACCTGCCCCCCCCCCCCGCGCCAGCCCCGTACCTGGCCGGCGCAGCAGGGCGCGGACATGCCGGTGTCGCGGCGCGGCCTGGCCCCCTCGCCGCCTCCCTCATGCGGGCGCAGGGCCGGACTGGGCACGGCAGGGCAGGGCAGGGCAGGGCAGCGCGGGGCGCCGCCGCCGCGGGCGGAGCGGCACCGCCTCAGCCCGGCTGCCGGCCCCGACGCTCTCGGCCCGGCCCCGCCGCCCGCCTTCCGCTGTCGTCAGCCGGCGCGGCGGCGGGGGGGCGGCGGCGGCGGGGGGGTGCGGGCCGGCGGGGCTCCGCGCCGCGGCCGCGCTGCCGCCGGGCCTCGCCGGGCGGCCTGCCTCGCCGTCCCCGGGCGAGCGGGCCCCGCTCCCGGCCTCGGCTCCGGGGCGCTGCCTCCCTTCGCCTGCCCGAGCGGGCAGAAGCGGCGGTGCCACCCACAGCTCTGCCGGTCGGCGTGAATCCGCGCAGGACTGGCCGCTGCAGGCTGCGCTGCTAGCCAGGACGCAGCTAAGGTCGCCGGCCTGCTCGTACACCCTCCAAAAGACCACTTTTTCAGCAGCGGGAATTTAGCGAACTCGCTGAATAATAGGGCTGTTAAAAGGCCAGGCGTCAAATGTAGGTTTAACGCTGCAGTGCGCCAACCTTGGGTACAAAGCACTCTGCCTCATCCCGTGGCCCTTCCACTGCCCACACCTTCGTGGGGCAGTCACGTTTGTCCAAAGGACAGCTTGCGGGCTGTGCTTTCCTAACAGGAGCTGAGGTCTTCCCCTGTTCTCCAGCATCAGCTGCCAGAACTCCAGTGCAGCACTAGGCAGTAGCTGAGCATTTCTCAGCTCCTGTGTGGTGGCGGGATACCTTTGCTACTGCAAAGCCACTGGTAGTAGCCACGACGGTCTCTCTGAAAAGACTCCCTGGCCTTGCCCGCTTTGTCGCCTCTGTGTGTGTGCTGTAATATTTAAGATAACTATTCTGAACTTTAGTCTTGAAATGCGCTAGCTTTAGGAACTGAGTGCGACTAAAAGCTATTAAACTGCACACAGGTACCTACATGTAGATAACGTAGCTACACGTACCGCAACGGAAACTGGTATGGATTGCAGGATGTATTGTGTAAAACCCCTTCCTCTTCCCTTGTGTGTGCAAACAAACAAAGTCAATGCTTCAGGAAGTGGGTCATGGGATGAATCGGTGTTACATAATTTGGTGCTATAGCGGGGACCAAAGAGACCGGAGTTACCATAAGGGTACAGTTTATGAAAAGCAGACATGCTTTATTTTTAATGATGCTCTAACATCTGCATATACTCAGTTACAGATGGAGTATTTACCACTGTTGTAAGATTAATTCTGTCAAGCATATGGTTATTAAGCTGCAAAAGGCACCAGCTTGCAGGCATCCCAGAGGACCTCACCACAGTTCAGGCACTAATGTTGTTGAGACTCCTGCTCTGTAGGAGCAGCAGAAGCCCCAACCTCAGGTGAGGACTCTTGAAGTCTGGACTGGGGGTAGAAGCCACAGCATAACTTCTCTGATTTACAGCTCCTCTCCCCAGAGTCAGGGCTGAAGAATCAAGAATTGAACAACAGGGAAGCAGCGTGGCCAGTGAACAGGCAATGGAAAACCACTGGTGATTTTAACTTCGAAAGTCAGGTTCTTGAGACATATGGCTGAAACACAGAACACGAGCATCACAGCGTCGTAAGAACTCACAAAAACTACGCTCATCTTTTATTTCTGTTCCAGACTTCTACAACCACGAGAAGCTGACTGGTCAGGCTTTAATTTCCACATCTGAAGGAGAATCTGAGGCTGAATCTAAAAATGAAACTGTCTTGCAAAGAGAGACTGGTGAAGGCCACATACAGATACGGTGAAAGAGTACACAGCATCATCATGCCTGGGATAGCAACAAGCATTCACTGAGTGAGGAACACCATTAATTCACTTCTTCGTGCAGGTTTCTTAATGCCAGTGCCATTATCACTGACACAAATAAATCCAGCCTCTACACTGAAGAAAACAGCAAAGCTCTGTAATGGACTTTCTAATCAGCTAGAGCACCCCAGAGCCCCAAGATGTGTGCCTTGGCTTTTTAAGTGAAAAGTTTGTCACCAGAAAGGCTTGAACTTTCCTGCTGTGTTGCTGGCAAGCATTAAGCAGGCTAATAGCAAAGCAATGAGCCAACATTACTGCATGAAAAGAAACTGTCACTCTGAAACTATCCATGCATTTAGAATAAGGTTTACTCATCAAATACATATTCTGAATCCAGAAAAGGCTGTTGTTCCCCTAATCTGATTTACTGGCCAGAAATCTTCATCCAGTAATTTCTGCCTCAAACTTCCTTTTGGCAGGGTAAAGAGTGCCTCTTTGAAGAGATGCTAATTCTGACTTAGGGCTTTCAAGTGATGGGGAATCATAGCATCAGTAGAGAAAGGCAAGATGTTTTGGCCTTGCTTTGTATGAGGAATTTTACAAACATAGATATACAGACATTTAATGAGTCAGGCAGAACAGATGCAAGAAGTGGCCCAGCGGTAAGCAAGACAGCGAAGAAATGGAGTTAAAATTTCAGACTTCCTTGGTTCAGGTGCTAGAGAGCAAGGAATGAAGGAAAGTGTTCTGTTAGAAACTGTAACCATGTGGCATTTCCCAGAGAAAGTCCTGGTAAGAAGCCAGTTGGGCCCTCGGAGCAAGCCACTTTCCTCACTCAGTGTGTACGAAGAGCAGAGCAGCAGAACCTGACGCCCCAGAAGCACTGTCACTTTGATCCACTTGCCTTCAGGCAGCCTACAAAACTCTGCCTGCAGGATACCAAGCCCTGTTTCATACACACCAGTGACCTTCTGTGGCACACCAGCTTTGCTCAGGTCACCAGGAAAGGCATTATGCTTGGATCCTAACTACAGTTTCACTTGCAGATGATGCATGTTTACATGCATCCACTTCACTCACTCCTAACTCATTTCTAGAGGTGCTCACTGTCCCTTTTCACCGTGAGAAGAATACGGTATTACTACCTCTATAGAGAACTCTGAAGATGTTAGTGGTGAAGCAGAAAGCTTTTTGGCATAGTATAGCAAAATCATAACTTACCAGGAATGCTCAAGGACTCTGCTTCCTCAGTACTCACAAACTATGAACCAGTGTATTTTAGGGTAAAAATATAAGGAATTGTGCTGGTTTGTTCACATCTTTTGAAACAAAGCTGCAACTTGGAATGATGCTTTCAATGTTTTGCAAGTTCAAGATTTTTCCAGTAATTAAAGGATTTTGGTCTGTGCCAACTGGCAGAGAAGAGCACAAAAGGTCTGCATTCAATGAGAAGTCTACCACTTGGCTGTTTTTCAGGTGAAATGACATACAGAAAATCTTTCCAAATGTAAATGTGATCAGAAGGAAAACAAAACCAGATTGTTACACACCATGGTGGCCACTTACATAAAATTAGGTAATTTTTATAGTGTAGATTTACACTTCATATGCCTGTTAAAACACAAAATATGTGAAATTGCTTTTTAGGTAAATGTGTATTTTCCCTGAGCCTAGCAATTAGACACCAGTCAAAAATGTGGTTAAGGAAAGGAGGGGAAATGTCTGTGCATGTGCATGCATGTGTTCTGGAAACCACCACTCAGATCCAAACTGAGCCCCTTACACAGCTAATGACCTAACTGCTGTGATGTTTGCTGGAAGTTGCCTGTGGAAAAGGTAGTCCAGTAAAGGAGAGCACCATGCAAAGGTGTGATCAGACAGTAAAAATAATTTATTTACCACCTACGAGTTTTACTTACTGCAAGACTGTACCCATCTCACAGTCTAAGTGGCTGCAGGCCATAATAAACTCAAGACTTCCCCAGTTTTTTTTCCCAAAATGTTACCCAAAAATTGGATTTGTGCCTGGCATGCAATAAGCCAATCTTAACATGCTCAGGAGAGATACTATTTTATTAATAACTACTACCAGCTAGGAAAGACTAGTGTGAATTATGGAACACTAATAAAAATATAGTGGAAGATGCCACCGTTAGTGGGTCTGCCTGGGTGCTCGGTAGATTTTCCACAAATCAAGCACACCTAACAGCAAGTTTAGGTGCTTCTTTTATACACAAAAATCACAGGTTAGTACTTCTCCAGACATGCCTATTAGATACTGATTGGTCAGTGATTATAATGCAGATTACATAAGGCTTTTATTACTACACATGCCCAGGGGGTCTTTAACCTGGGCAGGGGTCTTTCTGACCTGAGGATGTGTTTTTTAATATTATAATTAAGGTAGTTCACTCTTATGACACTTAAAAGTTAGTTTCATTGCCAAGCTACTTAATCGAGTACTCACTTTGCCAGGTTGTCAAATAACTCACCCTCAACACAATCCCAGATGTTCTTACTATGATCCAAGATGTTCTACCCATTTTCCAAAGCCTATTCTTCATTAATTCCTTATTGCTAATCAAGGTCATCTTGACCACTATTCAAAGTTTTGCTCAACCAATCTTCAGGGCCTCGCAATTGTCCCGATATGTACAGTAACTATGACTACCACCAGTGTGATGTATGCTAACTATTGTCTATAACCACTTGCAAGTGTGGAGTGTACTTCTGTCAATTATTAACTATGGCCACTTGCAAGTGTAAGGTATAGTGCATCACAAGTATGCATCAGCACTTGGATTATGGATCACTTCTCCCCAGATCCTCCTAGGTAGCCACGGGCTTCCAGAACCTTTGGATATATTCCAAAAGCCTGTGTACCTAGGAATTGTGGCAGGAGCACCTGCCATAGCACAGTATAGATCAGCTGTAGACCTGACAAAAAGCAAGTGGGAAGAGCCCACTTTGACACAAAGCAGTTGAAGAATCTCAGAGGTGTTTTAATGCTTGGCTGTCTGTGGGAAGCCCAAGGACAGGGTATGGCCCACGCCAGCATTTGCCGAGAGCACCAAGTCGCCAGTTACTCTTTTAGCCCGGAGATCTTGGCCGCTACACCTTACTTATTTGACCCTCCAGTTGCTACTCTGCTTAAAAATAAATACATTAAGTGTATGACAGTAATGGCTGTGAAGAGTCCAATGACAGTTAGAAAAAAAATGTAACTTTTATGTCACTTCTTGGTTAGAGATTTTAGATCTAAGCTTTCAAGCTGTTGTCAGCCTCTCTAGGGGTGGGAGACTACATCTCCCTGCAGAAGCTTTCAGAAGAGCATCAGTTGCCTTGGGATCTAGTAACAGACTTTCATACTGTAGTATCTGTTACTACTGTAATTGGATGATCACCTTCAAGATCATGTGTACAAGTGCAGGGGGGCACAGAGAGCAACTATAATATCAAAGAGAACACCTTGCCAGTGCAAGGCAAGAGCAATCTAACTATAAATCTCCAAGGTGGGGCCGATTACGGAGATGACAGAGACTGTCCGTGCATGTGGGGCCAGACACGCACATGTAACCGGTCCTTCCAGAATATCAGGTTGGTCATAATGCTAAACGGTGGTATCTTCCACTATATTTTTATTAGTGTTCCATAATTCACACTAGTCTTTCCTAGCTGGTAGTAGTTATTAAAAAAAAATAAAGTAATCCAAATGAAAAAAAAACCCAACCAAACAAACATGCACTTACCTTGTCAAATTTGGTTCAATTCTGATCAAATTAAATGTTTTAAATCACTTGCTGGACTTGAAAGAAAGCATTTCATAGCATTTTAAGATTTTAGTATTAAGAAACCCATAAGGCTGGTATTTCCAGTCAAATCTGCCTAAAAACCCCTTTTATTTTGAGAATGATAGTTTAATAAACTGGTTGCTTAGTTGTTTTTTTGCTCCAATATTAAAGTGGTTTAAAATCTGCATTGTCTATTAAGGAAATGCACCAACTAAACCTTTCTGAGTAGGTTAATATTATAGCCAAAGTACAGAAGAGTGATATTATACAGTTTTGCACTGAACTCTCCAGGTGCTGCATTTGCATGCTCTTTGTTGACCCTTTTCAGCACAATACCTTGTCATCCCAATTATAAATGTCATTCTTCCTGACTTCTCAGCAGCTGTATGCAGTACAGCTTTTCATTCCTAAATCAAGATTTTATTACATGATGTCTCAGGTTTCTTAATCACAGCTAATACTTTTACCTTACAAATAACTGACATAGCCATTTAACTTGGGTGACGCTGAGAAAATATTGTGTGAGGAGAAAAGGAGACAACAGTGTTTCTCAGCACATTTATGCATTTCTGACACTCAGGTAACCAACCAGCAGCAGGGAGTCTGGTGCTGGCTTGAGGAACTAAGTCTTGCTGGAGTTAATGAGTGACAGATGAAAGAAAGGAGGCCTGCATGCCCCTGAGTTCCTAGATAAAGTCACTATAAAGCATCTTACTAAAGTTCTACAGGATTATGAAGTAGGCTCAAGCTGCATGATGAGAGACGGTTCAGTTCTCCATCTGTACAAGGAGCTTCAAGCTGGCAGAGTGATGATTCTCAGAGAGACAAGTGTTAGGTTAAGATCAGAGAGTTGTTTCTACATCCAACCATCTGCTTTATTTCTCTGTCAGACACTGCCTCTAGTGGCAGGGAAAACTGGTGTGGTTGTCTGTGGATTTGATTCTTTGGAAGGAAAAGAAGAACCCTCCCCACTCAACCCCCTGTCCATTTCTTTGAAAGGAGATCAATAGAAATTTTCTAAGTAAGTTCTTCATAAATAGAAAGGAAAAAAAAAAAAAAAAAACACAAAACCAAACCAAACCGAAAATACTAGAATTTACCATAGAGATAATATGAGGCTAGTTCAATAGCATCAAAACTGAGATTTTATTCCAGCTCTACTTGGGGAAGCTTGAAAAAGAGAAATTGGCATTATATGATGAACAATATTTGGCCAACCAGAGTTCTCAAGCTAGTGAGAATAGAGCTGTTTCTGAAGCTTTCCTGGTAGTGGTGGTAGGCTTCCCCAACCTCTCACACTACTGGGTATTAGTAAGCTGTATGTCAAAACTGCCTGCCAAAAGTGTTCAAAGCACTCAGTTTAGCTCTTCAGGAAGTTTATCTCAACCTGACAAGCTACATATATGCAGACCCATCCCTGTTTTACCCTGTGATTTCATTACAGCTACGTGGAGAGAATACCTTACCTCAGAGATGAAGCTGACATAGTTGACTATGAAATACAAGGGAGAACATAGGCATTTTTTTTGAAGAAAAGCAGGCCTAACTATAGCCTTTCTTGTAATGATCCGTCCCTCCTCTTGAAGAAGCAAATGAGTATTAAAAGGTCACAGGTAAAACCTGTTCCGTAAAAGCATCATTACATTGGAGCACAGGGACCATAAACATTTGTGCACCTGAAGAAATGGCTAAGGAGTTAAGCGAGCAGTATATATGCAGTACGTCAAGAGAACAAGAACAATCACAAAAGCCAAGGGCGAACACAGGTCAAAGCAAAGAACTAGCAGTGCTGCCTGGAATGCTGACAGCATCAAGGCCACACCATGGATAAGAACATACCACGAATGTAAAGCAACAACTGTATGTTACACCTCAATCTGGCTCTGAGCCTTCTTTGTCAAAACAAAAGGGCTGCAGGGGTCACGCAGCGTTGGCACCAATCAAGAACCAGGGAGACAAGATGAGGATGTGATAGCTAGCAGTTCTTGTTGTCTATGCCACCACAGGTAATCCTGGTATCTGTGAGAAAATGAAATCAGTATTGTTTAAAACAGAAAGCATCTCCCCCTTTTGTATTGTGTGCTCATACAATGAGTTTTGCTTACATTCATTGTAGCAACAAAATGGAAGGAAGAAAACAAAGTTTTAATTCAGTTACGTAAACAATATTAGTACAATGCATAGAAGTTACTCAAATTCCATTAAGTGTCGAGGTAAGAGCCATCAAGTTCGCAGAGGAGTACTAACCTTTCAGGAAGAAACCGCAGTAACTCATGATAAAAAGGTGGTATGGGCAGAAGAACCATCTCAACCCAAGAAAGAAGGCATTCAGATCACATTCCAGTTTGCACAAGTGTACAGCTTAGACCTTTGCACAAGCAGGCACATTGCAGGCTCGAGACAAACTATCCTTGATTGTTGTGGTTCTGAACAGAACCTGAGTAAATTGCAGCAGCTGTATATTCAATGAGTTGGTGTGATAAAAGACAGATTATCAAAGCTGAAGCATGATTAGCATGACATAAAGCTTACAAGTCATAAATTAAACAGTATTTAGTTGACTAATAGCATATGATTGCATATTAAGTTATATGCACCAGGAGTCACAAATATTCCTTCCAGAGTTCTGACCTAATTCATAAAAATTAAATCAAACCATCCAAAAGCCTGGGGTTAAGAAAAAATACTATGCTGATCCTTTTTCTAATCTTATCTTACTCTGTAATATACATACTCTTTATGTACACACACCACCACCACTGGCAATTTTAGTCCCTGACACAGGTGGCTTCACTCATGAACTCAGCTGAAAACAGGACCTACTATATACTCTCATGGTATAGAGCAGGCCCCAACCATATATGCAATGCACAGTATGCCGGATGAATTGCTGTGTGGCAGCTGGAAAGGAGCAGCTCCTGAACTTACATTATTACAGAAGCACTGCTGTTCTTGAGCATCTTATATGGTAAACACGAGTCAAAGCATATAAGACAGTAGTCTTGGTCACAGAATATCCTCTCTCTTCAACCTCTCTCTTACAAATCACAGTAACTGTGCTCTATACATTCAAATACTGACTGCCCATCTAGCTCAGTACCTACACCCTACAACTTTTGCCAGTAGGAGCTTAGAGTATTGCTACTTGTTCTGCCGGAGAAGGCTTCCTTCAGGGAAGGGTATCATCTAGACACATGCAGCATTTGACAAGAAGGGAATGGTGTTACTCTCAAAGCAGAGCTGACAGAATACTTAAAATTGTTACTGCCATGCAAACTCTGTTATACCAAATAATTAGGATACTCACTGAAAAATACAGTATCTGTTTTAGGGGCTGAAGGTTTCCAGGCTTTGAAGTCCAGTCAGAATGCTGGCCTTGATAAGTTCAATGCAGAAAAGTTTACAGTACTCCTAGCTCTCTCCTTCCTATTCAGATTAACATTTTTGTACATATGCCTGTGAGAAATAGGACTGTGATTCTCTTAATCCCCCCATCTTGTGTTCAGGATGATGATGTTTGATTACACAGACAGTAAAAACTGCTGTAACTAATGTTATTTGATAAACATTTTCTCTACACTGTCTGTTAGATCTTAGTGGGAAATTAAATTTTCAACTGCCACCAACCAATACAGAACATAGTGGGTTACTGGGAGCCTAGTAACTTTTCTTCCTCACAAGGCCAGCATACTTCATATTGGCTCAAGGTAGGAGTAAAACAAAGTAGCACAGGAGCAAGATGGTTGCTCTTCCTCTACAAGGCTCAACATCATCTACTAATACACTTGCCACATAAAAACCAGAAGGCTGATAGCAGTTCACAGGTGGGAAAATGACAATGGCTCACCAGGTATCCCTGAGATCCACTGCACAACAAGGGTGGGCATGCGGTTAAGCTGCATTAACAGCACCTACTGGCTTGTGTCTCTTCACTGCAGATGTTTGGTTACCCAGCAGACACTTTGCAACACAGCCATGCTGGAAATCAGGCAGAGCTGAGCCCAGTATCTGCACTATGAATTGTTCAACAGCCACAGGTTGACAGGAGCGCTGGTATAGTTTTCCCAGCTGGATCTCCCTCCATCTCTTATTGCAATCTTGAGGCTGTGAAGGAAACAGTATTTAATTTATATGGTCTCAGATAATTTTTCATGGAAGACTGGAGTCTGCAAAAAAACCCCAACATGTCACATTAAATCTGTGAATCATATTGTTTTCAATATAGTAGGTGTGTCCTTGGAAAGACTGACTGCTGAGAGAGCACATGCAAACTCGTTTGTTAATACACTGGCACATTAACTGGAACAAAAAAGCAACCTGCCCTTCCCTTATGATGATACTACCAAATATTTGTTATAGGGCTGGCAGACAATCATATGTACATCTAAACTACAGCTGAGAAGGGTATTATTTGTAGTTTTCCTCTATCTGCACAGGATAGCACGTGATTCAGCATAAAGGTTCTGCAAAATCAGTCTGTGTAAATCTGTAGCCAGCAAGCAGTCCTGACAGTTACAACCTCAAGGTACAAGTCAAAGTAATAAGACAGCAAACCAGAGAAAGCAATTTTCTTCTTCATTTTCATTTTTTATTTAGAAAAAGTGGGTTTAATGAAAACTGTGTTTCAGTAACAAAGTATAAAGTTCACATTTTACATAAAAAATCAACTACAGAATAACCATCCAATGACTATTACATCATTTTTTCAATGGCTGGGGCTCGGGCCATTTTCATCCACCATCCACAGCAATCAAAAGATCAATTTTTTTGGTAAACCTGAAAAAGTGTAAATCACATTGTTATCAAAGTAAAGGGGTCCAGTCCACTCCTGAAGGTTTTAGTGTTCATACTGTTCTTAAGATAAATCTACTCAGCTCCTTAATGCTGTTGGCTGCACCGGCAGTACATGACTCTTTTAAATGAATCTGTGGAAGAGTGCTAGAATCAAAGCTCATTTGAATCAGTACCAGTCCTCCAAATGAGTCACAAATTCTGTAATTAAGTGTTAATTGCATTTGGGATACATGTAAGTATTTCTCTTTGTTGGTATAAAAAGCTAGCCTGTTAATTCTACTTTTGAACCTAATAAAAGCAAGCTATTCTAAGGCTTAACCCTGTCCCACCACACATACACTCTTAATGATTTTTCTTACATGATGTCACTACCCAGCAATAAGCTGTCTGCAGGAAGCAATAGCCCTTATAGTCTCTGCCTCATTCTTTAACCATGTCTTTGTTCAGTATCAGCTGTAGAGATAAGGAGGGCAACAGTACTTTTCTGATTCTATTCCAGATCTTGTTCTCTCATTTCTTCATATGCTACTTACTTATAATGCAGGTAGAATAAACCATAGCTGCCTTCTGGGATGGATATGAAGCTTACAATGAAAGTATCCAACTGTTTTCACCTGCCCTATAGGCAGAGGTCTCTAAAATACTCTGACATTGAATCACACCCATAAACTTTAAACAAATGCCCAAACAATACAGATTCTTAGCCTTAGATATGAATAGAATGGTTTGGGTTTTTTCCCAAACCAATGTAGAATAGTTCTGTAGATAGAGTCTTTGCACTGCGTTAGCTCAGGAAGTTTAGTGCTCTATCTTTTATAATCTCTGTTTTCTGAACCTACAGCTCTGTAGAAATGCAGATTAATAGGACTAGAAATTAGCATCCTAGGGAAGAAGGGCTGCTTTTGATTACTTGCCAGACTGGAGAAGATGGACAATGACATCACGGTAGCATCAGTGTCTCCACATAGCTCACTGATCAGAAATACGTGGTATCAATAGCTAGAAATTATGCATGTTTAATACTTTTCACAGGCAGGCATCCATCTAGTGATAGTTTTCCCCTGAGAATAAAGAGGCTGTTTTTTGAGAAGTACAGCTGCTGCACATTTAAATTTAAACACACCCCACAGGCTACAGGGTTTTGTTCTTGTGGAAAAGCAGCACTTACGGGGTTGGCATAAATTCTTTCTCCTGGCAGCCAGCCCCCCATGCCAACATTTTATACGAGGGTATGTGTTAGTAATCATTCAGTCTATTCTGCTAAATTCCAGAGTGCTACCTCAACAGGGATAAGGGAAAGAGGATGTATTGTGCAGGATGCAAGCACAGGCCAGACTAAGAATTTCAGGGGATGCAACGTATTTTAGTTTGAAATTACTTTTGTACAGTTCCACCACCAACAGCAGTAAAAACATGCTGTGCTTAAAATTTTATTTAAACAAAGACTGTAGGATTGTTCTTCCAAGCCAGTATTCAGATTTTAACTTTAGATGGTAACACCATGTAAGGATGTCAAATGAAATCCAGGGTAGTAGATTTGCTAGCTCTAACACTGGCTCTCTGCTTTGATGTTCATTGGCACTAGAGGATCTACGTTTGAGACCCTCTGGTTCTGTCACCCCAGCTAAGGCAGTAACAACGCATAATGGAAAATCCGTATCAGAAAATCCATTATGTTTCCATTTCCACTTAGTGGAAACAATACTGCTTTTTATTCTGATACTCAAATGTCTCAAAAAGTAATGCTGACTTCTTAAATGCCTTAGTTATAGCCAATCACAAAACTCCTGGCATTTAACACACAAGTCTGATCTCCTCTTACTGAAGATGAGACTTTTGGAAAGATGTTAAAGCAATTACTGTTCTAGGTTGACACAACTCTGGAAGATCTGCTCATTGTCAAATGTTCAAGCCACAGAACTCAAGGAACCACTGCTTCCTCTTTCCTGTCCTTTAATTAGCAGGCATGTTTTAGGGCACGCACTCCAAAACACTAATCACAGACCCTCACATCGTCCTTGCAAAAGGAGCTAAAAAGCTTCAATTAATTACCTAAGCTATGGTAACTTGATAAGTTCCCACATGTTAGCTGACCCACAGTACTGGGGTCAGCAAAGAGTATGCAAATGGTCAACTGATTAAATTTTGCTTTGAGATTACATCTTAAGCTAGTGAACTAATGCATTTTACTTTTAATTTGACACAGACTAAGAAACAAGTGCCTCAGAAGTAAGTTAAACTAATAACCTAGCTGTCTCTCCAAATACAAGAGGAAATGCACTTTCCTAGATGCATCTCCATTCCAAAAAGATACCACTGTTTAGGAAAACAGGGTCTCATACTGGCAATAACTGTTGCTAACTTGACAACTGCTATTGAGCATATCCCAGTTGTTAAGAAGATGAACTCCAAGTTTAAGAACCAGTATTTCTTATTACTAGAAGGTCTGAGTAATCCAGTGTCAGATACAGGTCTGGAGCCCTCAGCTTTTCTTGCCATGTGATATGAAGTACATGCTACTGTTCAAGGAAGACTGGAGAATCGATATAGAAGTAAATGTTAGGAAACAGGCTTGCTTTTTAAAAGCGCCACAGAAAAGTGCTTAATGTTCCTTACCTAAAGTGGTCTTAACAGTTAACTTGCTTAGTCTAAGACAGAGTGAGCAGAAATCTCTCTTCTGAACCTGAATTACTCTCTCCAGTCTGTCATTTGAAAGAATAGCATGCTATGTTTCCCTCTCTTTCACCCCCACTGCTTTTTTTGTTTTAAGGATGTGAAGTTATTTCCACCTCAGTAAGATGTCTCAGAAAAAAAAAATAAAGGGCATCATAATAGCCTATAATTTACTGGGTAGTACCATACTCCACTACAGAAATTAATGGAATTAGATACTTCTTCTAATAAATAGGTTCATAAGCACCATAAAAGAGCCTTTTTTGTACCAGTTCTGTTAGAACACAGAACTAAGGCATTCTCACCCCAAAGCAATTATTCTAAAACGTAAGTCATTAAAGGGCTTCAGCTGGTGGTGGTGCCCAGGGATGTAATCCATTCTGAGAATTTTTGTTCTGAAACACTGGAAGTATCACATTCTCTCTGAGCATGTACCTCCTATTTTAAAACAGGTGAAACATCAAAAGGTTACCTTGATCTACTCCTTCTGTTCTTCTCATTTTTAAATGTAAAAGTGCATTTTGCTGCTCCTTTATAGCTTCTGCAGGACAGTTGGGCCTTGGCAGCTGATTTCCTGGAGTGGGTCCTGGTCGGTTACTGAAATATTTCTGCTTCAATGCCTTAATGATTATGGAAGAAAAATAAGCAAGCAATTAGTATAAAGTGTCAGAACAACATCTATAAAAAGGTTATAATGAAATAAAGCAGTTGGGACTTGAAAAACACTTGGACACTTTTACACTAGAAGGTGGCCTTGGGACAAATCAAGATTTTGTGTTCTCAATGACTAGCCACAGCACTTTGATTTGTAAGCCAAGAGATAACTCTGAGTACTGTTATTTTTAACTAGTGCTCAGATATGCCTAAAAAACTCTGGACTGCATTGCAGGAGGTCTCGTATACAGCAAGTTTCTAGCTCTGAAGATCTTACGTTCTGAACAGATAGATGAGACAAGAGGATTAAGAAGAAAGTAGGAAAAAAGAAAGATTAAAAAAATGTATCTGAATTCTTGTTCAGATTCAGGACCTGGACATCAGCTGTTTTGCTAGATTTTAAGACAGTTTTTCCCAAAAATTTCTTTAACTGCAATGTTTCAACACTGTAAACTGTGAGAAAAACATAGTTTGAATTAGAGCAGAAGACAAACACAAGTGAGCAGGGTTATTTCATGTAGTTGAATTACATACCCTATTTTAATTTTTAGGAATACTGCAGCTGCCATAAACTGTGGTTAAGGAAAAGAGACTAAGCCATCTCTCAGTTAATCATTAATCTTTCTAATGACAGTTACATGCTATTCAACGCCAGCTATAAATCAAGCCAATACAGTAAGCCTGAGTTGTCTCCTGCCTTAAACTCTGTCACTGTCAATAAAAATGCTAACTAGAAAAATCATATATATTCAATATTCAAGTCACCATCTTACAATATGACCTGTAAAATTACTTCATACATAGAACTAATACAGAGGTGTCGCAAGCATAGCAGAACTAATTATCTGGAAACGTATATTGGAAGCTCTTGAAGCTGGTGACCAAAAAAATCTGAATGTGCTCTGAAAAAGTATTCTAGTAAAAAGATACTTAACACTCATTCCCTGGATTGGGATCTGCCTTGTCTAACAAGCAGTGAGGGAGTCCTGGCCATAAGGGGACAGCTCTGTTTCTTGCATGCTCTCCTAACAGTGTAAGGTGACAGAAATACAGTTTTGAAACTACCAACTTCTGTATTTTCTTCATAGCAGAAATCAGTATTCTTAACTCGAATATTCAACAAGATTTTCATTCATTTTTCCCCACTAAGGAGTAGTGAAATTGAGATCAGTTTCCCCCAAGTATAATGGAAAAGGATATTCAGGTCAGAATGATGGTTTAAATTCCCACAGAACTTCATGTTAAAAAAGAATCAAAAGAGTTTAAATGAAATTGAAGAATAGACTGGATGAAGTAAGGGTGAAAACCTTTCAAACTCAAGGAATAAGATATGTTAAGTCTTAAGTCTCAATCTTTAGGTGACTGAATTTTGAATGTCAAATGTATCAACTGTTTGAAGGTCATGACTCATACACCTTTTAGTTGTCTACCTTTGCTCTACATTGGGAATGGGGATGGTGCTGGGTTTGTGTGTGTGGCAGGGTTTTTGGTAGTGGGGGAGGGGGCTACAGTGGTGGCCCTGTTAGAAGCTTCTCAAAGCTGCCCCGGCTCCAAGTTGGATCCACCTCTGGCCAGGGCTGAGCCCATTAGTGACGGTGGCTGCACCTTTTTGATAATGTATTTAAGAAGGGGAACCTGGGAGGAGGAATTGGAGTTGAGAGGATGAGCTGCACGGAAGACACCTATGTAAACGCCGAGGTCAGCGGAAGAAAGGCCAAGAAAAGCGGGGAGGTGTGCCAGTGCAGAGAGCCCCCCTACATTCCATGGTGAGAGGACAGGGCCATTCCCACCACCACCCATGGAAGTCCATGGTGGAACAGACACCCACCAGTAGCCCATGGAGGACCCCACGCTATAGTAGATAACTGCACCTGGAGGCTGGGACTCTGTGGTACGAAGTCCCCACTGTTGTAGTTCAGTGCTGGGAAGACTGCAGCACATAGAGGTGAACCATGCCAGAGCGGCACGGAAACGGCTGCAGACTGTGGGAAGGACTCATGCTGGTGTTAGCTTGTGGAAGACTGTCTCCTGTGAGACAGGAACCACTCTGGAGTAGGGGAAGAATGCAAGGAGGTCCCCCACCCCTTCCAACACGGAAGAAGTGGCAGCACTGAATGCATCCCCCCTTTCTCTGCCCCCTGCACCACTGGGGGGGAGGAGGTAGAGAAATCTGGAACAAAGCTGAGCCCGGGAAGAAGGAAGGGGTGGTGGGAAGGTGTTTTTAAGATGTGGTAATGCTTCTCACTGTCCTATGCTGTCTGTTAAGTAGTGTTGTTTTTAGTGTCTGATTTAAATTTATGTTTTCTTCCCATAAGGAGTCTGCCTTTTGCCCATGACTGTAATGGGTGAGTCATCCCTCCCTGTCTTTATCTCAATTCCTGAGCCTTTCACTTTCTTTTCTCATTCCCAGTCCCTGAGAGGGAAGGGGTGAGTGAGCGACCACGTGGTGCTCAGTTGCCCTCTGAGCTCAAACCATGACAGATGATCAGTCAGCATTATTCATGCCTTCTGGAGTTCTTTCTATAAACACTGGAAATATGTTTCAGTATTTCATAGACAGAGATATATGACATTTCATTTCAAAATGGACTTATGGTCTTCAAAGTACATTTATTTGATATTAACAGTAGGTTAATAAACATTAAGACATAATTCAACTACTATACCTGAGTAGCTGTAACCCTAGTGCAAGGATTAAATGTGAATAAGCCTTGCAGAAGATTGAGCAAATCATCACCAGCTGCACTGAAGATATGTTGAAGAGGCATTCCAGGGAAAGACTTAAATGTGACATAATCTGGAAGACTTGTCATCCCCTACAAAGACCAAAAATGGAATGTATATTTTTCAAGTTAGAAAGAGTTCAGCTTTTCACAGAAAGGGAACTTCATATGGCTGTCTTTCAGCAGAAGCAAATTATCTTTCAAAACACCTTGCTAATACTTGGTCACTGAAATAAAATAAATGTAGGAATAGTATATCATAAAGACTTTTTTTTTTTTTTTAAATAACTGTTACAGTTGTTTCACACTTTCCCTTTCCAAGTGATCTGTCCTTCCCTTGCTTTAGTGGTAACCAGTCCAAAAGAAAAAGCTGCTAACAAAGAAAGGAACTATGAAGGAACTTTAGAGTGAGTACAGACAAATGAAATAAAACTTCTTTCTTTTGCAAACTGACATGGTGAAAAAGATACACAGAAGAGCCAGTCTGCATTTTCTCTAAGTTAATAATACACTGTCCTGCTCCTCAAAGCTGATCATCATGAGCGTTTTGAGCTACTTTTGAAATGCACAACAAACGTTTTGAGGAGTGAGGAGAGGGAAGAAAAATATGCCAAGCAGTTAAACAACAGATTAATTGCGTTTTTTTTTTCTCCTGGAGGTATGAAATCAATCCCACTATATTCAAATTCTATCACAAAAATGATCTTTTAACAGAATTATCCAAACATACTACTTTAATAGTGTTTTAAGTATTTTAAACCTCTAGTCATCACACTTCACTAAGTTTATTCAAGCAAAATAAAATATTAAAACTGAAGTGAAAAATGTTCTCAATCAGTTATAATCCTGACAGTAAATGTTTCAATTATTGAAATGCATGGGTTCACAAATTAATTTGGGAATGCATCAACTCTGTCATGCTAGGAAATCTCCTATTCTCTCCTAACCCATCTATACCTTAACTCTTCCTCTCCAAAGAAAGCAGAAATGCCATTGCAAAAATATTCATGCGTTTCATTTAGAATCTTGGAGCAACAACAGAATTCTGTGGGGCTAGTAGTGCCTTATATGATATTTCTCCGTATGGCTATTGCTCTAATTGGTGATCACGCACCACAGCATTTGAGTACCATTCACACAAAGGAAAAGTGGCATGGAGAGGGAGCAGAGGTGGGATGTGATGACTGGTTAACAAGTTCAGAGAGTGCTTCCACAACTCAGCTACAAAAGAGCATGCTCTGATCAGAATTCTGGACCCCCTGTGCCCACTGGCTGGCCCAAGCTGCCAGTCCAAAGAAGCCATGCCCCATTTCCTGTCAGCCTGTCTGATAACCATGGTTACGCAGGTCATTGTGTACCCCAACATTAAGTTTAGCCCAATACTAGTGAATTACTGGATTTACTATCATCTTGGCCCAGATAATGGTACTACTGATTTGTATTTGTTACTGCACCATTATTCTCATCTCAGATAAACTGCTTATCCCTAAAGCTACTGGTCTGGTCTCTGTTACCGTATCCTGAACCTGTAACTTGGCTGAGCCACCTCCAGTGTCAGAAGTGGAATATGGTACACAGCATCATCACCTGCCCCACCCTTGTGTTGGGTGACCTAATTAGTTGTTTTGCCCTGCCCATAGATACCAGATTCTCTGACGGAGGGAAGTACCTGTTCCCTTTTCCCTAGCTACTTTGAGAAATTCAGAAAGACGAAAACATAACTCTGCCTATTCCTCTTTGCTCACTGTTTCAGAAATACTGAGCACCACCTGACTCCAGCCAAAACCTGAGCTGTCTCCCTACAAAATGAGTTAGCTCAAGCCCAGCAGGATGCTCAGATTGTGTTTGAAGACAAGACGCTCGCTGCTGCCCATGTTAAAAGCATGCAGGCTTGCCTGGAAAAATTGGAGTGCCTTACGTTCCTCCTGGTGGCAGCACCTGCCTGTGAAAAACCTGGCAGGCAGCTGGAAGCTAGAGAAAATGGAGTTTCTGCAACAAAAATACATAAAGCTTTATATATTGGGCTGGGAAGGAAATGTTTGGTTTGATTTTGATTCAAACGACAATACATCAAATTGTTGAAGACCGACCAGATTTACGAATCCCATCAACTATTGAAAATGAGTGTGATGGGAGGCATCACAAGGATCCACGCACAACCTTTCACAAACATACATCTAGCCAAATTAAGCAGATCTGTTACTGTGGATTACTTAACATGGCTGGCAAATATGAGCAGGGAATTACCATCCAAATTTCAGAATCAGAAGCCCAGACCCTCAGATTAGGGCCTGGAATCTGACTACAAATTCCACCAAAAAATATACTCTGTCTTCTGGGCATCAGTAGCTGGTGCTCAAAGAAAGGTGCCCCAAGATGACTGAGAACTCTGGCTATTCCCTGGCCAATCCCGGAGACTTCAAACTAAGCATAGCTAAATTGGTTACCAGTTGTGCTTTAGATATCGGTCCTGTGGCAGATGAAGATGTATCATCATCCCACTGAGATGCAGTGGTGCCTACTAGTCAGAAAGGGTCCACTCATAAGACATTTAATGTCAGATAGGTGCTGGCCTTATAGGTGCAGCATCCCAACCCACATGGCCCCTGCTATTACAAAATATAGTTTCCGCTGTGCCTGCTCTGTTATCTTCCCATCTCCCAAAAGATGCAGCTACAGTTACCATCAAACCCTGTAGTACTCCCATAAGTTAAAACCCGCCTGAGCCACTGTGAAAGGGCCCTGACCCAAAGCACCTTGAAACATGGAAAGCCTACTTGGCCCTGGGCATTCCCAAATAGGCAATACACACAGCCTAAGCATCAGTGTTACTGGCTCTTGCCAACACCCTGAATTGTGCCACACATTCTCTCATGGGAGGTAAAGGCCCAAATACCTCTCCTGCCATTCCACCAGCTAAAGCCTGGAAACCGCAGACTTACATTACCCAAACTTTAATACTGGAGGTCCAATTAGCACCTCAGGGGGCTGATCAGGAGCCACCAGTCCTTCTGAGGTGCTATGGAGGGTGCAGCTTACATGGACTTCCAATTTAGTGCTAGATGTCACCAACAGCAATGAATTGTGTTGGTGTTGCCTCACTGATACAGGTGCTCAAATTTCTGTCATCAGTAGATCATACACTGAAGGGGACCACTTCCCTCATACTGCAGTTGTCCGTGAGTTCACAGGACCACTCATAGCTCTTCCTGTAGTCACAGTCAAGTATGACTTTCCTCATAGATATACAGCACAAGGATCTGCAGTTTTAGCAGATTCTAATGTCTTAGACATGAACCTACTCAGAAGCCAGATATTCCATGACCCTCAAGGCCAAGTACGGTGTCTTTGCACTTCTGAACCAAACCACCTGCTATTTCCAAGAAGTACCTCCCCAACCTCCAATGACACATGTTGTTAATTTACAGCAGCACCCTGTAAAACCATGAGCCCAAACCCCTATCACCTACCTCCTTTCTCACAGGACTGGAAGAACAGGAAGTAGTCATTCACACCCGTACCCCATTTAGCAGTCCCATCTGGCCAGTGGGCAAATCCAACAAATGGGTTTTGGCACCTGACCATTGACTACCATTGTACACACTCTACCTCCTCTCTGCTTCACACAGCAGTCCTAATAGCTGCTGAAGTACTTACCACCATTTGCCTTGCTTTTTAACTGTGGATGGCAGTTTTAAATGTTAAAAATATGTTCTTCCAGTGCCTTATCCACTCAAATTACCATGGTCACTTTTACATGGAATAGTATTCAGTACATCTTTACTCATTTACCTCAAGATTATCACCACTGTCATACCCTTACTCACGGTCTTTTAGCCTTAGCTGAAATTTCTTCAAGTTCTGATCTCTCTTTCCACCAGTACACCAGTGACCTTCTCCTGGGCAGACCTACCCATGAATCTGTTGCACAAGATATGACCCCCTTATTTTTAGCCCTGAATGAACACTGGGATCTTTCCATTCCTCCCTGTAAATACCAGGGCCCTGCCCAGGATGTATGTGTCCTTGTTTCCCCATAGCAAAAGCATTCCTGAAATCGTCTTGCAATCTGTTTTATCTTTACCTACTCCCTCCTCCAAACACAAGCTCCAGAGATTTGTAGGCACTTAATAGATCACAGCATGCCCATGGCCCCAGCTTTAGTCAGCTAGTCCACCACCTATATTCCTTGCTGCAAAAACATTCCACCTGGTACTGGAACAAGTCATCAACAAGCCTTGACCCTTCTGCTAAAAAGTATTCAACAGTGTCAGTATTTAGGACTCCTCAACCCTACTGGCAGATTTGAACTTAGGGCCCAGTAGGGTGGAAATGGTTCCTGTAAGGGACTGTTCCAGGCAAGAAGTTCCAAGGGTCTTACCCTTAAACCAATCTGATTTGGTAGCAAGGGGTTGTAAGATGTGCAAGCCTTGTACTGTGAACAGGAACATGCTTTACTTCCTACCTTTTCTGACACTGACAAACTCCTTGGGGGATCATCCCCTTATTATTAGAGTTTTACATCCCATTCTTCATTACATCCTTCACAACATTCCTTTCCCTGAAGGATGAACTCAATCCATTGACACTCAACACCGCGTTCTTGGTATCCCCATCAACACTGTTGGAACCCAACCTTCAAGCCCCAACCATTCTATTCTCAACCACCTTGCCTTTCCCAGTGATTGTTCAGACTTGTCTGTTACACAAGTCCCTCCTTCTACCACTCCACAGAAGCGTGCCTGGTTGACTGATGGCTTGGTGATCCTTTGGAGTAATACTTGGTTTGGGTGTGACACCACTGTCTGTATCACTGATGGCCAAACCGTTATGCCCAATTGCCACTGTACTGCCACGAGACAGCTAAAATCCTTGGCCCTCTCCTTAGCTATTCACTCCTCTGCCCATATTGTCTTACCCCTGGGTTATTCTAGGTACACCTGGTGGCTTTTGCTTTTCGAAAGTGTGCGCCTTCCACCCTCTTACTGCAGAAATTATGGGCCACGTTCTCTAGGAAGATATTTGCATACCTTGGCTGTGGGCCATGTTGATCCCATTCTGCTCACCCCATGGTTGAGGTCAGGTGCAATGACTGAGCAGATGCCACTGCTGCAATCAGAGGGGTGGAAGTGATAGTGGCTACTGACACCCATAATAAGCTGATAGCAGCCCAATAGCAGCAGATGAAACTGAGGAAAACTTAGCTCAAACCTGCAACTTGGAATGTGGAACCACCATGGTAACTCACTGGCTGCATGATATCCTATTGTAAAAGCTTTAGCCAGGGTTGCAGCACTGTGGAACACATCTTCAAATGTAGTGAACTGAATATATTCAAATTGTACTGACAAATAGAAAAACCTGGCTTATGGAACCTCACAACTTTAACACTGGTAGGAGAAAAATCCCACAGCTCCCCAGTATAGAATACTTATTTGAGACTGTATTATACCTCCATAAGCCAAGAGCAGAACATCACAGTTAACTGTGGGACTGTAAACAATTTAAATGGGAGATACCTACACATCAGTGGATCAACGATCGGTGTCTCATATGCCTACATTAACACTTCTGTAGCATAACCTTGTATTTTCTCATGCTGTTGATACTGTATGCCTTTGCACTAATGCTCTGACAGCTCTCTTAATGTAATATTATTCCCACATATCCAAGTCCCTCTCCTGCTTCCCTTCCCAAACCCACCATACCCTTATCAATATGAATTTATCTCTAATTGAATGGCTTTTGCAACATGAAGACTTGAACTGACTACTGAAACAGGCAAAGAAGCAGGTACAACAAACTAATAATCATAGTTCCAGAGATCAAACAAATCACAGAAAGTGGTTTTAAAACAAAAAAGTCAAACATAATTGTCAGGAAACCCTTTTATGATGGCCTCCGACCATTAGGGCAATATGGAACATCCTACTCCTTAACCTAGTTGCTATCCTTATTTGGAGTGGCTTTGTACTTGTTTTAGTTGTCACATTAAAAATTGGTACTTGGTTTTTGGCCTACACTGTCCAGATGGTTTCTTGGCACACCAGCTTATTGACTGTCTTGTCTCAATTTAACCCTTCATCGCTTCATGATCAGACTCTTCTCCACACCTAATGCTCCCAGTGAGGTGGGTAGTATCCACATAAGTCTTGACCTTATGCTGACATGGCAAGACAACCATCCTTTTCCCCACAGTCACATAGCAAGGGATAAAAACATGGGGCTAGTATTGCCTTCTACACCGTCTCCTCCATATAGTGGCCACACATTTTATATGGCTACAGCTCCATTTGGCGATTGTGCACTACTTAAGGTAGCATCCAATCCCCATTCACACAAAGGAAAACTGGCACAGAGGAAGAGCAGAGGTGGGATGTAATAACTGGTTAGCAAGTCCAGAGAGTGCTTCCACAACTCAACTATGAAAGACAACAGTGTGATCTGGGAATTCAGGACTCCCTGTGTCCATCATCTAGTCCAAGTTGCTCATCAGAAGTTAATCCCTGCTTCCTGTCAGTCTGCCTGATAACCATGGTTAGATAGTTCACTGTGTGTCCTCACATTAAGTCTGGCATGTTATTATTTAATTTACCATCATCTCAGAGATAACTGTACTGCTAATTTGTATTTGTTACAGTACCATTACTCTGAGATAAAGTGTTTAACCCTAAAGCTGTTGGTCTGGTCTTTCTTACTGTATCCCTAAACTATAACATATCCAGGCCAACTTAAGTCCCTACAAGTTGTTCCTACTTCTGAAAATGATTAAAGCCTTTCAGGTTAAAGCAGACTAATTAATCAAGCATCTCTCAAACATTAAGCAACAACAATAACTTCATACCTACAGCCATGTGAAACTGTGAGTACACAGAGAAAGGAAACCAAGAAGTTTCATTACTATTGCTTAATGCTAACAACACTGCTATATTGACAAGGAATTTGCCAAGAGCTGCTTATACCACACTTTGTGAGATCAGGCAGCTGCCTTCTGGAAATCTACTGAAGTATTCTGGTATACCCTTTTATTTAATTTAAAAAACTAAAATAGAATATCAAATATAACTAATGTCAGTCTGTTAAACAAAAGGACTCACAGGCCACTGTTCTTCTGTTGGAGTGCCCAGTGTTTCAAATATCCTTGTCAGCTGGTCAAGATCAGAGTCTCCAGGCAAAAAAGGAACCTGGAAGAAGGCAACAGCATTTGACTGAATTAATGTCTGAACTTCAATTTGATAGAGGAGCTTTGACCTATCCCTTAACGGCAGGGCAAAACATCTTTGTATACCAGCTGCCCACAAAGAAGTACACTGATTATTTGAGGCTTTCTAGTGATGTCAAAATAGATTTTGAAGGTTTCTTGCAACCCAGGCTTGATATCACTGACATAATAGCAGGGAGTTAAACAAAATTAAACCACTACCACATGAACATAAAATAACTAAACACAGGAGATGATACAGTTTATATTTCAGTTGCCAGTTTAAAGTCGGTTGGTCATAGTGATCTGTCATCTACTCCCTTAAGTTAGGTTTTATATATATTCAAAACATTTAAAGTAACTGGATTACACAGGCAGCAGTTAGACTTATGGAATGAAATTACAGCATGAGGGAGTTGTGACCCACTAGGATGGAAACTGCCCTGGTCAGTATCACATCCCTTTTTCTTTCTTGTGCTTAGTTTAAATGAGACATTTGCCCAGTTCAACCTGTAGCTTGTGCATCAGGCACACAACACAAGAAAAAAAGGGACTTTGTGACCAAAGCAAAATTATGATGAATTAAGGGCAGTATTTAACTAAGTGGGCTAGAGAGACTGTAATGAACATTCCTACTAGGCAGTGTACTAAATTTTGGTGTCATAAAAGCCCCCTGAAACTCCTTTTGTAAAGCTCCCAGAAACTGCACTGTCCCTCAACCCAGTAAATTCAGGAAGAGAAAGGACAGGTACATTTAAAACTATCACAGTGATAAAACTGAACCATAACATATTTTCTGCTTTGTGAGAAATGAAAGAAAATCAACAAAATTCAACAATTTCTTACTTGCTTTCTGACTTTCCTTAAGTTTATCCAACTTTAGCAGGTCTAATGCATATTTATGTACACATCGCTAGTGCTGCTTAAACAGCCACTGTACATTTCCATTTCTGAACTGCCAACCAAATTGCACCAGCACACCTGATTGTGTGATAAACTGAGGCAGAAGATTTCTTTCAAGGTGTTTTCAGACAGACCAGTTCCCCAATCTGGTTCATGACATGGCCATACTAACATTTAATGTACAGTGCAAAAACCAAGCAGAAGCCACTTGCTCATGGAAGATAAATTATACTGCAAGCTACTTTGTGCTTTCAGCTGCATTTGTGCCCCTACCCTCCACTCCTTAACTCACACTTTCACACCCTCTCCAGAGAGCTGCATAATAAATGGTCTACTTCAGTAAAACATACTGAGGGACCATTACATCTGTGTGAGTGGCATTGCGTTAGCCTGATGTTTACCTTCAGCTTCACTCCAGTATTGCCAACTAACCACAGCTTAGAAAAATATCAGTCCTCTCCTCATTACAGATAAACTCACAATTAAGATACTTGTGATAATATTTAGAGTTATTGAGGAACAATGTATAAGGGACAGAGTATGCATATATATGCAATACCACATTTCTAGAAGGATAGCAAATGAAAACTGAGAAGGCTATGTTAAAGGATAATGCTTAGAGGGCTGGAATAGTTATTTACTTGAACTTCTCCAAGGCAAGATAGTGACAATTTGTTGCAATTTTTTTAGACTTACAATGATTGTGATTCTTATGGAACCTCAGCCTACTCCAAAACTTCACTTTCCTCAGTTAGCAAGCTTTTGGAAGCTTTTTTCCCCCCTCCTCTTGTTCCCTTCCTAAATAGCCTAACTGTCTTCACCTGCCGCTGTTAGCAGGAGAGAGGAAGACCTCATATGAAGTTGTAATGCACTGAAGAGCAAATACAAAATGCTTACATTTGAAGACTTACCCTGAGAAGCAATTCAGCTAAAATACAACCAACTGCCCACATATCGACACCAACACCATACATTCTAGCACCAAACAACAGTTCTGGTGCTCGGTACCACCTGAAAAGAAAACACATTTTGGGAAAAATCACCTGGCTTTGCTCATGTCAAATGCTGTATATTGTAGCAATGCAAGAACTACAAAGAGGATACTGCTCCTGCCTATAATTTTTCAGACACTGAAGAGCTGTACTCTAACCTGCAAAGTGTTTTAATAAAGACTGAACAAAATTGTGCATTTCCTCACCACAGGGACATACATAACCACAAATTAACTACAGATTCAACTGAGCTGACTAACAAGCAACAGAACTGCAGATGTATAAAGGAAAAAAAGTATTTAACAGGTTTGCATGTTATAAACCAAAATCTTCTTTAAACTTTATGTTGAAGAAGTGACAGAAAGACAGAATTCCTTACAGCCTCCAAAAATCTCCATGCCAACAGATCTAAGTATAGAGACTAGTTTTACGCAAAATGAACCCTGACAGCAGTTGTTTACAACAGCTGCTTCCACTGCCTAAGAACAGTCAAGTTTGATGCAATGATCTGATACATGCTGCATTTGAAACTACTGTATTATGTCTGCCTTTTGAATAAAGGTGTTGAAACAAACCAGCTTTACCTTAATAGTTTTAGCATTACAGCAGATAAAAGGAAGTAACTTGCGTATTTTGCGGACTTGCTTTTTAAAGCATACCTTAAATAAGCATGCCATAAATAACATTAATAAATATTTTAACTGGTTTGAACTTTTGTTTCATAATAGGTAATGTGACTAGCTACAGAAAATTATTTAAGGTCTCATGATTAACAGAAAGTAACAGCTGTCTTGCTCTGAAAGCCAGGCTTAAAGGCAGATTCATATTATTTCCATGTGTTTCAAAAGAGTATCATACTCCAGAACAACCTGCGTAGATGCATATTCTAGCAGTTCTTACAGAGACTTTCCTAAACAATACTTTCTTGTGTTTTCTTTATGAAGCTCTTGCCACACTGCAAAACAGCTGCACAATCACTATGCAAGAAACAAAACAGAATGTCTTACCTTGTTACTACTTGGTGTGTATAAACTCTGTTTGGGCTTCCAAAAGATTTTGCTAAGCCAAAGTCAGCCAATTTTAAAACCCCATTTTCATCTAGCAATAAATTATTTGGTTTAAGATCCTGTCAGTGCAGAAAGCAAAGAAATAATTTTGTCAGTGTTGATAGAAATACTGTGTTAGGTTTACATGTGTGGTGGAAGTTTTCTGGTAGCAGGGGAGGAACCTACCGTGGTAGCCCCCTGTCCTGGTTGGGGCTGGACTGGAGTTCCCGTTGGTCTGGCAGCGGGAGGAGCTGCAGCCCCCTGAGACCCCAGGGGCTCCCCAGGTCCCAGTGCCCTCACCTGTGTGCGGGGGCGGGGGGAGCACAGCTGGAGGGCTGGGCCCCGATTGGCCGATATCCCGTGTCATGTGACACTGCACTCACTATATAAAGGCGGGAGGGGCTGCCACTTCTGGGAGTGTGGCTGTGGGGCCTTTGTGTTTGGGATCGCTGGCTGGGAGCAGGCGGGTGGTGAGCAGCTGTATGGTACATTACTGGTTGGTACTGCTGTCACCATATTGTTCTGTCACTGTTACTAAACTGTTTTTAACTCAACCCGTGAGTCTCCCTTTGCCCCTCTGATTCCCTCCCCATTCCCAAGCAGGGGGAGGGTGGGTGAGCAACTGCAGGGCATTTAGCTGCCAACCAGGCTCAGATGATGACACCCCCATTAGAAGCTTCTCAGAAGCTCCCCTGGCTCAAAGTCAGACCTACCTCTGGCCAGGGTCAAGCCAATTAGTGATGGTGGCTGCAATAATGTATTTAAGAAGGGGGATCTGGGATGAGGAATGGGAGTTTTGAGGACACCTGTGTGAAAACCAAGGTCAGTGGAAGGAAAGGGAGGTGGGGAGGGAGAAGGTGTGCTGGAGCAGAGACCCCCCTGCAGCCTGTGCAAAGAGGGCAGCCTATCCCCCTGCAGCCCATGGAGGTCACCAGTAGAGCAGATGCCCACCTGCAGCCTGTGGAGGACCCCATGCTGCAGCAGGTGGCTGCGCCCAAAGAAGGCCAGGACTCTGTGAGAAGCAGCAGACCCTGCTGTTGTAGTCGGTTCTGGGAGGATTGCAACAAGCAGGAAGGACCCACACTAGAGCATCTCAGGAAGATCTGCACCCCGTGGGAAGTATTCATGTTGAAGAAACTTTGTGTACTGTCTCCCACGAGAGGAACACCATGCTGGAGCAAGGGAAAATTGTGGGGATCTTACCCCCCCACACCCCACCCCCCTGAGGAGGAAGTAGCAGCAGACTGACTGTAACCCTGTTCCCTGCTCCACTGTGTGGGGAGGAGGTAGAGAAATTGGGAGTAAAGCTGAGCCCAGGAAGAAGGGAGGGGTAGGGGAAGATGTTTTTAAGATGTGGTAGTACTTCTCACTGTCCTACTCTTGTCTGCTACCTGTTGTTTGTGTTTGATTTAAATTGATGGTCTTTTTTTTCTTCCCCTAAGGAGTCTGTCCTTTTGCCTGTGACCATAATGGCTGAGTCACCCCTCTGTGCTGGGTTTCTGTGGCATGTTTTTTTGGTAGCAGGGGAGGGGGCTACAGCAGTGGCCCCTGTGACAAGCTTCTCAAAAGCTCCCTCAGCTCCAAGTTGGACCCACCTCTGCACCAAGGCTGAGCCAATCAGCAACAGCAGTTGCACCTCTGCGAAAATGTATTGAAGAAGAGGAACCTGGGAGGGGGTTGGGATTTGTGAGGAGGGGTTGGGAGAAGGACAGGAGGAAGGGGAGGAGGTATGCTGGAGCAGAGATCCCTACACCCTGTGGTGGGACAGCAGGGCCGCCCAGCCTGCCACCCATGGAGATCCACAGTGAAGTAGAGGCTGATCTGAAGCCTGTGGAGAAGCCCACACCAGGACAGGTGGTTGTACTTAAAAGAAGCCAGGACTCTGATGGGAGAATCAGCCACTGCTGTTGCAGTTCAGCAATGGGAGGACTGCAACATGCAGGGGTGACCCACGCCAGATAAGCTCGGGAACAGGTACATCTCATGGGGAGTACTCATGCAGGAGAAGGGCTGTCTCCAGTGAGAGAGGAGCCCTGTAGAGCATGGGAGGTATGTGCAGCACTCACCCCACCCCCCGAGAAGGAAGGAGCAGCGAGCTGACTGTGACCCCCATCCCCTGCTCCCTGCGCTGCTGGAGGAGAAGGCAGAGACATCAGGAGCAGAGCTGAGCCCAGGAAGAAGGGAAGGGTGCGGGGAAGGTGTTTTTTGGATGTGGTAATGCTTCTCACTGTTCCACCTTGTCTACTAAGTGTTTTTGTTAGTGCTTGAATTCAAGTGGTGCTTTCTTTTCTTCCCCTAAGGAGCCTGTCTTTTGCCTGTGATCAGAACAGGTAAACACCCCTGAGCCACTTTGGCTTCATTTTCTCCTTCCGATTCCTGATAGAGGGAAGGGGTGAGCAAACAGCTGCATGGTGCTCAGTTGACCTCTGGGCTCCAACCAGGACACCCACCCTGTTCTTGTATCAATTCCTGAGGCTTTTACTTTATGAGGTTTGCACAGGCCCACCTCTCAAGCCTGTCAAGATCCCTCTGGATGGCATCCCTTCCCTCCAGCCTGTCGACCGTACCACACAGATTGGTGTCCCTGGAAAACGCGCTGAGGGTGCCCTCAATCCCACTGTCTATGTCCCTGACAAAGACATTAAACATCACTGGTCCCAACACCGACCACTGAGGAACACCACTCATCACTGCTTTCCATTTGGACATTGAGCTGCTGACCACAACTCTTTCAGTGTGACCATCCAGCCAATTCCTTATCCACCAAGTGCCCCATCTATCAAATCCATGTCTCAAATTTAGACACAAGGATGTTGTGTGGGACAGCGTCAAAAGCTTTGCACAAGTCCAGGTAGAGGATGTCAGTTGCTCTTTATCCACCAACACTGTAAACCCATCATAGAAGGCCACCAAATTCATTAGGCAGTGATCAGTGAAGCCATGTTGGCTCTCACCAATCACCTCCTTGTGTGCCCCAGAATATTTTCCAGGAGGATATCCCTCTGGCCAATGTGGGTCCCAACTGTTTCTCCTGCCCACTTCTTGCTTACCCACAGCCTACTTGCTGGGGTGGGGACAAAGTAGAAGAAAAAGAAAGACTTCACAGTGCCCAAGCACTATTCAGCAACAGCCAAAACACTGGTGTGTTATCAAAACTGATTTAGGCACAAATCTGGAAGACAACACCATATGGGCTGTTATGAAAAAAGTTAAAATCATCAGATCCAGACCCAGTTCACAGTGCTAATCAAAGTCACAGGTAACCTGAGGCACTTTCACATAAATATCTAAATGATAACCACGTCAGAAATTCTTAACATTTCTAGTACTGCTATTGTCTCTCCAAAACAGCTCATATGAATGCTTCTGGAGTAGGAACATCTGAACTACCTTCATTAGACTTTAGACTCAAATTCTACCAAATGCAACTTTTGTAACAGCATAAGGGCTGTCGATTTAGTACATGCTTACCCTGTGAAGAATCCAGTGCTGATGTAAATATTCTAATCCTTGAAGTGTCATTAGCATATATGCCTTGATATGAGACTGGGTCAACACAATACTAGTATCCTTTATAATAACCTGTAAAGTTAGATCAATAGTAAAGTTTACCATGTAAGATTTAACTAAGTTCCATGCTTTCAGCTCAGAAGTTATTTCATCCTTTAAGACAAAATTAAAATTGGGAGTCACACGTTCTTTACCATTCCCAACCTTTTCCCAGAAAAACAGGTCTATTCTGGAGATCAGAAATTGAAATGGGGAGTCAGGATAGCCTACATGAACTTTGCATAACCAGCAAATGAGAAAATGGGTGGGAAACATGAGCTTGTTATTTTAACTCAGTTATAGGCTGATACCCCAACTTACAAGTCAAAGACGTACACTTAAAAATGATAAAGTAACTTGAAGTTATGTTCCCACTTATTCCTTCCTTCTGTGTGCAACCTAAGTATCTAATCTTTGTAAATGCAATTGTTTCCTCTTCTATTTCCAAGAAGACCAGGAGGTATGACCACTTTACTACATTTTAGCAAATCTACTGACATTTTCTACACTATTTTTAACATTAAAAATCTACGTAAACATCCTGTTTGAAGGTATTTTTTACACTACTCCCCAAAGCTTGCTTGTTAGCATTACTTTTCAGCTCAGTAATAGCCTTTCCTAAGCTTTAAATTTTTTGAGACTTACAAAATAGTTAAGACTACACAAAATTACATGTGTGCAGCACATGCCCAATCACAACAGGCTGCAGTCCCAAACGGTGCTGAGTGATACCACAATACAGTTAAATGCTCTGCATACCACAGCATTATGTAGTACAAGAGTATTTAATTCCTCTTTGTACACTGTATATTCTTCAGCTCTAATTATTGCATAGTTATTATGTAAACAGAATGAATTCTCTAGAAAGTCTACTCATTATTTTAACTTCTATTAGCAAGAAACATAACTAACCTTTTCAGTCTTGCATTCACCTAGTTTTCAGCAAGCCTGTCAACTTTTTGTTTTAACATTTTAAATGCCAGCCCCAGTTCTTAACAGCATGTGTGTAATGAGCTAGCTTAACAACTACATTAATTTCAGTCCAGAGTAAGTATGTGTGCATATACAGATCTGACATCATTTGCTGTCTAGGACAGTCTTCCAAAATGAAGAATCTTGCATCAAAATATCTCATACAGACTTTCATAAAGACAAACTGACTTAAGGTCTTGGAGAATGAAGCATCTGTAAGATGCTGATTTGTAAGTACCTAACTTTGTTACATTTAAAAGAATGGCTCAGGTATGTATGATTTTAGTACCAGCTCGCTGCTTGGTATACTTTAGTGTCACAATTACTTGAACATGTCTGATGAACATGATAGCTAAAGCAACCACTTTGAAAGTAAGTACACAATCCAGAAGAGAACTATATTTCCACTATGCTTAGCAATTGTACTCTGAGATGCTGATCTATGACTGAGGTCCTACACTCTGGAATCCCAGAAAACTAACACAGTAAACAATCTGTTTCTTGAAAATCATGCTGACAAGCATTTAAAAGTAAAGGCATTATCAGCCGAGAACTCACAAAAATAATCAAACTACTTTTAAGACATGATCTTAATCAACTGACCTAATGAAAATTACCTTTCTAACACAAGCAAATATAAGCCTCTTAAAGTAGTATTTCCAAAAGCCATTTGAAGCTACTGAAATAAATGTATTTAAAAAAAAAAAAATCTTACCTCCAGATCTGTTTCCATAAAATCGAACACCAAACTAATATTGGACTTGTGTCCAAATGCATCTAAAAGCTGTAAAACAAAATACATTACGATGAAACATACTCTCATACTTCCAGTTTTCTAAAAATCTGTGCCACTATAGTCTGCATGTTGATCTTCCACTTGCTGAACCCGTTTGTTTTTTGACTTGCGATACAAAAATTCTTAGTTTAGCTTAACTCAGACTCCCCCCCATAAAATCCCTGCTAAGTATGGTAATAACATTTTACACAATTGCCCCTCCTTTCTGGAGTTACAGGAAAAAAAAAAAAAAAAAAAAAGAGAGAGAAATAATTAACAGATAATCTAATGCACACCTTGTCCTCTCCCCAAACTCTGCTGTTCTACAGAACTCCTATCCTTTCTTGATACCAGACTAAGTTTTCCTATGGATTCAGCTCTGTGTATTTGTTTCCTGTAAGCATGCAGTTTTTCAGAAATTCTATGTGTAAGGCTTGTTAACTTCCTTTCAAAGATATTCTTAGGCAGGTATTCATCTTTGTAACAAGCTTTCTAGGATAAATAAAACTCTCTGGAGAATATCCAAACAGCCCTTTCTTAGGATAAAGCTGTATAATGACTGAATCTGTTTTTAATTTGAGGTAACATAAGTGTGACACTGAGTAAGAACAACAGATCATCTAGCCTAGTATTCTACCCTCAAGATCAGGAAGGTATGCTTTCCACACCTTCCACGAAGGTGTGGCTCATTCATTACAGCATCAGTATGATGAGCATGTGAATTACCCAGTCATTTGCATAGTTCCTGACAGCAGTGACTGCACTCATACTCTTCCTCTGGAGAAACCATGGCAAGAGGAGATCCTATGCAGGTAAGCCTATAGGCTTGGCTACTTTTTGTAATTCATGCCCCTTACACTGCCAATATCCACACTAGTTTTAGCTTTATCAGGACCACTAAGATGGGTACAACCTTGTCTACTGCCTTTAGTATCTGCTGATCATAAATGTGTCTAATTCCCTTTTGAACTGCTGATGCTATCTGCTTCTACAATGCTTGTGGCAACACATCTGAGAAATTCACTACACATTGTGTCAAGTAGTACAATTTCTACCTGCCCTGCCCCCAATACAAATGCTTTAAACACACCTCTATTTCAAGTACTGTGGGGTTTTGCAAATACCAGTTCTGCATGCACTTCACCTACCATCTCAGTTTTGTAGACCTCCCAATTTCCAGCCTTTTCCTCTCCAGTGAGGAATCCCAGACTTTTTCATAAAGATGCTCCATCCCTTTGCCATTTTAGTTGTCTTACTCTGCACATTCTCTAACTTTGATAGCTAAAGCAACCACTTTGAAAGTAAGTACACAATCCAGAAGAGAACTATATTTCCACTCTGAAAAAGTCAAATAAACTATCTGGAAGATTAATATTTGGTCTAATATTTATGGCAGACCTTCGAATTATCACTACTAGCTACTTCTAAAATATCTTTAGCTTCAGCTGGCTATCTGTAGCTGGAAGTCAACCTCAATGCAACTGAAAAGATACAGGTTTTACTCCTTCCAGCAGAGGTTTTAGATATCAGCACTAAAACCTAATAAGCCACATGAATACCACTTTACCATTGCTTACAAAAGCCTGCTTTTGGCTATCACCAGTTCCACTTGAAGCAAATAATCAGGTAAATTCAGGACTGCACTCATTTGCAAGTCTATCAGAGATGTGAAATCAGGTAATATAATTTCCACAATTCTCTCCACCACTAATATCCACATAGCCCCATGATAAAAAGTAAGAAGATTACAAAATAAACTAATTTGTCTTTTGCTTTTGAAATAGGTGTTCTGCCTTAACACTTGTTTTAATGACCATTTTGGGCTGGAAAAAAATAGCTTAGATAAAATTAAACAGCATCTCCGTGACCTAACTAATTCTAACTATCAGTTTGAACCTGTACCAGAGGTATATGAGGACTGATTTTAGAAGTAGCATTAATTTCACTTACACCAATAATATTTGGATGGCTTAGCTCCTGTAACAATTTTATCTCCCTCAGGGCTGTTCTGTTGATTCCTTCATCAGGAAAAAAAAAAAAAAAAAAAAAAAAAGAAAAAAAGAGAGACAGAACAAAATTGAAAATTTTGGACTGAATTCCCAAGAAATCTCTCATTCTGTTACTGATGATTTACTACTATACACTACTTCCTCACTACTCAACAATTTGTTAAATAACAAGTACATTGCCACAGATAAGTAGATTGCTGCAGAATAGAAGTGGATGTGCACTTTCTTCCATAGCAAATCAATTCTACACCACAGTAATCGGATTTAGATTATGAAGCAATATGTCCCCCTTTTGGCAAAACAGTAAAGGTCTAGCAAAAGCCTAGGAAAAAACTCACCTTCTTCAGGGTATTGTAAGCTTTAGTTTATTTTTAAAGAAAAGCTGTATCTTGCAAATATCAGTTCTTCAGGCACATGGACAAACCTCATGAATATGTATCTCTTTTCTTTTTGACACAGCATTATTTAGCAAGTCAAGTCACACATATTTTTCTATTCATGCTGTGGCATAAATAGTACAATGGCCCAATCCTGCTCAACCTTGATTCATTTAATAGCCAGATTTCATAGAAACAGTGCACTTCAGCAGTCACACTGACTGCTTTGCATCAAACTGATTCCTGCAGCATAACAATTCCTCCTTGAAAAATGCTGGTACGTATGGCTTGTGTCAAAACTGACTGGCAAGCAAATGCTCCTGTGGTATGTTGTGCATGAAGTTTTAGCTCTGCATGAGCTGAAAAAACAGTGTTCTCCCAACACCTGGGATATGATTCAATGAGTAAGACTCTAACAAGGTTTTGGGCAAAGCTACATGGATTACTTTATACTCCTTGTTTGCCTATTTTAATTACCTATTTTGAAATCAAGTTGACAATGGCTTCCTTCCAGTGGGCAAAGCTTTAGATTAAAAAAAAGCACACCAGGTTATCAGATAACACAGGGAAACCAGACACGATTGTTATTTTTAATAACATATTTGCACTATAATTAGACATTGTATAGGCCAAAGGTAATGTTCTTAAAGGACATTAAGTCCTCTGGAAGCCAGGTAGATCACAACTCTCTGGCAGTCTACTCAACTGTGAGACTCTGAGAAGAGTACTCAGTTTCTTTTTAAAAGCTCTTCCCTTAGAAAGGAACTGGAGACTGGAAAGCAAAGATTCTCCACTGGAAAGCTGGTAAGCTGACACAGAATCCCCAAAGGATGGCAGCTTATGTGTACAAAATTCTACTGCACCACACAGGCTGCAAGAGAAGACCAGAATTATTGGGTTTTCACTTGCAATATCTATGCCTGAAGGCACATGACTGACCAGAGCACATGATCAAAAGACACTGTTCTATAAGCCTGATTAATCAAAATAAAACAAACCCACATAGAGAGAAGAGTTTTAAGATCCTGCTTTTATCAACTTTTATCTCAGCATAAATCACAGAAATAGAACAAAGGAAAGATCTGAACACAGAAATAGATACTCTTACCTGTCTTAAGTATTTAAGGTACAGAGATGCATCAATACTAAAAGCTATTCTAAACTCAGTGCTGCAAAGATCATTATTCTACTCTATGTTCATGTTTGTATTCCACTCAAATTGAGAAGCTAAGCGGTTATATACTTATATTTAGACATATATACAGACTATGCATGCAGATATCTCTGCTGCTTTTTTCTGTCCCTGCAGTTTGGGAAGCAATCCTCTACTAAGCCTTACACTGAGAGTTGAGCTTGTTTTTCTTCGCTAAGTTATGTTGTGGGAAATTAATGTACCAATTTACAAAAACAAAACAAACAAAGCACAGCTTCTGCAGCATGAATTTGTTTTAAAACTCACCATCTTTAGCTTCTGATCTATGTCCCAGTTTAATCTGAAAAGAAATGTTTCATATTATATAAGGTTAAGCCACCTGCCCCAACAGTAAGGGATATATTATTTAGTATTACTCTTCAAAAACAGAACGAGTTTCAGTAGCATGAAGTACTTTACCAGCAAGGGCTGGTTTTGGTTTTGTTTTGTTTTGCTTTTTCCCTTAAAAATATAATTGTTTCTACTGCATTAGTTTTTATAAAAGCTTAAAAATTGTTATGATAGTGCTGAAAACGAACATAATGCAAACCGGCAGCACAGAATGCTTTGCAGCCACAAAGCTTTATTATACTGCTAACAAGCTTCTCCTAAGGGAAGAATGAAGGCAAAGTAACTGATAGTTGTGTTAAAATGTTTTTAGTAAAATTAGCACAGCCTGTAAACATGGGCTGGCTTGAAGTCCTTCTATCTCAATCATCTAAAATTTACAAGTCCAGAATCCCACCATTGATACTTCCAGATGATAAAAGTTAAGGAAATTTTCTGGAGAAAACAAGAATGCTTTTCACCACAGCTGCTACTAGTAGCAGTCATACAGGAAGAGTATTATAATGTTAAGAGGGATCAGTAGTATCAAACAAAATTACTTAGTATTCATGTGGTTCAACTTGTCTAGTAAAGTAGGCTCTTTAACTAATCAAAGCAGTGTAGTGTGCATTTTTCATCCCTCACAAAGCACCGCTAATCACCTATTTTTAATATAAAAAATTCCAGCAATCACTTCTAATAGTATGAAGTGAAACTCTGACCACAGAGGCATTTTCAACATTTGTATTCAAACAGGTAAGTTGCAGATCTAAGATCACTCTTGCAAAATTTTGTCAAAAAACTACCATCAATTATAAAGAACTTAATCAGGAGTAACATTTCTGGAGTGAAAGAAATGGGTCACAGCAGGAGGAAAGGTTAAAAAAAGAAAAAAAGCCACTGTGAAGGACTATTAAAGTCTGAAGTTTGGAAACGTGTGGGGTTATTTTTAAATAAATCTAATAAATTACTGAAATGTCAAGTTACAGACCAGGTAGCCCTTCAGAAACTCAGAAACGCAGTCTCCCTTCTTAAGGCAAGGGGAAGGCATTAAAGGCGGGTTAACTAGACCATTTAAGTGAAACACTCCAGGGAAGTCTTCTCCCATTACCCCTTAAGTTGGTGTAAAAAAAAAAAAAAAAAAAAAATCACGAGGCAAGCCAAGAGCAACCAGACACTTGATCACACAACGGGGAAACACTCTGGCACTCACCTTTTTAATAGCCACGATTTGGTTGGTGTTCTTATCCCTCGCTTTATAGACGGTAGCGAACTGAGGAGAGAGCGGGGCCGCCGTCACCGGCGGGGCAGGCGAGCGGCGATGCCCGGGTGCCGCCCGGGCCCTACCCGCCCCCGCCGGCGGCCATGACACCCCGCCGCCGCGGCGCGGCCCTGGCACTCGCCGCCGCCGGCACATGCGGGAGGCGAGACGGGGCCCGACCCGGCCGCCGGCAGCCCCGGGGCCGCGGCCCCGGCCCATCACCAGAGGGCCCTCCCCGGGGCCGCCTGCCCGCGCCTCACGGAGGGGGCTCCTTCCCGCCCCGCCGCCGCCGCGCATCAGCGGCCGCTCACCTGACCCTCTCCTAGGAAGTCCAGCTTCTCGTAGCGCCTGGCTCGTGCCCGCGCGTCCATCGCCGGTGGCAGCGGGACCGGGGAGTATGGGGGGGGGGGAGGGGAGGGGGGGGAAGGAGGGGGAAAGGGGAAAGAGGGCGGGGGAGGGGGAAAGAGGTTGAGGGACGGGGACAGGGAACCCGCAGGGCCGCAGTGAGCCCGGCTGCGGAGGCCGCACCCGGCCGGCGCCGCGCCGCTTCCGCCCTGCCGGCCAGCCCCGCCCCCCGTGACGTCTGCCGGGCGTCACGGGCACCGTTCCGTTCAAATGAAGCCTCCCGAGCAGGTACACTGCGGGCTGTAACTGTCGTCGGACCCAAAGGGGCTCTGACAAACGGGGTTACCCCGGAAAAAAAACGGGGTTATTTCGCTCCCGACCTGAGCGCGGGTACCCGGGGAAACGCGCAGCTGCCCGAACTGCCTCGGACCCAGCCCAGGGACGCGCCAGGGCCCCTGTCCTGCCCGTAAAATCCCTCCTGATGAGACAGCCGAATCTTTTTGTTTTTTAAGTAGAAAAATAAAATGACTCAGTTAGATTGTCAAGTTTGCAAATGGCTAATTAGAAAAGTATTTTAATGGTGCGGACATCAAATATACTCAATTGCTAGTTCGCCATCAACAGAAAATCCTTCTCAATCACACATTGATATATAGTGCGCTGTGTCAACCTTCTCACCCTTCACAGGGGTCTTTATTAAAGCTATTAGTGTACAATAATTTTTAATATTGAGGCAATGCCTTTCTTGTGAATACAATGCTTCATTCTTCAACAGTGGCCAACAAACTATCTTCCATACTTATTCCGGACCTCCACGCTGTAAAAGAAAAGCAGGCAGTTAAATAGATTTCACTAAAAGAATGGGAAATGGAGATCAAATCTTCTGTTACAGACCAACAGACTTCTAGTTTTAATTTCTGCTTTATACACTTATTTTTAATCCATGTAAGAACATGCACAGAGTGTCAAGTATCAGCATCTACCAGTAACTGCTCCATTTTTTTCAGGGGAGAATATAAAAAGATCAAGACATGCAAGGGACAAGTACAGCTGCTTCCACCCCTCCCACTCTGAAGAAACCTTATTCTTATGCACTTTAGAAAAGTCTGACAAACACAGCAGTAATGAACACAAGTTTTAGAATTATTTTCACTGCCCAAATTCCAAAGTGCAAAGTAAAGACAAAGCCAAGGGGAGTCATTACAATCTTTATGAGAAATCAGAAAGGTATTGAATTCATTATTTTCCCCTATAAAATTATTTTACAACTTACCTCACCATCAGAAAATTTATGCTAGAAGTCAAGAACTGTACTACTATGGGAAATAACTAGTTTTATTTCTAATTATAATACCCTACCCACATACATGCAGGAAAACTGATTTCCTCTACTAACATGATTACACTGTAAGTGTCTTTATCATTTAACAAAGTTACACAAGCGTCTTTTAATTTCAAACCCACACCCACCTCACAAGTTCTTCAAATTTTGCGCATTCTCCCTTTTTAAGCATTGGTGTTTACAGCTGAGAATTGTTACAGAACAAAAACAGGTTTTTCTTCCCTTTCCTGTACAATGCCATATTTGCAAATATTGCAGAAAATATTTGTATCAACTTTAATAAAATGCTTCTACTACTAGAAATACAAGAGTTAACTTACTAATAAATAACTTATAAACACTACTTTGAGAAATATTTTGGACTTCGATACCTGGTAATAGCCTTCACTGGCCTAAGAGCAGACTCCTGTGCAGCACGTCCAAATTACACATTAAACATCTGCTGTGAACCAGGTAGTGACAGTAATGAACATCACCCGTGACCACCACTAGCTACCTGCATGTTTGTCTTAAGCCCATATCTCTCTACTCAGTGATACCACATGCTACTAAATAGTGAGAGTTGGGTACCTTCTGTTATTAGTAATTTGTAGCTTGGGTATTGCACATCAAAGCTATGAAAGCTGCAAGGGCACCTTTACCAAGAATTAAAATGTAATACCTTATTTGAAATTCTGAAGGTGTAGAAATACGCTAAATGCTAGGTAGGTACAGACATTACGCACCAGTAAATGAAACTTACTTGAATATATTCAATCTCTTCATCGGACATAAGTTTCCTTCTGTATTTCTGAGGTAAGCTTCTTGCTAATTCAGAAGTGTCTGGTGTACCTTGTACTCTACTAACAGGTGAAATATCTTGAAAGGCCAGTGATCTGCTTCCTCCGAACTCCTGTGCTTTTGAAGCATGGAGAGATGGCACACTTGCTTGTAGAGACTCCTGTACTGAAACCCAGATTGCAAAACCATTTACAGAAGTATAACAAGACTGTAAAATTAGTTAATAAGCAGCCAATAACAGTTACCAGCTATTGACAATTTTCCTTAGTATATCAAATACTTGAAAGAATTAAGACACTCCAGTTTTCACAGCCTGTTTTCATTGCTGTTAACTATATCAAGAGGATACTGAAAAAACTGACAATGAAAGAAAGTGTGTTTGAGTGCAGAAATACTGATGCGGAAACAGGAAATAAATCAGCACGTATCCTAACAAAGGTTTTTTCACTGGGAAGCTGTACTTAGAGAAAAAGCATAAAGTATCATAAATGTGTATGTGGAGGCAATTATGTAGAAAGACAACAACAATAGGTCTCTAAAATCCACTGAGATGATGCTTTCTGTTTACCTCAACTGTAAAGACAGACAAGTTAAAAAGAGATAGAGGCTGAGAGAAAGATAAAACTCACAACGATGACATATCACAACATGCAATGCAGTGTTGTACCCATTTTTAATATTACAAAATGGCATCATGTCAAATTTTGATAATCGTGTGCAGAATGACCACCAAATATTGGGCATCAGCAATCAACATCAGGTAAATGCAAAGACCAAGGAGTGCATGAAGTACTTTATAAGTGAGGGTCAGGAGGGAGGCTTAAGGAATTCACATTAGAGAAGTTGCCTTGAGTTTGAGGACAGGAGAAGAGATGACAAAAGGGCAGTCTTGTCAGTGTTGTGAATCTCAGGTCTATCCCACCACAGAAGTATGCAATTACCCCACCAGGCAGGACGGAGTCTCACAGCAATATGTTTACCTCATAAGCACTCAGATCTCTCTACATAAGGTTAAAACACCTGATAAAACAGCATGCTTCCACAGGAGATCCCACTCAGTGCTGAAAAATGAGCAAGACAAATGCAACACCTAAACAGCTGGGACAAAGGGACTATATAATTATTAAATAAGCAGCATGAAGACTGGCTGAGTCAAAGAACAGGAGTTAAAGTACCACACTGTTGCCTACCTCTCTCTCTCCTGCCTCCATGTGCTGGGTTTGAGTGAGTGGTGGGGTTTCTGGTAGCAAGGGAGGGGGTTACTGCTGTGGCCCCCCGTGAGAAGCTCCTCAAAGCTCCCCCGGCTCCAAGTCAGCCCCACCTCTGCACCAGGGCCGAGCCAATTAGCGATGGTGTCTGTGCTTCTGTGATTTAGTAATTAGGAAGGGGAACGAAGGAGGTGGAGCTGAAGTCATGAGGAGAAGTTGTGAGGAGAACATCTATGCAAACAACAAGGTCAGTGGTAGAAAGGTGGAGGAAGTGTGGGGAGATGTGCTGGTGCAGAGACTCCCTTACAGCTTGTGGTGAGACAGCAGGGCTGCCCCCCTGCCACCACCCATGCAGATCACCAGTGGAGCAGGTGCCCACCTGCAGCCTGTGGAGGACCCCATGCTGGAGCAAGTGACTGTGCCCAAAGAAGGACGGGACTCTATGGAAAGCCCCCACTGTTGTAGTTGGTGCTGGGAGAATTGCACCAAGCAGGAGGGACCCACACTAGAGCATCTTGGGAAGAGTTACATCCCATGGGAAGGACTTGTGTTGGAGAAACTTTGAGGAGGACCATCTCCCGTGAGAGGAACACCACGCTGGAGCAAGGGAAGAATGAGAGGAGCTCTGTCCCCCACCCCTTCCAAGTAGGAAGAAGCAGCAGCACTGACTGCACCCTCCCATTCTCTGCCCCCCTGCACAGCTGTGGAGGAAGAAATAGAGAAATCGGGAGCAAAGCTGAGCCTGGTAAGATGGGAGGGGTCGGGGAAGGTGTTTTTAAGGTGTGGTAATGCTTCTCACTGTCCTACTCTGTCTGTTACGTGTTGTTGCGTTTGAATTAAATTGATGCTCTTTTTTTTCCTCCCCTAAGGAGTCTGTCTTTTTGCCTGTGACCATAATGGCTGAGTCACCCCTCCCTGTCCTTATCTTGATTCCTGAGCCTTTTGCTTTATTATCTTCTTCCTGCTCCAGAGAGAGAAGGGGTGAATGAAGAGCTGTGTGGTGCTCAGTTGTTCTCTGAGCTCAAACCACAACAGTCCAACAAGACCAATGAGGGCAAAGTAGAGGAGCCAGTTTTCCAGTTTTAGCCATAGTGAATCTGAGACGATGGCAACACTGGGACATCAAACACCTGCAGCAACATGATCAAACTACCAATGGTAAAAAAAAAAAATAAAAAGCCACCATTGTGAAACATACTGTCCCGTGTTTGAGTGAGTGGTGGGGTTTTTTGGTAGCAGGGGAGAGGCCTATAGGGGTGGCCCCCTGTGAGAAGCTTCTCGAAGCTCCTCTGGCTCCAAGCTGGCCCCCCCTCCGCACCAAGGCAGAGCCAATCAGCTGCGCCTCTGCTATAATGTATTTAAGAAGGGACGTGGTGACGTGCAGTCGGACTTGTGAGGAGGAGCTGCGGCAGCTGCGTGAGCAGCAAGGTCAGTGGAGGAATGGAGGAAGAAAGGAGGGAGGAGGTGTGCTGGAGCAGAGACCCCCCTGTACCCTCTGGTGAGATGGCAGGGCGGCCCCCCCTGCCACCCATGGAGATCTACGGTGGAGCAGACACTGATTTATGGCCTGTGAGGTACTCTATATGGCCATTTAAGGTGGCTGCAACTGGAGGAGGCTGACACCCTGTGTGAAGAAGCAGCCCCCGCTGTTGTAGTTCAGCACTGGGAGGATTGCAGCATGTGGGGGTGTCCCACGCTGGAGCAGCTCGGGAAGGGCTGCAGCCATGGGAGGGACTCCAGTTGGAGAAAGTTTGTGGAGGACTGTCTCCTGTGAGAGGGAGACCACGATGGAGCAGGGGCAAGAAGTTCCAGAAGCTCCCCCCACTGAAGATGGAAGCAGCGGCAGCACTGACTGCACCCCCCATTCCCTGCCCCTGCGCCACTGGGGGAGGAGGTAGAGATATCGGGAGCAGAGCTGAGCCCGGGAAGAAGGGAGGGGTGGGGGGAAGGGGTTCTCAAGATGTGGCAATGCTTCTCACTGTCCTACTCTGTTAAGTGTTGTTATTAGTGTCTCTAATAAATCTATGTTCTTTTTTTTCTTCCCCTAACGGGTCTGCCTTTTGACCATGACCATAACGGCTGATTTACCCCTCCTTGTCATATCTCGAATCCCAAGCCTGGCTTATTTTTCCCTTCTCATCACTGGGAGGGAAGGGAGGAGTAAGCGGCTGTGTGGTGCTCAGTTGCCCTCTGAGTTCAAACCACGACACGTATTCAGAAATACCCAGTCAGCAGACTGTATCTGAACATCCCAAGGTGATCTGGCGGTTCAGGAACAACAGAAGGTCTCAAATAGAGCAAGGAAGGAGAGACCACCAGAAGGGGCATATTCTGGACAGGTGGCAAAGTATTTTTGTTTCAAGAAATAACAAGCCTTATATATGAAAAAACAAGAAATGGTTTCTTCAAGTTTGTTTCATACACCACAAAAACATCTAGACATTTGCCAAGTATTTTCCTCTATTGTATGTTTCAGTCTGAAGCGTAGTTGGAGTAGGTGCATTAGCCAATTAAAAACATCAGTAGTCAAGACTCAAAAGTACCAGACTTAATACTGCTACTGCTTTATCTCAGAGACAGTCTCTACTACATTATTCCCTTCCCCGTTTGAAACCATCACATTCCAGTACTAAGATGGTGAAAGAATGTGGCTAACCTTGCAAACACCCATGTATTTAAAAGTTTAGTCTGGATCTGCAGAGCTCTGTTTGGCTACATAGAAGCAACAGTCTGGTACAGTGAAACACAGTTATTGATACAGCATTCAAGCAAGATGAGGTAACTTGCAATTTACTAATGATATGACAGAACCTGATTGAGGTATAAAAGTCTAACATACTTAAAAGTTACAGTTACAAAAACCTTCTGATGCAGAGATAAACAAGAGGTAACATGTTTTCAAGCCTTTGAGAAAGTAGTTTACCAGCATGAGAGGTGTTGCATTTGGCAGAACTATGTACAACATAGAGAATTCTGACAGAAAGTTGTTGCAGAAAATAGTTCCTGAAGAGTTCACAGCTAAGTCAGAAGTGGCACTGATGTGCACTGTAGATGCTTTGTAATGTTAATGGATAAACTAAACTTAAAGCTATGCATCACAAATGTGATAATGCTAGGGCAAATAATGTGGTACAGTATCATTTCCAAACAAGTCAGAGTAATATAGCAGAGCTTTTTTAGACATCTCCTACTTTAATTTCAAATGCTTTGATGACTCAAAAGGAATATTAAAATAACATATCACTCATATAAATTTGATGTCTAAATGTAACAGTATTGGGAAACCTATAAATATCAACATAGGTATAAAAATTAATGTCAAAGATTGTAATGAAATTATTTTTTTCTCAGCATTAATTAATAGCACAAGGAAACACTTCTTAAAATGTACAGTGGGATGGCTCTTCCTGCTATAATCAGGGTTTCAAATACCACAGATACCACAAACTCCAACTAAGAAAAGATGAGGAAAATGCAACATCACTTCCACAAATATCACCGAATACTTAAAGCTGCTTCAAACTGACTTGGGCACAATAATTTTTAGGCAAATATTAGTATTCAGAACACTGGAACTTTTATATATAAATAGAAAAACAACACTGGGAACCTTTGTAAATCTCCCTTGACCAAGAAATATAGACATGCACATATTTTGTGTATTCCCACAGATGTATAGAGTCTGAAAAGGAAGAGTCAAAGTGCTACCTTCAAACGGGAACAACTATGTTTCAGAAACCCTGCTTAGAATCAGTTGGGTTGCATAGTTTGAAGCACAAAAACTGTGTGCTGGTGCTTACGTAAAATAGTTAATGAAAAGAAAGTCAGTGCAAGTTTTACCTAGAGATTAGATAACTTACTTTTAGGTTTGGGACCACTTTTTCTGTCCGGGAACTTAATTAACGGAGTGTGTGGCTTGACTACCTAGAACAAGGCAAGATAGTAGGAGGAACAGGGAGAGTAAAATGTATCACTAAGCACACATTATCTTCACAATAATAAAATGGAGCATACAACGTATTAAACAACTACTTCTATACCACTGCCTTCTGCACCACCACCCTGATCAACTTACTACTTACTAATATTCTGTGCCCACCCACAGAGAAGTTTCACCTTTAGAGACATTCCTCCACCCTAATGTCATGACAGGAGGAACCATTTTTCTTCCTTTTCTCACAGAAATCAGTGCGTGTGTGTGCAGAAACAGCTACCGCAGTCGCATAAATGCAATTATAAAGCTTCTGTAACAAGGAATCGGCAGCGGTGCTCTCTGCCTGTGCCTATTTGTACAGCTGGCTGGGTGGGACCGACGAGGGCCCTTAAAAAAAAAAAAACAGTAAGTTGTAAAGTTTGGTAGTCGAAGCCACACAGCTTGCGTTTGAAACACATCTTCTGAAGATCACCTTCACCTTGAAGAGGGAGGGCTTAGAAAGGAGACGCTGGCAAGCGCTTTCCCCTCCTGAACAGCGCACAAAAGGGTGCGGGCTGCCCCGCAGCACCCTCCGGTACCAGAGAACCAGGCAGCGGCGCGAAATGACCGGCGACACGGGGCGGGCGTGCCTCTCTCCCCGCGCCAAGGACACCGGCCTGCCCCGCGGCGCCTCAGGCCCCGGCCGCCTCGGCCCTTGGCGGCCGCAGCCGGGCGAGGCCCGCCGCCCGATCGGGGCTCTCGGCCCCCGCCGCGCCCCCCGCCCCGGGCCCCCCGCCGTTACCTGCACGACCCTGGCGGCGGCCGCCATCTTACTGCCCATGGTGACCCCGCGCCTGAGGGGCCGAGCTGGGCCACGCCCACTGCGCGCGCGGCACCGCCCGCGCCCACCGCCCCCGCGTGGGCGTGGCCCGGCACGTTAAAAGTAAAGGAAAGAGAACCAAACGGTACGCTTCAAATAACCCTGCGCTTTATTAGTGATAGATCAAAACACGTCACAAACTAAAGCTTACAGTGCTTCAAAATGTTACACACTCGGATTTCAGCAACTTTAAAGCATAAAGCAGAAACGCAATTGTTGAAAATTAAAAAAACCCACTACTTTGCTGTATAATGTTAGGATGCTTAGTACGTAGCCCCCTCTTCCATTGTACATGTATTTTCCTCCAGTTTGTCATGTCGCATGGCCTGGGGCAGTATCTACACTTTGCATCTGCTGCTGGATGCTCTGCTTAACTAATCTGCGTATAGCACACTCACAAGAGGCTGTTACAACTAGAAACTTTAACATTGTACATAATGCTTTAATTAAAAAGAAATATAAGCCAAACTCAAGATTGACTTCTAAATTTTCCAGTTTTGGCTCTCTATAGAGGCTGCTGCATCCTGTCTGAGCTCTCCAGCCTCCTGCTGCACAGGGGAAGTGGACTGAAATGGCAGAGTCTTGGTTTAAATCCACTTTTACATAAAAGCTTAAAATATATGGATTATTCTTTTTTTTGTGTTGCCTTTCAGAAGATGAACAGTTGGGACAAGACAGCTATGATGTGGCTCTTCAGGTAGTTTCACTAGCTACGCTACCTGTTCAAACATTTGTTATGTACTAGGAATTAAATTTTCACTTTAGAGAGAACAACTTCCAGGAAGGTTAAATTGGTTGAACACCATTTCTCCTGACTCACAGAACACAGACATCTTGTTCAAGCTGTAGAACAACTGCCTTTAAAGAAGGATCTTCTGCCCAGTTAATTCTGCTTCCAATTATGATATGCTATAAGAAAGAAAGATTATTTGTTTAAAAAAGCCTTATTCTTTATCTCTCAAAAGCTGTCTGTTTTTGAATTTTTAATTTCGAATTACTTGAAATTCACAGCAGTGTTTAAAGTAGGTGGGATGGGGGGAAAGAGAAAGAAATACTGCTTTAGATCCTATTGCCCATACACAGGCAAAAAAAAGAAAAAAGTGGCGCTTTGAATTTCCTAGAGGTACTTGCACACCATCCCTATTTTAAACACAGGAACACAGAACAATTTTTTTTTTTTTTAAACACATAGAATAAAGTCTGCCTCAAACACAAGATAACACAGTTAACGTTCTCACCCTGTCATTCTGGATTGACAAATAGGAATTATTAAATTTGACCAAATAAAATTTGCTCTACTTAGGACTCAGATACAAAGCGAGGAGAGAATTCTAGGAGTCTAATGTAAAAGCCATAAAAATGTTTAATTTCTCATTCTCAATTTGAGATGGAACATTGTTATCAGTGCAGACTAGTAGTAGACATAGCATGCAATAGAAAATCATGTGGCTTGCTTTCTGTTCTTGAAATTCTTCTGATCATCCCAATTCACAGTACGGTTATATCCTGTCTTTTGCCTGAGGCCCTCCAATATGTTGTCTCTTTTCCCCAGTCTAAATTTTTAAAATAAGCTTTGTGCATGCTTAACTGGGATTTTATAACCTGCTTGCAGATAAACTCGAGAGCACTGCAGTTGCAATTTACCATTCGCTGCACCTCCCACCTTTGTACTTAAGTCACTGATCTGTGGGGCCAGGCAAAGGAAGCCAGGACAAGTCACAGTGTGAGAGACAGGGTACCCAACTGCAGCACAGCATACGTGACCTTCAGTAGAGCCCCTGTGAGCACAGGATGCTGCAGCAAAAGGCCCTTACACCCTGCCCCAAATCATGAGGTTTTCCTCCTCACTTTGCATGTCTCCACACTCCAGGTGACCTGCCAACCAGATGCATGGATACAAAACAGTCAACAGCATCGGATATGGGGGTAACCAAAAGGTTGAAGGCTACACCACTGGAAGTATTCGGAGACTGGCCGTGACTGCAGGACAAGGCTTTCATAAGGCTGCTGGGAGGGACACAGAGAAGTGCAAGAGGTCAGACGGGGCTGATTGAGGAGCAGCAGCCTGGCTCACTGGTATCATGGGATTAAGACCTACTTGTTTTTCCTAACCGTGAGATGGGGGAACTGATTTGGGGGGCAGGGGAGGGCAGATGTGGCTCTTGGTGTAAGGAAATATAGCCGCTGCTGTGACAGGCATTCTCAAAAAAAATCCCAAAACATTCTTTTTGTACCTTAAATGGAACAAAGGAATAAATATCGATTGATATACTGTCTCTAAACTCTGTACATAATTATTCTAAATAAGTTTTTGACAATTTCATGCTTTTAGATTTCAAAGCAATCAAGTTCTCCTTTCTTACAGAAGTTTTTCCATTACCATCGTTTCAGTTTTTAGAAAACACAATTTTTTTTGAAGTTACATTTACCATGCACTATGTTATCTTGACTGTTATGCAAAACTGCAAACTTGCTTCTAAAAGCTCTAACACATTACCTGGAATACATGTTGAATTATTGTAGTTATCTCTCTTTCCTTTTGTAAGTTACCATGTATCTTCTCCAGCGTTTTGCTCACTTCCATATTTGCTTGTTCCTCCTTCTGTTGTTTTACCATGGTATTAATTTCCAGTAGTTTCTGTTGTTCAGCATTTTTTAGTGCTGTTCCATTATCAGGAAAATTAAGTGTTAAGAAGTAGTTAGGTGAGCAGTAGAACTAGATACACGCTTTTTTCCTCACAGGTATTTTCTACTGAAATAACCCCAACTTCATACTCCGTCCCTTCCCTCCAATATACCTCAAGACATTACTTTCACATGAGAGGCAGCACATGCTGAGGCTACCCAGTACCAAAGTACATCAAATGATGCCCTGGCTGCTAGCAAAACAAAGTACTTTGTATGCTGTCTGCATTTCTGTCAGACGTGGACTGTAATTTGAACATTTGTCCTACACCCTGTCTTTGGTTGTCACAACTTTTAGAGTCAGAGGTATTTAAGACCCTTTCCCTTTTTTCAAATTTGATCAAAACAAAATTCTAAAAGTCGTACAAGGGACATATGGACAACACCAGTGAATATTACTAGTGTTTTTATAGGAAACCAGGCTAAAAACTAGACTGAATAAAACCATTTCATACATTGAAAGAATGCTGACAGTATTCCTTTCCTTATTTCCAAAGATACGAGAGATGCTCATTTTTCCTATGAAAACAGGTATTTGTGTTTATTCATTACTGTCAATGTATACACCACTTCCTATACATGAGAAAAACAATAGTTGTTAAAACTGCTGGCAAACCTGGTCATAAGATAGTGGGAGCATCCAGAAAACATATTTACCCTATTAAGATTTGAAGATTGACTTCGCATCTAAATACAACCCACTCTAACAAGCCTATTGAATACCAACATATATACTATTATGAGAGCTCTTTGTACATAAATCCCACCTGCCTCTCTTCTGCAAACATTTCAAAAAGGTGCAGTCTGACAAAAAAAAAATCCTTTAGGTGTTGTAGGACTGATTTAAATTATTAGAGGATGTGTAGTTTTCTGGAGAGCTTACACAAAGTAATTAAACACCACCACATTCTTTCTGAGCATCTTCTTGCATCTGTCATTCTAATATGTCAGTCTCATGCTCAAGTAGACAACACAACAGCTCATTTTTATAGTACTTTCTACTCTTTCCAGAAGTTTTATAACTGTGTTGAGAGTTTCAGTTACTTCAGATGTAAATTAATATTGCTACAAGAACTTTAAAGTATGAACTGTACATTCAAATATAAAACAAAGTCAATATAGCTAACACACTTACAGAGCCTTTTCCTTTTAATGTCATTCAGTTTCTGTTCCTTCTCACGTACTTCCTGAAAGGAAAAAAAAAAAAAAGTATTTCCTAGACTCTTGTCTCAAAAAATATTAAAAGATGTTAATTCAATTCACAAAAGCAGTTAAGGGCAGCGTAACTCACTAAGTAATCATTTCATTAATTTTAACATCAGTAGAAAACGCACCCTTTGGGCCAGATATCTAGCTGCAAATGACCTGTTCAATCCTATTACTTTCAAACCGCATTCCTGATCATGTTGAGGTTGGTTATGCCGACACAACTACAACAGAAGCTACAACTGCCACTTACCTGCTGACATTCAATTATTGCATTGCTGAGTGTTACTATATGTTTCACAGTTTCCAGGATCAGTCTAAGGAAGAGAAACACAGTTGTATACCTTGAGACCATTAATATGAGTCAACAGCATGTTTTAATCAAAATTATTTGGATTAAGCAAAAAAAGAAATCCCCATTCCCCCAACACCAAAATAAAGTGGGGGGTGGTTTCTGTGGTGTGTTTTTTTGTTTGGTCTTGTTTTTTTGTTTTTTTTTTTTTTTTTTTTTTGTTTGTTTGTTTGTTTTTTAAAAACTTTTTTTTACAGTTATTATAATCAATATTGTTATAGGCGACAAATAGACTCCTTATTTCCCTCTCAGTTGCCCTAATGTTTCAGTTAAGTCTGACTAACATTTCAAATCACAGAGTTTGGAAGGCATCAAGGAAGCCTAGCCACCTGAAAATGACTAAGAATTGAAGCTCCTGAATTCTGGCATGTGGCAGGGACATCATACAGATGCAATGTTCTCAGCTATATTCCTGACAGAAATTGTATTTCTCATATTGCACTTCATATGTGTGTATCTGTTAATATTGGGCAGGAAATTAAAAGTTAGTTTTAAACATGTTTGAAACTTTCAGTTCTTTTTCAGAGACATTAGGCTTCTACAGGATTAATTAATGAAGGCAGCAAAGCAGAGGCAAGGCTCTGTTAAAAGTCGGTAAACGTGCTCAGCTACTATAAACGCAGGTAACTCATGCACTAAAGACAAAAACCTGTTAACTAGAAACAGTTCTCAGTAGTGAATCAAAAATTATGATGTCTTTAATCAAAGTTCAGTTAATCCAGAGCCCAAATGTAAATCCACGCTGGGTATAAGAGATCTGATCATGCTGATTCTAGCCATAAGGTGGATGGTGTATCATTCATCCAAGACTTCAGCCATAACTAGAAGAAGGAAGCTTGCTTTTAGAAAAGGTACAGTGAAATAATGTAGCAATGTGTCACATTAAACTGTGTGAAGTCCATTCCTTTCTAGCCATTCTGTCCTCAAGAACACCTTACCGTGAGTGATCATCATTTTGCTTCATTCTGTTTCTCAGGGCATCCGCAAGTTGGCTCCTACATAGTGTGGGGAAGAAACATTAACTGGTGAGAACTGATAAGAAACTGAGAGAAGTAGATTAAGATAAGTAATGAAAGAGATATTTCCAAGGTTCCATTTATGTCCATTTTCACATTGGAATTATATATATACAATATCAAGTACCTTTTAACCATCACATTTCTTAAATAATGGGGCTTAACTCTCAGGACAAAAAAGGCGCATCAATGATTATTTGGGAGAGTGACAACTTTCTCTCTTGCCAAGCGTACTTGGACACCTTTAATCCCAGAGTCTGCAAAAGGGAAGCTAGGCAAAGGAGGGAATTAAAATAAACAGCCATCTAAGACAGGAGATGTATAATATCGCTTCAACCTTTTCAGATGTATTTGTAAAATAATGTCAAGAAATGTTTACTGATTTATACAGTCATACTTTCACGCTTTTGTAGGAACCTCTGGGTTTACTGTTTCAATTTGTAACTTTTTTCTGTTGTTGTTCTTTATGGTATGTTCATCTGCATACCTACTGGTTTAACGGTACTAAAATCTCTCATGTTTGTAACGCACACCACGTCACTTTGAAAGACTGTTCTAATCAGAATTATCTACATGTGCATGTGTGTGTGCATACATAAACAAGCAGAAAACCTCCATATAAATGGGAAGAAAATTCTACCTTTGCAAGGCTAATGACTTGTTCCTGTAAGAGATTTTTGCATCCTCCACATCAATTTGCAAGTGTTCTTCCTTGCTGAAGAAAAAAAAAAAAACAACAACATAAATCCAACCCCAACCAGTGTGAAGATAACAAAAAATTAAAAAAAAAATGGCACATTTTTAACTTGCTTTCTAAATGTCTAAAGTAAGAATTTTTCCTGTAAATCACAAATTAAGGTCAGAAGTATTTTTTAGCACGTGGAACTATAGAAGTGAATTCAATAGCTGTCACAAGGACTGCAAGTTTAGAAGCCACATGAGATACAGAACTACATTAGGAATAAAATATTTTTCCCCCATATTTCCTCTTCATTTCCTTTATTTTCACCAGACTTTTACAAAATACTGATCATTAATCCAGATATTTACTAAGAAGGAGTAACTAGAAGAGAACCTCCGAGCTCAGTTCTTAACCACTGTCCTCTTTATTTTAAAATACACTAAAGGTTTGAAGTTACCAGTGACGTACCTTGTGCTCTCTTTGTCATGATCAGAGTAACACTGTTGATCTGCAAAGAACGTCACTAAAAAAAGCACAACAATGACTTTTAAATACAATCTCCAGACCGTAAGAGATAAGCAGTTTGATGGCTACACTGAAAAATTAAGTTTTTAGTCCTATGTCCAGGCCTTGTCATCTCTTCCACTGTTAGTAAGACTACACTATCAATCAGCTGCATCAGAGAAATAATTAGGCTTTAAAATATTTCCATTTGGCACATTTTAGACATGGCAGAGCTAGCTCACAGCACTGCTCTAGGTGTGCAGCTGGTTGGTTCAGAGGAAGAGGGCATAAGTAACAGAAAGGGGACAAAGGGAACAAGAAACGCCTTAAATCAGTATTACTGCCAAACGCTTTGGCAGACTTTTAGTATGACTTCAGCCCTTAGCGATCAGAATCCTGAAAACCATCGTCATCACGTGTCAGAGGAGTCTAAAATGAAGACCCCGAAAAGAGAAAGGGCAGTGGCCAGTAATCACATGGCAGCTTCCTAAGCGTTCTCACACGTCTCCGAGTGATGTCTAAGAAATGCAGTAAGACGCCCAGCAAAAAAAAAAAAAAAAAAAAAAAAAAAAAAAAAAAAAGAGTCATTATTACAGCGAGAACTTTCGATAAATAATTTTTCAAAATGTACGCATATTAGCCGTGCCACGTTCTTGGGAGGCAGGACGGGAGTGAGGAGGAGGAGAGCGGCGGCAAACTTACGGACGCGCTCCGCGGTGCCACACTCCATCAGCTGCTGCTTCAGCTTCTCCCTCAGCCTGCGGGGAAAACAAAGCGACAACGGTCGGTCAGCCAGCCGCCCGCCCTCCCGCCGCCAGCACTGACACCCCACCACCACTGACACCCCACCACCACCACCACCACCACCCCGCACGCCCCCGGCACTGACCAGAGCAGCCTCGTGATGTCCAGCTCCGCCGCCAGCCTCTCGGCGGCGGCCGGATCCCGCTCCTGCTCCGAAGACTCCATGGCCGCTCGTTCAAACGGCCCGCGCGCACGCGCCTCCCACCCTCGGCGGCGGGGAGAGAAGCCCCAGCAGCCCCCGCGCCGCGCAGGCCCGCCTGGCGCCTCCTCTGCGTTATCGGCGATTCGGCGCTCGGCCCGCCAGGCGGGCGCGGGGCGGAGCCGCGGGCCGGGCCGAGAGGGCCGGGTGCTCGGCGCGAGGGCGCTGGGGCTGGCAAAAGCGGGGAGCCGCGGCCCCAGGGCGCGCGTGCTGCCCCTCACTGTCCGCGGCGGTGCCTCAGAGATAGGAGGAAGCCGGCTGTATACCTCAAAACACAACACATCTTTATTCAAAGCTCCAAAAAGCACAAGACGTTATACAGAGTTGCACATAGTGCTTAACGTTGTACCCGAACTCACAAATTATTTATCAACTAGAGGTTGGGCTAGTTCCCATATAGCCGAAGAAGAGAGCTCCTGACGGGCACTGATGCCCAAGTTCGCAAGCGTGCCATATTTCATCTTGATTGCCTGCAGAGAGGTAAGTTTTGTTAGATTTATCCTGTTCACACTAGTCCAGCTCACCAGAGGCTTGCTGGTCAAGCCAAGCCCACCCTAGCACACACAAGACCAGTTCATGGCTGGCTCGTGCCAGTTTGGCCAGGTGGAGACCTTCGGCTGAGGTGAGCATGTCTGAGCCAAGCCTGACGGCAGCAGCTCAGCTAAGCCAGTGTCAGAGTGTCACATACTGACACTTACCCACGCATGCTCCCCACCTGCACCCTGAGGTTCTTACCAAATTATTGCTAATGCCTTCATTCACAAGAAATACATTCTTTGCCATGTGCTGCATAACTGGGAGAAGGTTGCTCTCGGAGAATGACGTGTAGTACTCCAGAGCTGGTGTCTGAAAGGAAGGGAAGTCATTAGACCAACCTACTAGAATAAACAGTACACTGGATTTGTTGTCTTCTGTTGGGCTTGGACAACTGCAGTCTCCTGTCTCAGTTACTGCCCTGCTGCTGTCCCATTGTAAGCAGCCATGGGGGGAGACAAGAACATGCTGAGATACCAGGAGGGAAGCAGCAGGCATGCACTTGGCCCAAAGCAGCCTTTTAAGCTGATGCACAGGCACATAAAGTCCCAAACAAGGAGGTGCTCCGACAAGAATGACTTACCCATTCCCATTTTTTCATTAGCTTCCAACTCAAACAGGCAGCAGCCGCCGCAGTCTTGGATGAAGGGAAGTGAACCATATCATAGTCCAAAATGGACAACTCCATCAGGTACTTAGCCAGAACAATCTCTCTGAGTCCCATCTGCAGTAAGTCAGAGTTGAATATTTGTTATCTCCAAGGAAAGACCATACTGTCAAGCCTTTTTTTTTTTTTTAGCCAAGAAAGAACAAATACTTCATTAGCAAACATTTTCAGATCTATAGGCTTGAAATTCAGATTGCTTAGCCACAGACTGGCTCTGAGCTGTATTAGGCAGCTCATAGTCTAGGACCACTCCTTTCAAGGGCAGTTGGGCAGTTCCCTACAGTACCAGGCAGGCATTTTAGCTCTGGTTTTGGGGAGGTTAGGCACATGTGAAAAAGCAGACAAACAAGACCTGTTTCTACATGGGAGACAGGTCTCAGCCAGGCTCAACTGCTAGACAGTTGCAGGACTCAAAAGTTTTGAACCATTTTAACAAGCTGCCAGAGTCAAGTATTGCGTTTCCCAGCTGCTGCTTACGGTAACACCTGTTCTCAGCATTACCTTTGAGGTTAATACAATCCTCTTCAGGAAGTATGGAGGGAGAGGATGACCCACGCGGAAGTCCAGGGCTTTCAGGATCTTCTTCTCCATCTGGCAGATTTGCAGCGCTGAGTAAGTGTTATTAGTTACATGGGTGAAGTCTCCAGCACATGGGGGATTAGTCTCTTCATATTTGCAGGCAGTAAACATAGCAGAGACACCAACCAGCTGCAAATTGATCTTGGGAACAGGATTGTTCTGTAATAAGAAGCAGTAGAGATCTATCTGAATGACTTAGCTCAGAACACAGCTTTTCAAGTTAGCACATGTAAGGTTTGTTCTATAGCTGGATGTTCATTCTGGCATATACAGAATAACTGTACATCATCTGTTACCTCTGTTGGCATCTGCAGGGACAGCAGAAAATTTTGAGATCAAACCAGGGAGAGGAGTAAGCAGTTTTGATACATCAAGTCACTCTTCGTAGCTGAGAGGGTTATGTGGTACATACAATTCAACAACAAATGCCCTCTGTTGGTCAGCTGTATTTTGTTAAGGGTAACATGTTTAACCATGTATGGTGTTACTGCTCAGTGCTTATTGTGCTTTAGAGCTTAGGGAAAAAGCATTGCCTGACAGTGGACAAGAGACACTCACCTGCAGGAAGTGATCGATGATAGCAACTGATCTGTACAAGGTTTCCTCGCAGAGTTTGTATTTCATCTGTACTTTCACAAGCCAGTCTACTAGCCTGGCACGCATATTCCCATTGATTTCCTGACCAGACAGATATCTGGGTCTAACAGGTTGACTTTCCTTCATGGAAAGAACAGAATGAATAGATGTAGTCACATAGCTGAAGCATTTGCAATGCCTGGCCTCTGTTGCATCTCAAGTCTTATCAAGAAGTTCAGTACAGGCATAGCCCACAGGTGTAGGCCACAGGGCACAAGGTTTCTTTGTTTACCAGAGATGGGCCAGAAATAACATGGTACTGGTACTACTTGTTGATTGGTCTAACGACCATGACTTGTTTAAGTTACCAAGTCAGTTTAATCTTGTATTGTAAATTGAGGGGTCTCACGAAAATCCACGGGTGAAGCTCCAAGCCATGCCTATAATGACAGGTTCACTGTAAGCGTCAGCAGGTGCTGCTTGCAGGTCTGACCTACTCCTACCAACCTCAAGTTCTTTCAGATAATTGTAGATGTCCTGCCCATAGGTGCTGCAGCAATAGATGTCAGCATTTTCTTCTGAGTCTTGCACACCAAGCAAATCATCACGAATAGCACAATCCTTTGGCTGGGCACATCCAGGTGCTTTCACAGGGTTTAGAAGCTGATGCTCCAACTACAAGGAAACTCAAGATCAGTGTGGGCAGCACCTCCCTCTGCAGCCCAGGTGGGCCAACCGAAAGGTCCCCTGAAGCAAGTTGCCCCCAGCAAGCCCAGAGTGCGGGAGCACTGCTGGGCCACACAACCGAGCTGGGGAGCGGGCTCATGGCCCCGGGGAGGCAGCAGGCAGTACCTGAGAGGTCTCTCTCAGGGGCTTCGGCAAGTTCAGATGCTCCTTCACTGCGACCCCAGTAGCCACGGCACCCTGGGAGGTGAAGAGCCTGGTGTCTGGTGCCCCTCCATAGGCTCCCCCCGGCTCTGTGGGGCCATCACTGGCCTTCATATCAGCGGCACAGTTGGCGATGTCCCACAGCACGGTGCGGCTTTCCAGCTTCATCTTGGTGGCCATGCTCTGGAAGATAGGCAGCTGGCTCGGCTTCAGGGCAGACAGATCTGGGTTATGCTTGCCCTGTGGGAGAAAGTGGAGAGCTAGAGGAAGGGAACCGGGGGAGGGTTGCACGCACGCCAGCACCCCTCATGCCACCCTGCCCAAAACTGGTGTGCTGGAGGAGAGGAGACGAAGGCGGAGGGTGGGTTGCACAGCTACAGACCCCCGAGGCTGGAGGGTTATTGATGCGGACCCGGGCGTTGCACGGCTTCGCCCGTCTCCCCGACCTGAGGACTGAAAGGGAGCCGGGGGGAACCCGGGGGCGGACGGGGAGCTCCCGAAGCGTTCACGTACACCACCCCCCCTCCCACTAAGAAACTGGGATGAGCGGAGTAACTCAGGAGGGCTGCCCTGCCGCACTCTGCCCGCGGTGGGGAACGAGGGAGCAGGACACGGAAAGGCTGCGCGGCCGCCTTCCCCCCCCGCAACCGGCTTAGAGCGAGCGACCATCCCGTCACCCGCGGCGTGGCGTGACGCCCCGCTCCGCTCCCTCTCCCCAGCGCGCCGGCCGGTCCCGCGTCGCATTCACCCCGTTATTCTTTGACGCCACGGCTGTGCTGAGCGCAGGAACCGACGCCACCATGGGTGCCAACCCAGCCGCCGCCAATTTAAAGCTCCCGCCCCCCCACCCACCGGCCGCCCGCTGCTCTGGTATTGGCTGCCGGCGGCCCCGCCGTGGGGACGGGGATACGGCCGCGGCGGGGGGTGTGACCCACTCGTGAGCGGCCCTGGCCCCAGTTCGGGCTCTTCCCCCCACGGGAGCAGCCTGTCCTGGGGGCGACAGGGAGAGGTGGGCACGGGGGGTGCACGGCCAGAGCTGCCAATCACCTACTATCCCAGCTGATTTTTTAATCAGAAAAGTCAGGATGCACCACACAAAACATTACTGAAAGACATTTATTTTTTCCTCATTGTATACACGTATGTTGCTTGCTGTCAGATATGCAATACATAGCTGCAGTTTGTTTTAAACCTTCATTTCATCTTTGAAAGTGTTTTGTTGCAACTGTCTGCATACGAGCCAAGTGACTAAACTAAAAAACTCCCCCACTATAGTATTTATTAAAATAGAAATCATTTGGCCTATACCTGTAATTTGAAAGCCTGCCCTTACAGCACAGTTCTCACAGATTTTGCAGGGCTGGGGGAAGACCGAACCCTTTTATTGCCAGTTACAGGCTTCTGTTGAATTTAAGATAGATGTTTATTGCCATGGCCTTCCTGTCAGGGTAGCCAGGAAAACCACTGTGCATGTGTGTTGTGGTAACACACAAAAAGCTGCCAAATGCACGTTAAGATGCAGGCTTGCACTTGGCTGGGAAGTATCCAGCTACGAGCTGATCTTCACTGCCACGATCATCTAAACTTGGTCCCAGTCACCTTCATGTGTTCCGGGTCCTGTTGCTGGCAGCTGGGTGCTCAGAAAAAGTTGTGACAAGCATGAAGGCTTTTCAATTATGTTAAGCTAACTTAATTTGAAAAGAAAGAATCGCCCCCCCTGCCCCTTTCCATCTAACTATCATGATGGGACTAATGCTCAGTTTGGTGAAATGCTGTCAGCTCCAGTACAGTCACCTCAAACGTGAGTGGCACCTGTAAATACTAACTGAAGCTTTTGGTTTGAGAATGGTTTTGCAAAACCGAAAGATCACACTGCTTTTAGGCTGAGTGTAACTGTAGCACTGTTAATTCAAGTGACCTGAGCCTTCTGGAGGAGGCAAGGTGAGAAAACCACTGCCAAAGGCATAGATCGGAAGAAAACGGGATCAAGCTTTGAAAACTGCTGGTTCTGCAGCACTGTCTGGGGAAATGAGGGACTGTGATTTGTGCTGTCACTCTTCATCAATCCATGTAAAAGCAATGCAACTTTTAGAAGCTTTCTGACCACAGTTTTTCAAGTCAGTCCTGTGCTGCAGATAATGTTTTAACGCAGCATGGGAAGAAGAGAATTGAATGCAAACTTGTTTAACAGTTACAGAAAAACCCTATGGAGTTTGTATAAACAGTCACAAGAGAAGCAGAATTGCTCAAGGACATTTCATTGCTGTTAAATCTTCTCAACTTCCACTACTATCAAGTCTGGTCTTTATAACGGTACTCAGGTATTGGTCCTAAATAGCAGAACAAGAAAACAATATGACAAAATAAAACTGCTGCGATACGTGGAGTGATGAAAGATGTACTCATTCCTGCTAACTGCTGAACTGATTTGCTGTATTCAGAGGAAAATATTTAAGGGCTTCAGACAAGAAGGGGGGCACAGGAAGACGGTAAACAGATGTGAGGATAACCAAGTCTGAAGCAAGCATAGCCCCAGCAAGCATAATTCTTTCCTAAACACTCTCTTTCCAGTCAAGAAGTCTCAACAGTCTGTTCCAGCAACTTGCCAAGTCCCAGACTACTGTCACCATTTAGCATTCTACTCCCGGACTGCTTCCTTGAGTAATACACAGAGGTACAGCTGGCTGCAGTACACCTGCAGCGGAGTTGATGTATGTCGTGGTTTGGGCCTGATCGGCAGCCAACCCCCGCAGCTAATCACCCTCCCTTCCCCCTCCCCACCTGGGAATGGGGGAGGGGATCAGAGGGGTGAAGGGAGACTCGCAGGTGAGATAAGAACAGTTTAATAATGGCAATAAAACGAGAACAATAACGATGATAGGGGGAAAACAAAAAGCAATATATAACCAGGCAATGTACAGCGCAATTGCTGACCACCCGCTGACCAATCCCCAGCCCGTTCCCGGCCAGCGACCCCGAGACACCAAGATCCCACAATCGCGATCCCAGAAATGAGAGAGAGAGAGAGAGAGCCCCTTCCCGACCACCCCTCCTCTATACAGTGAGCACGACGTGCCATGATATGGAATATTTCACTGGCCAGTTTGGGTCTGGTGCTGTGGCCGTGCTCCCTCCCTGCTCCCTGTGCCCTGGCGCACGGGCAGGACGTGGGGAGTCGGAGAGTCCTTGAAGTCTCGGCAGCAGCTGAAAACATCCGTGTGCTACCAGCATTCTTCCCATACCAAACCCAAAGCTAAAGCCAAACCACAGCACTCATCTAGTCCCTGAAAAGGAATATTAACTCTATTTCAGCCCAAACTAAGACAATGTATTATGAAAAAAAACCAAGTAAATGACAGAATAGCATATCTTGAAGAGGTGAAGTTTAGCTGAGTGCTAGGATGCTCACCAATTAATTACTTTAAGCTTCAAGTTATTGCATTTGCAGTTATTCATATAAAAAGTACAAAAAAAAAAATTTTACAGAGTGGTTATTTGATTCAAAGTTTTCCCAGGAAACAGAAAAGTGTCTGAAATTTTTTTCCCCTCCCAATTTCTGTTAACCTGGGGATTTTTCTCCTTCAAAAAGTAATTTGATATAAATTTTAAATGGTAACATTTATTTTTTATCTTATGCATTAAGTTTAGAAATCAGATTTGTATGCTGAGATATAAAAAACGTGTATTTCTCTCATCTAACAAAGTGTGAAAAAGGCATGACCTCATGTTGTTTTTTACTCCCCATAATAAATGTATTTTTTTTTCAGAGACTTCAAGCTATGTTTGAAAGAAGAAAAATATTTTTCAGTTATGTTTGCATTCCAATATAAACTATTTCAATTTCCCACTGCTAACAAGAAATTATAATTATGATGTTCCATATTTAAGAGAAAGTATGGATTGTATTGGTGTTCATCCACAAGTTGCAAGACTTCTGCTTAGTAAACACTAAACACGGTATTTTAAGATTTCCATTATTTTCACATATACGGCAAATATTCAAGTCCATCTTATTTCCATTATAAAAGCATCTTGATCCAATTTTATTAAAGACAGTATGCTTACAAAAATTAAAATATATAGTACATTTGGTTCTGTACACGTATGTGCAAGATCTCCTGACAAAAATACTAAGATGGAATCCTACCACCATTTATACACTTCCTTTGGTGGACAGAGCTTTGTATCACATGATGTAAGTGCCATCTTTGTAGTATTTCATGGATTCTAGTTGCTGAGTCATTGCAAGGACATCCTGAAATCCTGTACTGAGTCCAGACATATGTTGAAAATAATCTGCCTTCTCCACTTGGACAGTTAGGTTGTTTACACCAGCATCTTTCAAAATTGCTGTAACCTGAATAGAACAGTAAAGTTATATGCATCTCACAGTAACTTGCAGTATTCTGGCTCTGAAATACTGTAGATTAAAAAAATGTCATAAAGAATTCAATTTCCCGAAAGCGAAGACTTAGCTTCAGAGGGTATGGTTTTGCAACTTCAGCGTAACAGGTAGCTCTCAGTGTCTTGCATAAGGAAGTGTCTTTTTAAGGAAAAGAAAAACTCAAGGCAGACAGGTATTAGTAAGCCAATTATAAACCCATGATTAGCATCGAGATATCCCTACTGTTCACTGCCTGTTTTCCCACATGAAATCCACCTCCTCCTCCTCTTCTCCAAGCAGATGTAGTGCCACTTTCAACAGTGAGAACCCCCTCACCCCACCACTTTTTTTGGTTTTGTTTTGGCCGGTGTTTTAGCAAACAACTGTTGATGCAACTAATTCCAAGCTAGCAGGCAAGAGGAAGTAGAGCATTAGAGACCAGCTCTGAGACATTAGCTGGGACGTAAGAGCTACAAAAATAATGACAAACAGCAGCTTCAGACTTCAGCCTACAACTGAAAAAGGGCTACAGAGTAAGAAATTAAGACATTAGGGTCTAAAAACCTTGCACCTTACCTGCTGTACGATTCGCTGTTCCATCACATCCGATATCACTTGCACATGTATTGTACCTGCCACAACACTTGCAGAGTGACACCAAAAATGAGGATCTCTGTAGGATATGACTCCCTCTATTTTTTGAATCTGTAAAGAAATGACACTAGCAACAATTAATTCAAGAACACATTTTAAACTTTTGTATGTATGTGGATAATGATGGCAAATATTTCACAGGGAAACAAAGCTGTATAACAAAGCAGCTTTCCAGCTAAGCTGTAATCAGAAATAGCTGGTACTGAAAGGTCACCTTGCTACTGCTGTCAAAGACTAGAAGCCAGAAGTCAAAATAATTAAATGAAAAACCTGTCAGAGTGCAATGCCAAACAGGATGAGAAACAACTGATTTAGTGTACAGTTCACAATAACATCAATGGACAGACTAACCAGAGAGCTGGCTGCACACCTAGTCATTTCAAGGGCATCTGTAACCTCACTGTCCAGTATAAAGCAGCTGTTTAGTTACCATAGCTGTACTTAATTCAGAGACATAATATCTTCCCATAATTTATAATTTTTAGAAAACTGATCTTTGTACTGGGTCTGGCTGGGATGGACTGAACTTTTTTCACAGCAGCTGGTAAGGTGCTGTTTTGAATTTGTGCCCGAGTTCTGAGCACACACCAATGTTCTGGCTATTGCTGAGTAGTGTTCAGGCAGTCAAGGCTTTGCCTTTTTCCCACTCTTCCTCTGCCCCAGCGAGGCCTGGGGGTAGGCAAGAAATGGGGAGGAGAAACACTTCGGACAGCTGACCCAAGTTTTAATGCCATGCTCAGCAATAAAAACTGGGGTAGAGGAAGAAGGGGGTTTTCTGGCTTCCAGGGGGGTTGTTGCTTGGAGACTGGATGGGCATCGGTCTGCTTGTGGAAGACAGCGCACAGCTTCTCCCAGCCCTCCCTTCTACTTCATCTGTTAAACTGTCTTTATATGGCTCCCAGATTTTTCTTGCTTTTGCTCTTCCTTTTCTCTCCCCTGTCTCACTGGCAGTGGTGGTGGCAAAATGGGGAGTGAGCAATTGCTGTGTGGATGCCAGGCTGCTGCCTGGGGTCAACCTACAGCAAGCATATTGTTTTACTGTGATGTACCTTTAAAAATGATTTTCCTACTACCTTTCAATGAATTGATCTTAGATTGCTTTCTTCTTCCTCACTGTCCCAGAATTGCTGTCTTCTCTCATCAGAAAGTGAAACCCTACTCTGCACCTCGCTTTCCTTTCACTACACAGGTCTCCCCCACCCAATTACCTTTATTCTTTCTCATGCAGACAAGAACACATCTCCTCCTCTACTAATTGAGAGTACACCATCAGGATAGTCTTCCTTGCTGCCTCTAGTTGATGGCAATTCTTTGACAGAGAGGAGTTCTCCACACTGAGGTCTGCACTACAATTCTGGTCAGGAATTTCAAATGAGCCAACAGCTAAGTCTAAGTACAGCCTCAAAATATATAGATACCATACTACAGCAGACAGGAAGAGAATGGATTAGAATGAAAAATTAGAAGAAAGAGCTTTACTTTTGCCATCTCACCTACTGTGAACCAGCATGCCCATCATGATATGGGGAAATAACAAAACTTGCAGTACCAGGCTAAAGGTATAATCCTGTAGCCTGAACCGTACACATCAAGCTTTAAAAGGCTGCAAGGTTTTGGGAATTGCTTCATTACTTTCTTAGTACTACACACCTTTCCCACAATTTTTTTTAGTTGCAAAACAACTTTAATCAGTAAAACTCCTAATCCTGTCACATCTCTGCAAAATAGATTTAAAACAACTAGAGACATGAAGTTGTCTAAGACAAGAAGCTGTCAGACTGACTGAACTACTTGAGTTTAATAATTATTAAAAACAGTCATAGCTTTGTATGTTTGTGTATCAAAACATTTAGAATCGTAGTTCTGACCTTTTCTAAAGCGCCATGCAGATCTTTCTCCTGTTCTGGAGGTATCCTCAATAAAAGCACTTGGCAGGCATCTTTCAATAGGGGGATAACACTAAGAAAAATCAGTGTAGCAATAAAAAGAGAGCAGAGCGGATCGGCTATGAGCCATCCAAAGTGCTGAATAAATATTGTGGATACGATAACACCAACACTGCCAAGAGTGTCTGCTAACACATGCAGAAACACACCTGAAAACAAAATAAACTGAATGATTAAGTTGAACAGTTCTATTTAAAATGTATGTATACGTTCAATAGTAGAAACACAGCAGGGTTTATTAAGACAAACACCCCTCAAGCTAAACAGTGGCAGTTGTCTGCCTAACCTGGTGCAAAATCTGCCTAACCTGGTGCAAAACCAAAACATTTTGTTTTTCTAATGTTTAATTACAAATCAATATATAAAAAAACCTGTTACTCAACGGTGCGATGATCTAGGGAGGCATTTGCAGATTAGACCAAATGTTAATAGTCTTCAAATCGTTAGTGGGATGTGTACTATACAGCATAATCATTTAACTCTGTATAGAGGAACTTGTTGATCCTTAACAGAGGATAAAGAGATCAGTGTAAATGCATTGGCCTGATAATGCAGACAGGTATCAATATATCACTTGGTTTTCACGTGCCAACTCTGCTCCAATTGTATAAGAAGATTTGTCTACCTGCTGCTGCTAGGAATTTTATACTTTATACTGCTTTAATGATAGGTAGCATCCTCAATGTACACAGAAGAATAATTTCTGATCATTTGTAAGTGTCAGGATTTGAAAGAATACTGAAATAGCTAAGAGCATGGGCAGACTTCATAAAAATGCCAGACAAGAGAATAGCCAATTGAATTGGGACATAAAATAACCAACGAAATAGGAGACTATTTGCTAAAATGCTTATGCTCTGACAAGGTTACACAAAAAACTCACTCCTTTATAGATTTGTTTATAAGGCAGGCAGTTGGTAAGTGACTACTTTCTATCTAGTAGGGAAAAAATTCTAAGAAGCAGCTATGGAATTTTTTATATATTGTCCTTCTCCGTTAGTTTTTGATTTTACATTTGAAAAAGAAATTTTCATCTTTATCACCTTATCTTCTGAATCACAAATAGAAGCGTGTTCTAGATTCCTCGTCTGCATTTATTCTTTTGCTTCTTATCCCCCCCCGCAGTGTTTTTACAGACACCTGTCACATGACACCTAAAGGCATGGTAATCTTTATAGAGACCTTGTACTTTCATTTCCAGATGGAACTTAGAAACGACGACTTTAAGCTTATTCAGTAAGGTTTACAATGACTGTTTATTAAAGTTAGTGAAGCCTGTAGATTAATGCTTTTTGTTGGTCCTTAGATATTACTCACATCTAAGAAAGCTATGCAGAGAAACATTTCAAATCATGTTTCTTCAAGTTAAACTCATCAATGAAGAAACAGTGACAAATTAATGAATATCACATTAAATGACTGTCAGATCACTTCCACAAAGCAGCTTTAAGAATGATGCATAGCACTGGGTCTGATTCTGAAAATCTTCAAAGTCTGCTGGAAATCACTTATATTATTTATGATTCCATAATCTGTACTTGCCTCTCATGTTGGTATTCATGCCTCCTCCAGAAGACCCGTGGGAATGTCCATGGTTGTGCCCATGGTCACTGTGGGAATGGCTGTGCCCGTGGCTGTGGCTGTGCCCGTGGTGAGAATGGCTGTGATCGTGTGAGTGACAACCTCCCCGAGAAGCCCCATGGGAGTGTGCGTGGCTAAAGGCACAGATACCAACAAGGTTTACGATCAGCCCTCCAACAGAAACTGGCTGTGAGAGGAAGAAAACTCTTTAACTTCACTACATCTTCCCAGGTGTTCAAGTTTATTTTCTAGAATGCGGTAATCAAAGATACTGTGCACCCAATTCAGGAAAACTTAACTTCATGTGGAAGCATTAACATCAGCAGAAGGATTATTCTAATACGGATTCCTCATCATAATCCTTTCAGTATACAAGCTGGTTTCAAAGGAGTTTTCTTCCTCTCTCAAAAAAATCCAGTTCTCCCCAACCTTTCCAAAAACTCCACCCAACCACCACCACCAAAATGCAAACCCCAATATCCACGAATCAGGACTACATAGCAAATTTAGTTTCATGAAGGGGTGATTGATTTTCTTTACTTTCAAAAAGAAATAAAGTGGCTTGAATACATGCTTTATTTTGCTTTCGTTGGCCAAAAAAAAAAAAAAATATAGTATATTGTATCTAGGACATGCACATTCATCTAACATTGTACTTAAACGAAGACAGCAACTACTGCTTTGTCGGCTGAGTTGTGCTTTTTATCTGTACACCTATTTTGCTGCTCTCTTGAAAAACCAGCAAAGGGTAAGAGTAATTCCAGCTAAAAGAGGAGTTAAGGAAGTGCTGCTGAGGGCTATTAGACCTTTCCTTAGCTATACAAATTGTGCCCATGTAGAAGGGTAACACCTTATGCCCCCAGGAAACAAAATCAGTAGTGAAAATGGAGCAAATATTGAAGATTAAAAAAAAAAAAAAAAAAAATCAGGCCTTGATTCCAGCAATGCACATTTCTAACTGTGCCTACATAAAAATCTTTGTTACTGAAGAGAGCATGAGAGCACAAATTTGTGTGTGTGTTTGTGTATGAGCAAAAACAAGTGAAGCTGGAAATGTGATAAATGAAGGCTTGGATTTGCAGAATTACATAATAAAAAAAATTAATTTGAAGAAAATGAACTATTGCATTTGAAAGAAAGGGGTGGAAGCTTGAAGATTTAAGTGGGGAGCATCTGAAGAGGCTGTGGAAGGTAGAGACACACACGTGTAGTTAAGACTAGCTATGCACAGCTTCATGATTGTTAGTGCCATAGTAACACACTCTGCACAATGTTATGAATTTCAGCTGATTTTTGAGGTTTCTCAGAGATTAATACAAAATCTTTCCTGTAATAATTGACATTGGTATACAGAAGGACCAAAGTTAGTCTTCTAGACTTTATTTCCTTACTATCTTATATTGTAGAAAGACCGCCATCTAAAAAGATCAGAGCTGTATCATCTTAGGAAAAAATCTAATTTAACTGTTATAATTAAATTATATTCACCCCTATATATTTTCATATTTTAAAATTAGATGTAGTTTGGATTTTAAAATTGTTAAAAATGTTAAAAAGTCAAGGCACAGTTTAGATCTTGGGAATGCAACTTTAGTCTCCTTAACATTTTTTTTTTTTTTAAATTAAGACAAACATAAATGAACCATTAACTGCCAAACAACATACAAACAGAATAATAAAACTTACAGTTAGCATATTTGTATCTATGTCTGGAGGATCCACCAGTCTGGCCACTGATTCCATGAAGACGAAGAAAGCAATTACCATCAGAAAGAGTCCATTAATAAATCCTGAGAGAATTTCTACACGTCCATACCTGAAAGCAAATATACGTACTTTTGAGAGTGAAGAACAGGTACTCTAAAAAAATTTCAAAGTTCTAACAAGTAAAGTTTTAATACATTTAATAAACTGTTAAGATTTTTTCCTCAATGCCACAAAATCATGCCTTAATTTCTGGGTTATTTCTGATCAAGAGGTAGCTAGTTTGCAACTGTCCAAACACCAGCTGTATAAAGCTATAATCATCTAAGTATTTTTTTATACATATACTATACACTCAGGGCTTCAAATGCTAAATTGCTGTGCAATTTAACCATACCAACTTTGATTATGTCAGCAGAACTGAAATCTTCATATTAACACTGACTTGTTTGTTTTGACAGAGATACTTATATAGAATGAGGCAACTTCTAAATAATATTCACAGTGATAGAGTTATATTTGTAGAGATAAATGAAAATTACATTTCAGACACTTTTTTTTGCAGGGTTAAGAGGAGAACAGCGTGAACACAAATGGAACAGAAGGGATGTAGCAAAAAACCCACAGAAGCAAGCACCATTAGAACATCTCAAACATATCTTTATAGCAGAACATTTTAAAAATGAGCAAGTACAATAATTTTCAGATAGTCCTTAAAGAATCTAATATACATACCCATAGGAAAATATGCGAGTTGCTTTCCATCTTGTCATCAGAGCTGCAAAAAGCCCCATCACTAATGCAGAACAATCAAAAAGCATGTGAAATCCATCAGAAATAAGACCAAGACTATTGGTCCACACTCCATAAAACAATTCCACAAAAGTGAAAGCCTAAAACGAGAGTGAGTTGGAATATTCCCTTGAGGATTAACTTGTAATTTAATATCTTAGTAGCTAGCAGGAAACTTTTCATCGGACACTTGACGGTTTTTAAAAGTATTGTTCAAAGTATTTCTAGACCATTTTCTCTCTCTTCTAATGAAACCAAAGAGATACACGCCAAGTCTATGAAGAGACATTTCTGAACCCACCCTCCCAAAAGTCTTAGACCTAAGAAAACAACCCTCTACAGAAGTAAATTTTACTTTAAAATTCTAAATGAAAACTCATGTTGTACAGACAATATTTTAAGTATTTTGTCATTAAATAATGTAACAACTCTTATCTGATTTATTATTAGTGTAAAAGCAAAGCTGGCTATACATTTGTTCTGTAAAAATTTCCTTCACCAAGTAGCTGACTGTCTAAATCTTAGGAATTAATTTTGAGAAGGGTAGACAAGGAAACATTTTTAATACAGACATTTTCCCTGTGCGTTTTACTATTACTAAGTGGTCTGCCTATAAACTTCCTTTCCCAACCTTCATATTCCATAATGGAATTCCTTGAAGTTATCATGGATATTTCAAGTTTCTCCCCCTATTTTCTTGAATAATTGCCAAAGAATGAAGAGACCTTTCCAAATGAGGTTCTATCAATCCTACTTACTGCATGATTTCTTCATTTTTTGAGAAAGTGAGAAGCTAAAAATAAAAACAGCCTACTCCAGAGTGACAGTAATCAATCCCACACTTATTTTGTTGACTCCATCCCTGAAGGCCTTATTAGTTTCAGCTTATCTGCTGGTAACATTGGGATACCTCAACCTTAAACATACCACCGTAAAAGTATTGACTTACTGGTATAATAGACACACAGAACCAGTGCTGTACTGTGATAACACATCAAAGTGACTTGTCACTTACTATAAGATTAGAGTGAGAATATTCTATTTTAACATTCCGTCTAATGAAACTACTCTATTGAGGGTCACTTTAAAAAGAATCAATCATGGGAACCTTTTAAAGAATAACTCTTCTTCCTGTACTATGTATGTACTACTGTGATTTGGTTTGGAAAAAAAAAAAAAACCAAAACCCATGCACTTACCAGATTTAGGCACAAGAAATAGAAGATCTGCCTGGAATCATACTCCTCAAGGATTTGTTTCAGTGACTCCTTAATAAACCGGGGTAATGACTGAGAGCTCTGATGTAATGCATCACCCATGAAGTTATAGAGAGGAGTGCCTTCGGGAGAATAGCCAATAAGGGTACCCTTCTGCCCTTTCCTGGAGGGGGAGGACAGGATATTGGCAGCTGCAAGGAAAGCATTGAAGTTTTTGTTGCTGTTTCTAAGCTTCACAGCTATTTTATAATGTGTTTTATCAGCTATCAAAGTTTACATGAAATTTGCAGGCAGCAAAGTGACTGTCAACTTCATCTTGAGGTTTATAATTAGATTTCATTGCTATGTAAGTTTAGATCATCACATCCACAACAGATCAATTACACGTTTTGTTTTTTTTTTTTTTTGTGGACAAGCAGTAAAAGAGCACAAAGTTACAGGTTCTTTTTATTCAAAAGAATCCATAAAACATCATCCAAAAGATTTCTGCACGCATCCATTTTCTGGTTGGCTTCCCAGTCACAAGGACAAAAGATTTACTAAAAGATAAATGAGAATACATACACAGAATGAAGAAGACAGCACTCACTACCACCCCTCCAGAAAGAACGTGCTCTGTGCTTTCATGGTGTGGTGGCTTGTTCATAGCTCGAAGCTGGTCTGTTATTGGATGTGTCCAGAAGTTACCGAAAAGCAGTGCACTAACGAAAATAAGAAAGGATCCGTATCGAGCACACGTGGAAGCTTCCATCTTGACCGAGCAAATGGACTCCACGTAGAAATCCAGGATTACAACGAAAAAGATGACTGTTATGAAAGGCATGATGAGAGAAGACCAAGACTCTACTTTACTCTGCAACAAAAAATACATTTCAAACAGGACTGTTCACCATTAGATGTGATTGTATACACAGCATTAAGTCTAGTTCAATTTTATTTAAAATGTTTTCAGCAATCCATCAAAACGTAAGTAATTTTATACTTCTAATTTATCATATAAAACCAACATTCCAGCTACAGAAAGACACATATAACTAACAAGCACTACAGTATCTTATTTTAAATACTATCATGTGCCTAAAGACAATGCCACATGCAATGCCACGTTTTCAGTGGTCTACTCTCCTTAAGCATGAAGGCATAACAAACATGTCTTTAGTTACAGTAATCTACTTCTCGAGAATAAAAGATGTGTTTATAGTCATTAATACTCGTGCAATGTTAGTATATGAATCCAGGATATAATACTTGAGCTAGAAAGATGAAATGAAGGTATAACAGAAAAGAGGAAATTACGGTATCACACTTATATACATCAAGATACAGGAGAAAAATTTCAAACAGAGTTTGCTGCAAAAATAAAGATGGCAACTTTGGTAATTTTAAAGATATTTCTAAAGGAAAGATTTAAATTGCTTTTCACAAGCAGAAGCATTACAAAAATTTACTTATTGTATGTACTTGGTATCTTACCTCTGTTGTCAGAGAGAGGACAATGACCCATGGGCACAACAGGAGGACAGAAACAAGATGAGACAAAGCTTGAAGACGCTTGGCTCCACCTACATCTACAGATAGTTTTCGGGAAGCCACGTGAAAACCAACCTTACAGCACAATGCCAGTACCAGAAGCAGTACTCCTCCCTGGAAACACAAGAGGGATCCTGCTAGCATTTCTTAAGAGCCAAATACCTTACTCCAGACAAACTGACACTTGCATGAGAAAAGATTAACGTGCTTCCCTGAACTTATCAGCAAAAGCCAAAGACAGGATGTTTCCTGTAATTGTTACTCTAACAGTAACATAGCATACCTGGTTATACCTTAGCACTATTTGCAGCAGCCTAATACGACTTGGAAGTTTAAAACTCTCAATAGTGTTCCCTGGCATACAGCAGCAGTGAACTGGTAGTGAACAGCATACATGGAAAAAGAAAAATCACACAAAATTCAATTTCCCATCTTTCATTATTAAAAAAAGTGTTGAAAGCATACATGAACCCCAAAAGGGGTGACATGAGTTACCTTGGCCTCTTAGCCTTTCAGAGTCTTTTCATTCACTTACCTTTAATCACACAGTATTTCTTCACAATATTTTCTTTCAAAATTTTTCTGTAAATGGATTACAAAACACACGCACGGCATCTCACCTCCCTCAGATCACAATTACTTTGCACACAGTTAACCAGTCTCACATTTGATTTATTTTTATATTGATACTTTATCAGCTGCTCTTTTTCTTTTTTTTTTTTTTCCTGTTTTAGTCCTCAATGCAGCCACTTTAGCTACAAGGCTAAGTTAACAGAACACCTCAATCAGCCAGATCAATCCCATACAGTAAGATTTTGATACTCAGTTATTCATGCCACCAATTACAATAGGACTATACTACTGAGAATATCAGAATCTGTGTCTTCAAATACAAGCACCTAATGTAAAAGAAAGACTGGGGAAATATAAAGAAGCAGCAACAAAACACAGATGCCAAAAGCGAGCAAGAAATGGCTTGTATACAAAGCATTATAAACATCCACAACACTGATGACAGAATACTTAGTAATTTTAATGAGACTTTTTAGGTTATACATTACAGCAAAGTCCTTATCAGCTATACATGTTGAATATTGAATGGTTTGGCTTGCTGTATTGAAGCTGCTCATAATCAGGATGTAAAAATAACAGTGGTAGTTCAGTTCGAGTATGGGGTGGGGAAGTTTAACTTCTTGGTTTTGATTTAGACTTGGATTAGCTCTGAGCTGCTGCAATTCTTACCTAAAAACCTTAAGAGAAATACTAACCTACTAAAATACAAGTTATTTACCTTGTGATCTGCAACACCCAGGAAAGCAATGATTGTATACAGAACATGGGTAAGAGCACTGTCATGATGCCCCTCAGCTAAATAAAAAAATAATTAAGGAAGTTTTATTTGATGATTTTTTAAAAACCAAGTAACAGGTGGAGGTAGCAGGAGACCACAGAAAGCAGAACTAAGCAAACTGAGCTTTAAGGTTTGTCAGATCCTTCAAATTTAGGAAAAATGAAAATATTTCCACAGAAAATAAATAGTTAAAAATAGGGTGGGTGAGAGTATTTTAAAACATGAGAACACAGTCACGGCTAAATACTACACAGCAGTCATGATACAGGATTTATATTAATTCTGGCAACCAGATTTCAAAAAATAACAGCGTCAAATATTATATCATCAATTTTCACTAAAAGCACTAAACCACTGAACTGTCTAAAATATGATCTATATCTTTTCAGTTTCCAAGTATTTAAACTTTCAAAAACAAAGAGTAATTGACAAGCACAATGCAGCAAATGATAGCTTTTGGAAAACTGCTAGAGGGCACTTTAACAATGAATTTACTCATTGAAAACCCAGTGGATTGATATTATTCCTTAATATACCATTTGCATCTGTAATCCCATGTTTTCATCCTTCCTTGAGAAAGTTTACTTTCACCTTGTTTGTTTCTACTGTCTATCCTTAGACGTACCACTTTTTGCCAGTACACTTCACTATGATGAGATGATCTGTTGAAAACTTACTTCACAATCACTTCCAACTTACTCAGTGGCTTTGAACACGTTAGCCAGCTTCTATTTGCAACTTAAAGTCCACTGTTGTTGGATCTACTGCAGGCTACTTCACATCACTTTTCAGCCTAGCAGATGAACTGAGATTACCATGTTTGCAAAAGAAAAACAATCTTTAAGCTATACTCTATGATATTTGAAAAGTTATGGCAGTCAGGTGAAGTGCCCAGTGACTGGAAAATGGGAAACATTGAACCCATTTTTAAAAAGGGTAGAAAGGAGGCCCCTGGGAACTACAGACCTGTCAGCATCACCTTGATAGCTAGGAAGATCATGGAATAGATCCTCCTAGAAGCTATGCTGAGGCACATGGAGGACAGGGAAGTGATTTGAGACAGCCAGCACAGCTTCACCAAGGGCAAGTCCTGCCTGACCAACTACAGAAGTGGCCTTCTATGATGGAGTGACTACAACAGTGGACAAGGGAGAAGCTACTGATGTCATCTATCTGGACTTCTATAAGGCCTTTGACACGGTCCCCCACAATATCCTTCTCTCTAAACTCGAGAGAGATGGATTGGATGGGTGGACTGGTCAGGGCATGAGGAATTGTCTGAGTGGTTGCATCCAGAGGATAGTGGTTAACGGCTCCATATCCAGATGGAGATCAGTGACAAGTGGTGTCTCTCAGGGGTCTGTATTGGGACCGGCACTGTATAACATCTTCATCAATGACATACACAGTGGGATCAAGTGCACCCTCAGCAAGTCTGCAGATGACACCAAGCTGAGTGGTGTAGCTGACACCGGCAGAGGGATGGGATGCCATCCAGAGAAACCTGGACAAGCTCAAGAAGTGGGCCCATGTGAACCTCAGGAGGTTCACGTGCCTGGGTCAGGGCAACCCCTGGTATCAATACAGGCTAGGGGATGAAGGGATTGAGAGCAGCCCTCAGGAGGACTTGGGGGTACCAGTGAACAAAAGCTGGTCATGAGCCAGCAGTGTGCTCACAGGTCAGAAAGCCAACTGTATGCTGGGCCGCATCAAGAGAAATGTGGCCAGCAGGTTGAGGGAGGGGATTCTCCCCCTCTACTCTGCACTGGTGAGATCCCACCTGGAGCACTGCGTCCAGCTCTGGAGCCCTCAGCACAAGACAGACATGGACCTGTTGAAGCAGGTCCAGATGAGAGTCACAAAAATGATCAGAGGGATGGAACACCTCTCCTGTGAGGAAAAGCTGAAGGTTAGGCTTGTTCAGCCTGGAGAAGAGAAGGCTCCTGGGAGACCTTATAGAGGCCTTTCAGTACTTAAAGGGGGTTTATAAGAATGACGGGGACAGACTTTTCAGTAGGGGCTGTAGTGATAGGACAAGAAGTAATGGTTTTAAACTAGAAGGGGGTAGATTCAGACAAGATATAAGGAAGACATTTTTTACAACGAGGGTGGTAAAACACTGGAACAGGTTGCTCAGAAAGGTGGTGTCATGGGTGAGTCTCTGAGAGGTATCCCAACTTGGAGGTACTGGGTCACAGCCTGCTGTGATCCTGGACAGCTCAAAGGGTCTCACTTAGAGTCACTATAGGGTCACAAGATGCTCGACTTTGGTCAGTAGTATTTCATTTTGGCCATAATTCCTGTCAGGTAATTCTGGTAACTTCCAGAGCAGACTAAGAACCAGGCCACATGAGTTATAGATACAGTTCCCAGGCAACAGTAGTTCCAGGTACAGTTAGGGAGTGCCTAATTGTCCTAAGACACTGCACTTGTATAAAGGACAAGAAAGTGCCAGATCATCCTAGCTCTCTGCACTTGTAACCAAGACAATAGCACAATGTTGGCTGGTCCTGATGTTACAATGTGGCCCAGGGGTCCTGCATCACCACAGGTGGTAGATGTCCTATCCCTGGAAACATTCATGGTCAGGCTAGTTGAAGATGTCCCTGCTCATTGCACGAGGGGTTAGACTAGATAATTTTTAAAGGTCCTTTCCAATGGAAACCATTCTATCCTTCTGTGATTCTATGAATCTTTCTGAATATATGGAAAAGACTGTCATCCAGGCTGACAACCACTTACTGCACATACTTAGGCTACAGCTATTATGTCTAGAACTTCTAAAGAAAAAAAGGAGAGTTGATCAGAAAAGCTTCTGGCAATCCTAAGTGGTCTGACATGTGCAAATGTGCAGGGAGCCTTTAACTACAACTTAAAATCTATAGTCGTGTTCTAAGTTATCAAAGTAAGCAATGACATTCATTTAGCTGTAAATATCAGTATTTAGATGTAGAAGTAAAATCTTATGCTATAATATTCCCAAAAGGTAAGATTCACATCAAGAAAATGCAAGCACATTTAATTCAGTGCACTCAACTTCCCATTCTCTCTGCTCCAGCAATAATAGGCACTTGCTCTTACACATGGCAAGAAAGGATACGATGTTCTGCTATTTTAGCCATGAGGTCATCATTATCAAAAAGTAGTAAGCAGATGACAGCTATGATGAAAAATGCAGCACCTCTTGTCTGTAAAAAACAAAAAAACGACAAAAACCACCCCATATATTTTTATAATGTGACATAACAGATTGATTAAAAAAAAAAATCCAGGAAATCAGTCCCCTCCCTCCCCCCTTCCTGATCAATGTAAGCATATTTCAGTTCAGTACGAAAAACATGAGGAAAAAACCCACATTTTTTTATTTTTTTAGAAAAGTGACTTTGACAATATCATTTTATATTTATTCCAGTTTCAGATTCACCAGGGAAGTCAGGGCAGATCACCACTGTAAGAAGCTACAAGACTGTTTCTTATGAACTTCAAGTACAGTTGCTTCTTTGTTCATGGTGTATTTCTGCCTGCCATAACGCACAGCTACTTAAGTCTGATGATTTATTCTTTTGTAGCATTAACGAGCTATATAAAGTATCTAGTGGATAAACTGTAGAATTTTGTCTTAGGGAATATAAAGGCTAGAGAACTGTGCAAAGGCTCTGAGAAAGCAGAGCTTTGCAGTGCTTTTGTGGGGAAGGGACAGAGGTAGCAATGAAATTCCAGCTCCCAGTGCTTTCATCACCTTAAGACACTGCAATTTTGCTGTTCATCATCTTGGCAAGACACTGAGCTCTGCAGCTAGAAAAGACTATTACAGTTAACCTTCTGAAGCTATCACATTCTTGTTTTGGAAAGTCAGCTTGCTTCTCTTTGCCACAGTTGACTTCATAAAGCTGAAACATTCAGAGGACAGAGTTATCAATCCCTTGTTTCTGCTGCCTTAGACATGCAGCTTAACTGCCAAGCATGGCCCACTAAGATACAGACTGACAACAAACCTCTTTGAAGCTCTGTATCTACCTTTTGGGTGGTTGGCTGGAGAAACGTATTTGTCTTCTAGATGAAATGCTTCATTCTGCATGCCCTAAGCATCTCAATTTGAGCAGGGTGCATGCAGAACTTCAGAACAGACAACTGTGCTATTCACTCCAAGACTAGCCTAAAAGTGATTTGGGAACTCCAGCAGCAGTTATGAGACAGAGATTTCAAAACTCCCAGCCTGAGGTGGCACCAAAGACAGACTTTCACTTACACAGCAAGTACTCTAGCCTCAATTATATGACATCATAAGGTATCTTCCTTCAACTGTCACTGTTTTTGAGTTAAAGTGACCCAAGACTCCTAGGTGCTGGGATGAGCTCATTAGGGCTGATTAGGCATAGTTAGAAAACACCTTGCAAGATTGCGTGTAATGGGACTCAGGCAAAGGATGTCTCAAGTACAGATCTCTGATCAGGTGAAAGACTGGGCCCATTCAGCACATATAGGCTCATGCAGACATTAAAATACTTAGAGAACGTTTTGGCAGAAGAAACAAAGTATGTTAAAAGCTACAGACACTGAATAGGCTAGGCAAGGACCTGGAGACTGTATTGCTGGACTTCAGTGCCTGAAGGCCAGGTCCACTACACATACGTCCTTTTTTCAGTTTGAACCCGAAATCCTGTTACAAAGAATGCTTAAGTGCAAAAATAATTCTCCAGGTTCTTTTCCATCTACAAACAGAAAAAACTTTCAGATATCTGCCATGTATCTCGGTTTCTCTCTTAATGTCATACTTCTTATTCCAAGTAGAACATCTTATAATTTTACCATTAAGGAAACCCCACAGCTTCTATGAACATAGGTCCAAAACAGTTCCAGGTAAAGTAGTTGAATTTATTGCATTTAGTATTTTTTACATTTCATAAAACAAATTTTTAAATACCTTTGCTGGTCCTCCACCTGAGCTTGTGAACAAGACACTAAGGAGTGATAGCACAACCACATCACTGTGCTCAAACAGCAACAATGTCCTATAAAAAGGTGAAATAAACATGTCCACTTACAAGCAGTTTATCTCACAAGCTTCATATACACTATTTCTGCTAAAATTCAGTATCAAGTTTAACAAATGCTTCTGCCATTCTCTGTGCAGCCATACAACCTACTAGAGCCCATGTTAATGGTTCTGTTTCAGGAGACTGTCATCATACAGAAAGGCACTACAGTATTAAGAAATCCTATTATTCTCAGGTATGCCTTCTCCTGTGCAAAGGATAACACTTCAACTTCATAAAGTGTATCATTTAAGGCTTTACCTTCCTCTCTCTTATGAAAGATGCTTTCTAATTGTGCTGGTTTTGGCTGGGATAGAGTTAATTTTCTTCATAGTAGCTGGTAGGGGTCTGTGTTTTAGATTTTTACTGGAAATGGTGTTGATAACACAGAGATGATTTTGTTACTGCTGAGCAGCTTACACAGTGCCAAAGCCTTTTCTGGTCCTCACAGTGCCCCACCAGCGAGCAGGCTGGGAGTGCACAAGAAGTTGGGAGGGAACACAGTGGGGACAGCTGACTCCAACTAACCACTGGAGTATTCCATATCATATCATGTCATACTCAGCATATAAAGCTGGGGGAAGAATGAAAGGTGTGATGTTTGGAGTGATGACATTTTCTCTTCCCAAGTAACCATTAAGTGTGATGGAGCCTGGCTTTCCTGGAGATGGCTGAGCACCTGCCTGCCGATGGGAAATGTTGAATAAATTCCTTGTTTTGCTTTGCTTGTGTATGTGACTTTTGCTTTACCTGTTAAAACTGTCTTTTAACTCAACACATGAGTTTTGTCACTTTTACCCTTCTGATTCTCTCTCCCATCCCACTGTAGGAAAGTGAGAGTCCAGCTGGGTGGTGCTTAGTTGCTGGCTGGGGTTAAACCATGACACTAATATATTAACCTTATTTTCTGGAAGCCTAATGTTACTCTCTTATAGTTACTCAATCAGTACTCCTAAAAAACAACACAAGTGATTTTATTCAGAGTATATGAATGCTACCCTATTCCAACACAGCACAGGCATATGACCAGATAAAGCAGTGCCCTGCAACAAATGCAGAAACTAATTCTAGTCACCTGACAGGAATACAAGCTGCTATCACTAGCTGTCAACCCATGGACTTCAAACAGTTAAATAAACAATTAGGGTTACAGTAATGAGACTATGGTAAAGATGAAAATCACAGTCAGTACAACAGCCAGTGATCTTGTATCACTCACACCAATAGTTCAAGCACTACTGATAATTCCACTGGCATCTTGTCAAAGAATGAAGAAAATTGCAAGTTCTATAGAAAATTGTATGTAGCTCTTCCCAAGCAAAACACAGTTCACAGGAATAAGCATAACAATCCATTCAAAATTTTGAAAAATAAAGCCAAAGGCTAGCGTCTTGGGCTAATGGACACAAAACAAAAGACAAAGGAGCAAGATGGGGAAAGATCATAAAAATTAGCTTAAAAAGAGAAAATATTCTTTACCATAACCATATATTTACCTCAGTGGTCCACAAAGAGTAAGGCCAAAAAACCACAAGAGTGAAATGATACATCCCACAACAGCATGCTTAAAAATTTTGATCCACTACAAAAGAAAGGTATTTCATTATCATTTTCTCCACAGTTTCAAAATAAACACCCCATTATTAACACTAGTTTAGTGCAGTAGCTGTAGAAATAGAGGGGAAAACACATGCTTTGCAAGTTCTGTAAATTTCATAGTATGATTATCTTAACTACTTTGACAGGCAACTAAGGTGTGTTTGGACATACTATGAACCCGAACTACTTATTTCTTTTCTACTATGGTACTAGATTCTATCTGAGATCTCTTAAACAAAAAGCCTGAAAAAAATGCTGAAAAAAAATTCAAGTCCATTTATCTGTCAAAGGTGCTGTTTATTTTGTGATCTATTGTATATTCTGATAAACATATATAGAACTAGATAAAACATCCAAAATAAGGAGACTAAGACCTTAAGTCTACAAATATCTATGCATGTGTTAAAATTCTTTCTTCAGGAAGCAGGTTATAATTCAGCTATTCAATATATTATTAACTGTAAAGGCAAGTTTTTGAAGAAATGTAATTCATTTCGGGAATACATTTAACAAGACGAAGTGCCTGTGACAAACATCACATCTTTAAAATCCAGAATTTAAAAATTTTTAGCAATAGTGAAACCATAAATGGACAGATTTTTCCAAACAAGTCAAAGATGCAAGTTATTCATCATTTAATACTTCAAAATTCTGCTTTCATATGTGTTTAATCATGAAAGCAGTTGACATTTTGAACATTTCTGAGGCTGTCCTTCAGATTCTCTCTACTCATCACATACACTGACGACATTGTGCTTGGATCAAGTTTTTGTGTATATAATTACATAAAACCAAGATGAATATGGAGCAGGTGAAGAGAATTTATTTCTCATAAAACAGAAGGTTCCAAGCTGGTGCTATTCAGTCACCTCAGGATACTGAGAACTTGACACAGGTCTGAAGTGCATATATGAGGCCCATTAAAATGCACCATGCAAAAGTACTCTTTTGGTATTGGGGGACATCACCGGAGCACTTCAACTGTTCAGGCAGTCCAGAAATGGACTTTTGAAACTATCAAAGTTGGCTAAGTGGACTAAGCTTTTTTGAAAATCCAATCCTCAAAACAGATGCTTATATGGAGCCAAGGACCAATCCTTTCACAATACTCTCAAAAGGAGTTGACAAAAGCTAAAATTTCCAATTGTTTTTTATGGTGCACTAGGCACAAAGTTAGTTACACACTTCTGGAAACTGCAACTACATCTTCCCAGTGAAGTAACCTTTGTTCTGCTTTAACTTTTGGCAAGATCCATGTTGTGAAGAATATCTAAAGATGTAAATCACTACTACACATGTCAACTCACCTGATGTTTGGTTACCACTTTTCCAGAAGAAAATGGTTTTTGAAACAAAACCATAAAAAGTGCAGACCTGGTAAAAGAAGAAAGTTTTCTCTATTAGTGTATTAGAAGTCAGCTTTTTATGCAAACCAGCTCTAAATAACTAGGTCTTTCACATCAGAATTTTTGAGGAGAAATAGTATTATGCTTTTATTAACCAGATACATAGACTCAAAGGCTTATTCACATACCGAATGCCAAATAAAGAGTCTTGTTAGAAATGGTAAGAAACAGCATGTATCTTCCTCAACTGGGATCAAGAATAAGTGATGGGAAAAAAGCACTATGATGCTTGGGAATGCACCAAATGAGAAGCCCAGAAATGTAAACAAATATGAAATAAAAGGAAAAAATTAAGTTCCAACTCTGACAAGTTTGTTACAGAAATGCTCTTCCATATCTTATCAGGTAAACCTGAAGCAGGCTTGCATCTGCAAAGGTTGTTTCTGTATATTCACTATCAGTTTCTACACTTTAGTTCTCAATCAAGACAAAATAGCACTTGAAGCACACAAGAACTACAGGAATACACATTATAAGGAAGAAAGCTTGTTTTCTATACCCTTCTTAAGAAAATTTGGACATGCCTGAGTTTCCTATGATCAGTATTGTGATAGCATGATCAGTTTTAAGGTAGCAAAACCATTGAAGTTTCTTGAGGGTAGAGGGGTCTTACAGAGATGTGGATAGACTAGAGAGCTGGGCAGTCACCACCTGTACGAAATTTAAGAAGAGCAAGTGTCAGATTCTGCACCTGAGGACAGGGTTATACATACAAATTGGGGGACAAGAGGCTGGAGAGCAGCCCCACAGAAGGAGATCTGGGGGTTTGGGTTCATGGCAAGTTCAGTATGAGTCAGCAGTGTGCCCTGGCAGCCAAAAGGGCCAACAGTGTCCTGGGGTGCATCGAGCACAGCACAGCCAGCCGGTCGAAGGAGGTGATTGTCCCAGCCTGCACGGCAGTGCTGCGGCCCGACCGTGAGTACTGTGTGCAGCTTGGGGTGCCTCAGTGTAAGGAGGACATCGAACTGGCAGAGTGTGTTCAAGAGGAAGGCAACCAAGGTGGCGAAAGGTCTTGAAGGCAAGACTTAGGAGCAGCAGCTGAGATCGCTTGGTTTGTTCAGCTTGGAGAAGAGAAGGCCAAGGGGTGACCTCATCACAGCCTACGGCTTCCTCAAGGGAGATAGCAGACAGAGAGGTGCTGATCTCCTCTCTCTGGTGACCAGCAGTAGGGCATGAGGAAATGGAATGAAGTGGCGTCAGGGGAAGTTCACGTTGGACATTAGGAAAAGGCTCTTCAGGTAGAGGGTGGTCGGTCACTGGGACAGGCTCCCCAGGCAAGTGGTCATAGTACCAAGCCTGTCAGAGTTCAGGAAGCACCTGGACAACACTCTCAGTCATATGGTTTAGTTTTAGGTAGTCCTGCAAAGAGCAGGGAGTTGGACTTGATTATCCTTATGGGTCCCTTCTAACTTGTGATATTTTATGATTCTGAAATTATAGTGAGCAGTGATACAAAGGAAAAACACTGCTATGAACAGAGTATTTCCTGGATCCACTGCTATGCATTCTCATCCGCAATTAATCTATAACATAATGCAGAGTATAATCTTGAAACTGACAAAGAACACTGTAGACAAAGTGTGCTGTAAAACACTGGACAAGACTTCACTCGCTGCACACTTACCCCAGCTGCACTATAAAGATAAACTGCACAAGGTGAACTGCTTTCAGAAGATCGTAGGATTCAAACAGCCCCACAGCTTTCAAAAACTTGGTGAAGCACAACAGCATGATGTACCGAGTCATCCTGTAAAAGAAGAGAGGACAGTCTGCACCTATGACCATGCACATGCTGCTGACACTGTTCAGAACAAGGCGTCACTGCACCCTGGGCACAGGCCACACTGGGCCCAAACCTCACTCTACCCCAGCACCTGCAGGTGTCTCTAGCCCAGGACCAATCCCTACTACACCCCGGTAACAGGCCATGCTGGTGCACGGGCCCTGCTGTACCCCAGGCCCAGCCGTCGCTGCCATCTGGATCTGAGCATGGCTGCTGTCGGGATCCAGACAAAACCGGGACCAGGCCGTGCCACACGCTGGGATTTGATCATGCTGCTGTCTGGGCCCTGGCTCCACTGCACCCCAGTATTCAGCCCCACTGCACCCCAGATCTGGGACACCCCAGGCACAGCTCCGTCGCACCTTGGGAACTGGCCCTGGTGCAACCTGGGCCCTGCTAAACGTGTGTCTGGGACACACCAAGTCCCAGGCCCTGCTGCACCCTGGGCTCCAGCCAACCCAGGCAGTGGGGCCCCCCATATCCCAAGCCCTGCTGCACCCCTCCCTGGCCCACCCTGAGCCATAAGCCCTGTCACACCTGGGATTCGACCCTGCTGCTCTAGGGGCCCAGGCTCTGCCACACACCCAGGATCAGCCCCACAGCACCCTGGTCCCTGGCACACCTGAGTCTGGGCCACAAGAAGCCCTAGGACCTGCCACGCCCAGGTTCTGGGACACCTTGGGCCCACCTCCGTCACACCCCAGAAATCGGCCCCATTGCACCCTGGGCCCTTCCACACCTCAGTCTGGGCCACCCCAAGTCTTGGGCCTCGCCGCACCCCAGGCCCAGTTCAACCCGGAGACTGGACCAAATGCCCTGCAGCATTCCAGGCCCAGGCCCCACTGCTGTCCAGGTCCAGGACACCCTGGGTCCAGGCCCTCCCACACCCTGGGCCAGACCCCACCATCATCCGGGCAGAGGCCCTGCTGCACCCCGGATGTGAGATACCCCAGGACAAGGCTCCAGCTCTGCTGCACCCTGGGCCCAGGTCTTGCCACTATCTGGGCCCTGGCTGAGCTGCACCCCGGGAATTGGCCCCGCTGCACCCTGGGCCCCGCCACATGTGAGTCTGGGACACCCCATGCCCCGGGTCTGACTGCACGTTGGGCCCAAACCAACCCAGGGACCCCTGGGCCCTGCTGCGTCCCAGGCCTGGGCCCCACCGCCAACCTGGCAGAGGCCACCATGGGCATGGGTCCTGCCACAGCCCTGACTCGGCACACCCTGGGCACAGGTCCCGACACAGCCGGAGCACAGGTGAACTGGGTTCCAGGCCTCATCACAACATGGACCCGAGCTCCACTGCACCCCAGGCACAGGGTATCCCGAGGCTTGGGCCCCTCCAGACCCCAGGTCCTGGCCACACCGCACACCGGGCCCAAGCCAACATGGCAACTGGAATCTGGGCCCTGCCGCATACCAGGCCTGGGCCCTGCTGCTGTCTGGATCTGGGACACCCCAGGCCCAGGCCACGCCACACCCTGCGATTTGGCCCCGCCACCGTCTGGGCCCCAGCTCCGCTGCACCTTGGCAATCAGCTCTGCCACAGCCAAATCCAGGCCACCCTGAGCCCCGGGCCCCACTGCACCCCGGGCCCAAGGCAACTTGGGGACCAGACTGCGGGCCCCACTTCCTCCCAAGCCCAGGACCCATCACTGTCTGGGTACAGGCCACCAAGGGCTCAGGTCCTGCTGCGCTCCAGTGAAATAAACTGTTCATAACAAAAAAGGGAACTGTTCATGTTGGAAAATGGGTGAAGAAAAAAAAAAATTGTTCGGGGTAGCATAAGGACTTAAGCAATCAGTCGAACACCTGCAACATGTTGGCCATTGCACAGAGGTCCTGGAGCTACACAAGAATGATAAACACCTCCTGGGGGATGCACAAATAGAGAGATTTGTGCATCAATTGGGAGACTCCTAATCAGAAGCCCTTGTCCTTGAAGATGACGACCCTCTGAAAAGTAATGAACTAGTTGAAACTAGGCAAGTGTCCTGGGTTTGAGTGAGTGGTGGGTTTTTTTGATAGCAGTGGAGGGGGCTACAGCAGTGGCCCCCCTGTGAGAAAATTCTCAAAGCTCCCCCAGCTCCAAGCCTGCACCACCTCTGGCCAGGGCCAGGACAGTTAGCGACAGTGGCTGCACCTCTGCGATAATGTATTTAAGAAGGGACGTGGTGACATGCAGTGGGACTTGTGAGGAGGAGTTGCTGCAGCTGCGTGAACACCAAGATCAGCGGAGGAATGGAAGAAGAGAGGAGGGGGGGAGGTGTGTCAGAGCAGAGACCCCCCTGTAGCCTCTGGTGAGACGGCAGGGTGCCCCCCCCAACACCTATGAAGGTCTGCAGTGGAGCAGACACTGATTTATGGCCTGTGAGGGGCTTTGCATGGATGACCAAGGTGACTGTGCCTGAAGAAGGCCAGGATCTTGTGGGAAAAAGACCTGCTGTTGTAGTTCAGTGCTGGGAAGACTGCAGCATGCAGGGGTGTCCCATGCCAAAGCAGTGTAGAGAAATGCTGCAGCCTGTGTGAGGGACTCATGTCAGAGAGGGTTTGTGGAGGGCTGTTTCCTGTGAGAGGGGGACCACAATGGAGCAGGGGCAAGAAGTTCCAGAAGCTCCCCCCACTGAAGATGAAGGAAGTGGCAGCGCTGACTGCACCCCCCATTCCCTGCCCCTGCGCCACTGGGGGAGGAGGTAGAGATATCAGGAGCAGAGCTGAGCCCGGGAAGAAGGGAGGGGTGGGGGGAAGGTGTTCTCAAGATGTGGCAATGCTTCTCACTGTCCTACTCTGTTAAGTGTTGTTGTTAGTGTCTGTAATAAATCTATGGTCTTTTTTTGTTTCCTCTAATGAGTCTGCCTTTTTGCCCATGACCATAATGGGTGATTTGCCCCTCCCCGTCCTATCTCAAATCCCAAGCCTGACTTATTTTTTTTCATCACTGGGAGGGAAGGAAGGAATGAGCGGCTCTGTGGTGCTCAGTTGCCCTCTGAGCTCCAACCACGACAGCAAGAGATAAGAAAGTGCAGACATAAACCAAAGAAAGGCCAATTCCAAAGTACAGATAAAGTTCAAGAAGGGCTCCAGTCCAAAGACCACTAGAGACCACTAACGGCCTCCACAGAAGCACCTCTGATACTTAAACTGCATGCATAATAATTATGTAAATATGATAATGACTTTTAGGAAATTTGATTAAAATGTTTGTAACAGAATGGTATCAGCTTTGACTATTGTAACGTACGGTGGACGTGTTTGATGGAATGATTCCCTTATGTCCCTGGTTGAACAAACTAATGCCGCTTGTTAATGCTAAACCCAGAATTAAGTAGTTTTGATTCCTGATTTCGGTGACATTCATAAAGAGGATGTCTCAAACAACTGGAGCAGGACACTCTGTGGGGGGATGAGAAGCAGTGCGAGCTATGAGGAGGTGGGGTGGCAGACTGTTTCTCTCTCTCTCCCTCCTGTTGCTGCCCAGAGACAGAACTTGCCCAACTGTGCTGCGGCAATCCAAAGAAAATGAGAACCTTCTGGAACATCTTATTGCGCAGGTGTAAGAAAGACTATATAAAGATGACACACTTGCCTTGTGTTTTTGTCAATCCACCACCTAAGGGCCAAGCTTGCTACTCTACAACAATGTGGGACCCAAAGGGTGGTGATTTCCCCTTTTACCCAATGGGGTCAGTGGGAAAAACACAGACTGGATATTGACGGAGAAGGGAGGACTCTAAATTAGCTGAGTCTGAGTCCTCCAATAGATGATCATGACTTCCCCAGTTCATCCTGATCTCAACTGCTCCCCTTTGCTACAGCTGTTGAAAACGTATAAATCTTGTCCAACTCCCCAAGGGAGAGCGTAGACAGAGGAGAACTGGCAATTCCCAGTCACTGTCACAGAGTGAAGAAAGGATTTGGCAAAAGAGAACGGGTAGAGACCTGGAAATGGAAAAGCTGTGGTTTGTGGTGGCTTGGTAGCTGCATTAATAGCAGCCTATATTGTCAAACAGGCAGAGTGTGAGGAGAATGAGTATTTACAAGAGCTGGTTAAGAACTTAAAAGCAAAATTAGAAGGTAAGTGAAAAAAGTGGATGCAAGTGGAGGCTACTGTGAAGTTTACAAAGTCAGTGGCCAGACCCTTTTGTTAGGGATAGAGAGATGCATTTGTTTAGAGTTAGCCAAGTGGAGGAAAAAGCAGCTCGAGGAAAAAGGATCTTGAAAGCAAGTGTGGGTGTTCTAGCTTATCTAAGGAATAGCAAATGATTTACAGGGAAGTAGCTAGCCACTACTCCTGGAGGGAGATGGAGCAGATAAAGTTTAAGAACAAGGAGAGGATCCTCAACTCCCCCCACTCGTTAAAACAGAAATTCAGTATAATGAGGGAGCTGATGTCGCCTGAGATTAAAACAAAAGAATTACCCTATAGTACCAGTGAACTGGCAAAACTGCAGGAAAAACAGACTCCCCAAAGAGAGAGAATACGTGTGGAGGATCTCACTCATGAGCAGAGACAGAATTAAACTCAGTGAAGAGGAGGCACAGGGATATTGGGGTCTGGGTGTGTTTCTAACTGTCCCAGACACTAGGGCTCCCTGGTCTTTAACCAAGAGGCTGGAATACTGAGCTGGAGGGCTAGATCCCTTGGAGCAGACCTGGTAGCCATCCCCACTCAGGGGCTGGATCCAATTACCAAAAGTGTGTAGAAAGCTGCCTGTCTTCCGCTTATTCACAACAGGCACCTAGTAACCCATCAACCCTCCCTAATGCTGCTAAGAGCTAACCCGAATCAAATGAAACCCCTTCTACAACTACTGAAATACACAAATCCTCCATCACATAGCCAGTCTGACCTATTTGCATGTGCTAAGTTTCTTGATTGTAATACTGTCCCAGGAGACCTCCCTGAAACCTGGCTCTTGCAGAGAGTAAGTATTCTGATAAGGGAAGTGTATACTTGTTGAGGTTACCCTTCTAGTGGATATAAAATATATGTTGTGTAATAAAATTTATAATAAAACTGAAGATCATAACAGAAGTAAATAATGCAGTATACCCCATACACACTGTCCTTTGAAGATTGTGCCACTCACTGCAAAACCTGAAGTACATTTTATGGATTATAATGATACCTATATAGTCACTGAATTGGCAAAGGTACAGAAATATAGCAGACGGATGGAGACTGAAACCAAAAGCATCTAAAAAGCTGCCTGCCTCCAATTTATGTTAAGTCCTGAGGCAGCCATCCCTGATGCTACTGGTCACGGATCCCGACTGAATGACCCCACTTATAAGGGGCTTGTCAGACTCCCTACAATTATTTGCAATTCAGGTGCAAGATTGATTAAGGAATGCCCTGACTCAGTGGGTGGGACATCCTGCCAGGACAAGAGCAGGTGGAACACCGGCCTGTGGGGAGGCAGCTCAAGGGTTAATAAATTACTGCCAGAGAACAGATTTTAATGGGGGAATGGGTAAACCTAAACCTACCGGTACATAGAGTAGAACAGCAGGAAAATCAACACCCCGGCCCCACGAGCCTCAGGGGCAAAGAAAAACCTGCTTCGGGCAATTGAACAGGGGATTCACTCAGATTTGATAGTGTGCCTACTATGACCTTGGAAAAGCTCCTTAGAGTGTGGAAAAACAAAAGCAAGGTGCCCCCCTCCAACTGAACAGACCTCTTGAGACAGTATGAGGGTGGGATTCTGATGTGGTTAACCTCCTGGTTCCCTGATTTCTATCTATGTAATAATACAATGCTTTTGGATATGTTGTTCTGCTGTGGGGAAGTTATGAAAAAAAGGGATTAATATAAGAGAAACTAGTAAAGTTCCCTCTTTTATAGGCCAGAGAGGGATCAACTGTAGACAGTACACCACTAATCACTGACTCTACTGTGTAAACCTAAAACTTCCCATAAACAATGCCCTTGAAGAAGAGCTAAAAGGCTGGATGATCGCCCAAGAGGCATGAAGGCAGCAAAAACTGGTGGCGAGACTGCAACCACCAAGGCAATTTAGGACCAAGAAGACATGCCCCCCCCCCTCCCCCACCCTTTGAGTTTGCATAGAATGAAGGCTCTGTAACTTTAAATTGAGACAAAGCATGTTGTTATCCAGCAAGGGATAAAGTCATAAGTAACTACTCAATGGTCATTATAGTAAATGTGTAACCCCATCCATATTGTTACTCGCACAAACAGTTTATTTTTGTCTGTAATTTTTGTGTGTTGTTACAGGGAATGATCCTTTGGAGAGCCTTCTCCCTCCTCCTAATTCTTTCCATTGAAGGACAGGAAAAAGACTTTCTGAATTTAGCCTGGAATTTTATTCAACATTTTATGCACATCTGGAACAGCCCTAATCAAGGTATCTGTGTAGCATTATCAACACCTGCCAACAAAGGAGTTAACATCAATTTTGTCTGATAACATTTCATGTTACTCATTCAGACAGTTCAAAGATTTTATCTTCTATTTTATCTTCTTCCCTGAGGAGGAAACCTTGAATCTTATGGCTTATGGAAAAATTAATGTTGGGAATGGAAGAATGGGGGGAACCCAAGTAGTGATTGTAATTTTACTGCAGAAAAATGCTGTGGAAATGAAGGTATCCCCAGTGTCAGAAAAAACGTTTACTTCATATGCTATATTGTTGTTAAAGGAACATGAGGTATGTGGAATGTTAAATATAACTGACAGGGAATATTTTGTAACTATCCATAACGCATCCATTTTGACTGAGGAAGCCCAAGCCGAGAGAACTTGCAGACAATACTGGAGAACTTTGACCCAAGAGACTGGTCTGACAGGATCACAGCTGACCTCTCTGCTAAAGTTCCTGGGACAGTTGGGGTGGGGGAAGTGGTTAGCACAAAATGGAATAACTTTATTGGTTGGATTTTTATTCTTAATAGCTGGCATAGCTGTTGTTCAACCCATCTACTCACATCTTCTTCTCCTGCTGTTTGCTATGTTCACATCATCAACCTAGAAGATGACCTTGAAGATACTCCACCGACTCTTGTTGTTTGAGCCAGGGGGTGGTGTCATAACTGTTCATAAAAAAAAAAAAAAAAAAGGCAGCTGTTCATAAAAAGGATGTCTCAAACAACTGGAGCAGGACACTCTGTGGGGGGGTGAGAAGCAGTGCGAGCTCTGAGGAAGTAGGGTGGCAGACTGTTTCTCTCTCTCTCTCCCTCCTGTTGCTGCCCAGAGGCAGTACTTGCCCAACTATGCTGGGGCAATCCAAAGAAAATGAGAACCTTCTGGAACATCTTATTGCGCAGGTGTAAGACTATATAAAGATGACACACCTGCCTTGTGTTTTTGTCAACCCCCCACCTAAGGGCCAAGCTGCCACTCTACAACAATGTGGGATCCAAAGGGTGATTTTCCCTTTTCCTATTGCCCCATCTTCTCTTTTCTCTTTCTCTCTTCCTCTCCTTACACATATTCAGGTATGTAAGTTTTATACTAAATGCAATGGACTGTTAGGAAAACAGTGTCTTTGCTAAAGTGCCTGTATTCATTATTAGGTTATCAGTTGATCATTGTCAAATTGTCTCCATTCACTCACTAAAACTGTCAATTAATAAAGGTAACAGCTAAATTATTCCTCTGACTCATTGTTGTGACTCCACCTGCCCTATGGTTCTGCAGAGTGGAGACCAGATTGTGTGTCCCACTGTGGCCCCAGGCCCCACCCCATTGCAGGACTAGGCCAACTCAGGCTGGATCCTGCTGCCATCCACACTGAGGTCCTGCCGCACCCAGACCTGGGGCATTCTGGGACCAGGCTGTGCCAGGCACCAGGCCCTGTCACAGCCCTGCTCAGGGCCACCCCAAGCCCTGGCCTGCTCAGGACCTGTTACACCCTGGACCCTGGCTCAATCCTGGGTGGAAGCCATGCCACACCCCAGAAACTGTCACTGTCTGGGCCCAGCCCCTGTTGCATTCCAGGTACTGGTACCCTGTGACCCAGGTCTCCCTGCACTCTGGGCCCAAGCCAATCTGGGTACCAGCCCTGGTGCTGTCCAGGTCACTGCAGGCCCAGGCCTTGCTGTTATGCAGAGCCAAGGCTGTGCTGCAACCCGAGCTGAAGCTCCTCTGCATCACAGGCACAGGCCAACTCGGATCAGGAACCTGCTGCACCCCGGCCAGTCACTGGGCCCAGGCCTTGACGCTGTCCAGGACTCGGCATCATCACCGTCTGGGACCTGGCTCCACTGTGCCCCAGGATTCAGCCTCATTGCCACCTGGGTCCTGGCTCCACCATGCCCCAGGGATTCTGTCTCCTTGCCATGTGGCCATGGCTCCGCCGTGCCCAAGGATTCAGCCTCCTCACTGCCCGGGACCCAGCTCTGCTGCACCCCGGGATTCAGCCTCATTGCGGTCTGGGACTGGGCTCTGCCACGCCACAGGATTTCGCCTTGTCACCGCCTGGGACCCAGCTTTGCCGCATCCCGGGATTCGGCCTCATCACTGTCTGGGACCTGGCTATGCTGCACCACAGGATCTGGCCTTGTCACCATCCGGGATGTGGCTCCATTGTGCCCTGGGATTTGCCCTGTCGCATCCCAGGCCTGGGCCACTGCTGGCCCAGGCCCTGCCCCACACCGGGACTAGGCCACCCCAAGCCAGATCCCCCCACCATCCAAGACAACACTCTCAGACCCGGGCTGCCCTGAGCCCTGCCACATCGCAGGCCCAAGCTAACCTGGGGACAGGACCCCAGGCCTCACTACATCCCTGGCCCAGGTCCTGCTGCATCCCAGATGCAGGACACACCGGGCCCAGGCCCTGCCTCACAGTGGGACTAGGACAACCTGGGCCAAACCCCACTGCTCTCCGCACCGTGGTCCCACCGCACCTCAGACCCAGGACATCCTGGGCCCAGGCCATGTCAAGCTGTGGGGCCCAGGCTGCACAGGCAAGTGGGCCCTGTCAAACCCTTGCTTCGGGCTACCCTCAGCCCCTGCCAACTGGAGACCTGCCACACACAGGCCCCTGGCCCATCCAGAGCCCCAGCCAACTCAGGACTCCCTGCGCCCTGGCTCCCGACCCACCTCGGGCCCTGCTACACCCCAGAAACCGTCGCCGTTGGGCCGAGTCACACCCCAGGCTCAAGACCTGCTGCGCTGCGGGCCAGGGTCCCGCTGCCATGTGGGCCCCGGCTCCGCCACGACCCAGGATTCGTCCCCGCTGCCGTCTGGGTCACAGCTCCGCCACTGCCTGGACCCAAGCCAACCCAGGGACTGGACCCTGGACCCCACCGCATCCCAGGCCCCGCCCCACCACGGATTTGGCCAATCCAGGCCGGATCCCACCACCGCCTAGGACAAGGCCCCGCCGCACCCCGGGCCCTGGACGCTCCGGGCCCAGGCCTCGCCGCACCCCCAGACTAGGCCACCCCGGCCTCCGCCCCACCCCAGGGGCTAGTCCCCGCCGCCGACGCACACAGGAGGCCGCTGGCTCCTGCCGCCTCCGACAGACTGAAGAGCGACGCCCGCTGCTCCCCAAAGGGAGAGATGGCGACGGCCCCCCCGCCCCCCGCCTTCGCCAGGGCTCGCCCGAGTTCTCCCTCCCGCGCCGTAACGGCGGCTCTCCCCTCCCGCCGCCCTTACCGGGCGCTAGGCACATCCACGGGCCCCAGCACGCCGCCGCCGGCCAAGGCCTGACCGCCGTACTTCTCCTCCATGCCGGGGCGGGGGAGCGGGCACGGCCCCGCGCCCCTGCGAGGAAAGAAGCTGCCAGGGAAGGGATGCGAGCGCTCAGGCGCGCCGCGGCTCGCCTGTTCGGCAGCGGGGGCACCGCATCCCCCTGGGCCGGCGGAGCCGCCGCAGCGCGGGGGGGACGGGACGGGGACGTGCCCGGAAACCGGCCGCCGACCAGCGCGCCGACGCCGCGGGCAGTGCGCAGGCGCCCAACGGCAGCGGCGCGGGGGCGGGGCCAGGGGCGTTCCCTCCCGCTGGGGGCGGGGCTGGCGCTGGGCCGAAGGAGGAGAGGGAGGCGCAATTTGCCGACCCGCCTCGGGTGCGCGCGGGGAGGGGTCCCTGTCCCCCGTGGGTCCTGCCCGTCCCCCGTGGGTCCTGCCCGGTGCCCGTCTCAGGTGCTCGATGCGAACGGAGGTGTTGCGGTTTTGCCCTGCGTTGTTTCACAGAGAGGCGGTGTCGTCGCCCCCCCTCCATTTCGTGGTTCCACCAAAATAAATTAACTCTTTTACTTGTTCTTCAATGAGTATCTCTTACTTTTCTCCTTGCGCTCCGTCAGTCTGGTGTGCTCCTAGTTTCCTGGATGAATTTCTAATTACACGAACTGTTGGGATCAGATTTTTTGTTCAAGAGCTGTCAACTGAAATGGACCCCAGCCCCAGCAGCCTGGTGACTCGGTGAAAGAGCCAGAAACCTTGGCACATGTGCCTCCCAAGTTGCCCGAGAGCTTCCGTTGCTTTCAATAATCAATTCTTGGTGATCCTGCCTGTGGCAGTGTTTCCAGTCAGCCTTCCTCCCTTGATGCCCCCACTTATTGGACAAGGCTTTAACATGACCATGCTTCTGCTAAAGCCTCACCTTGCTTGCAAAGCCGTTTATACGGCAGTTTCTTCATACATGCACTAGGTCCCTCAGGATTTTCTAGTAAAGGTCACAAAACTGGGAAGCCCTGCACAGTGGTGAGTTTTGGTATTTATCAGAGAAGTTCCTGACACCCTACTGGCTTCAGCCCACCTCCAGTATCCCAGTAGGGTCTCTGCACGGGGATCACTTCACTCAGAAGTAGAGTGGAGCAACACCCTGGATGACACACAAAGTGTGTAACTGTTTATGGAGATGCTACAGAAGAGCACAGGGGTCTAAAAAATGTCCATATTGTGAGCTAGCAGCTTTCTTTCAGCCATGTATCAAACTCCCTGGTTTCGGGACATACCGACACATGATTTTGGTCCTTAGTTCATCACTGAGGCAGGACAACTGATCAACTGATATGAAGGGTGGTGGAGTGGGGGGAGGAATGGCACAGGGAAAGGGATACAGATGAAGTATGTCAGAGAGGAGAGACTGGAGAAGTGAGAAAGGCAACAGTAAATACTGGCCTTGCCTATTTCAAGTCCGTTTCTGCTAGTATCGTCTGTTGAATGAGTCTCAGTAATGGTCAGAAATCAAAGATTTATTTTATTTTATTTGTAGATTTGCAAGTTGTTCCCAGTGCAGGTGGGGACCTTTGCATGGCAAGCATAAGCCTATTAAGAGAAGTGCCAGCTCTGCTATTTCAGCAGCCGTGTGAAGACCCCTTAAAAGTTTAATCCACAGGTCATGCCTGCTGTCCAGAAGCACTCAGTTCACAGCCTGAAGTCCCCTGAAGCCCATGGATGAACCAGAAGATGTCGATAATGTCTGTAGACAGGGGAAAAAAAAAAAAAAAAAAAGAAAAAAAAAGGTTTAATTGCATGCTGTGTGCTCTGTGTCCGGGAGATGGAGATGTTGGCCAACAGCACAAGGGAGAAGACTGCAAACCAGAGGTAGGCGTGAGTGGATGGGCCGAGAGCTGAGCAGGGAGACAGAGTGCCATGGGAGTGGGCAGCGGGTGAGAATCAAACCGCTGGGGCAGAACCATGCAGAGGGTAGAAAAGAAGAAGGCTACTGCGACCAAAATTGGGAGAAACACAAAAAAAGAGAGCTGTGAGTTAAATGACAGCATTATGAAAACCAGGGGATGTAGGCATGGATCCTCAGCACTTTTTAAGGGTGGGAATGAGTGGCATGCTGGGACAGGCTGCCACCCATCAGTGGTTCACCTGCAGCTCCTGGGTGACAGCACACACACACCTTGTGTTGTCCCAGACACTGGTCTCCAGTTCATTCAACTGGCCTCCACCCAGCACCTCCTCAATACATCTCAGGCACCTGTGCCTGGTGGCATCCTCTTGACTGCTGGTGGTGCTGGTTGTCCTGTGCTGGAGTGGTGGCAGGGCACCCCTGCCAAGGCTGTGCACCCGACCAGGACCCCTGGCTCAAAGGATCCCTCCAGAAGGACACATATCCTGCCACATTGGCTGTCCTGCCTCACCCGTACGTACAGAAGCATACCTAGGACATGAGCTCACATTTGTGTGGATCTGCCTGTGGTCCTGACATACTGCAATTCCTCTCCTGGCTTGTCAGCCTTGTGCAGTGGTAATTGGTCTGACCATGAGGTGTCTTGGTGTCAGCATGTGACCTCTATTATGTATGAAAATATATCATGTCTCCCCTAGCTGAGAAAAGACACATTACTAGACCCTGCCAGGGTCAGTGTGAGGGCTATTAAAAGTGAATGTTCATATATTCAGGTGGGGTACCATTGCACACATAGATGGCCACTGCCCTGCTGTAAAGACAGGGGGCAGGTAACTGAAAAACAAAATCGCAGAAGAAAAAACACTTAGTGAGACCGGTTAGGATTATTCAAGGGAATGGTGATAATTAATGACAATTAACTAGGCCAAAGTTGGAGTTTTCAGGAACAGCTGAGGGAGACAGAAGCTAAAGTCTCAGAAAGAATAGACCAAAGCCCACAGACTTTATGATTGAAAAGAGAAGCCTAATGCAGGAGGATGTGGGGTCCTTGAATAGGGTTTGAAAGGGCTCTTATTTAAACCCTGCAAAACCTGCAGATATGGTGAGAAAATCAAGACATAAAATCATGTATAAATATTTATTGTTTCTTTTAGTTCTAAATGTGTATTAAGCTAGTTTTTTTTTTGTTGTTTGTTTTGTTTTGTTTTTGTTTTTGTTTGCTTGTTTGTTTTTTGAGGAGCCTTGTGAAGCCCATGTTTCTGTTTGCTTAAATATTACATGCTCCTGAAGTCTTGAGTATCAATCAGAGTACCTAAATCAGAGTATCTAAAAGTTTAGAGCTATGGGGATAAAGTGCAGTTGAAGTGTTAGCAGTGGTCCTAAGGAATCTGTGTTACTCCTAAATGAAAATGTGATGTGGTAAGAAGAACACACGCCTAAGAAATGTCCCTGTGAAGCAATAAACCTATTTGTTGTTGCAACCTAATGAGACCAAGGTAAACTCAGAAGAGAAAGGCTGAGAGAAATTTTGGAGGATAAATTATTTATTTTTTTCCACTAAATGAGATCTTGGTCCAATTGAAGCAAAAAAGGACCTGTGCTACTTTCTAAGTGATGTTCTTCTTTTTGCTTCTTCAGGATTACACTTAACTATAGTTGATTAAAAAAAAAAAATTAAAATATCCCTTTCCCCAGAAAGCATTTAAGTTTGTGCTCAATGAAGACCTGCAGAGTCATTCCAAGTTTGGGTTTTTGGTCTGTCAAGGAAGATCAAGCATTTCCCTTCTGGGTGGAAGGAAACGTGTGTGGGTGCCACTGAATGCAGGGGTGGTTACCTGGAGCCAGTTCTGGATTCAGGTCTGCAGGAAAGCACACTCAGGACAGTGGCAAATGTCCTGGTGGGGGAGCTCTGGCAGAGCTGTTTCTGCCGATGGGCATTTATTCCAAGTTGTGCTTTCATTAAAAGTTTTGTTTAGAAAATATCTTAATAGCTTTGTATTTATTGAGTAATGGTGACACAGATATCTGTTCCAGGAAAAGCTCACTGGGATTAACTAAATAATTGGAATGGCAGAAAATGTATTTTCTTTCTGATTCAGCATGAGAAGACAGTAACTTTGCTAAGACTTGGCTTCTGCAATTCTTCTTTCTGATTCTAATACAAGCAGTGCTCTTTAATTTTTCAGCTGACAAAGAACAACTGAGCAGAGAGCTGCATTAGTGGGACGTGCACAGACATCAGTGGTCCATGGGTTTCAGTTCAATCATGATACTAAACTGACCCACAATAATTTGCAAAAAATTTCAGGATTAGTGTCTGAGGAAGTGAGGAAAGGAGGGCATCTGTCTCTGAAATAACATCGTGACTTAAACTGCTGTGAGTCTCTGTCTCTCCATGTATATCACTATGTAAACTAGTGAAATTACAGTGGTAGAAGAGAGAGCAAAAAAAAAAAAATCTCTGTTGCAGTAGTTCAGAGAAAATAAATTACATAGCAAGAAAGCTTTATTGTGACTTAAAAAAGACATTTTGCTGTTATAAAGCTCCAATATTAACTATGCAACAGGTGTGAGAAGTGAAAAAAGGGCTGATAAAAAATAAAAGCACTTGAAACTCAGGGCCAGTTTAGAAGCTTTTATGATTTTCTGTAATGTGACATAAACCATCTATTGTGTTTTTGCTGGGGAATTTGTAGCTGAGGTCAATGTAGCAGAAAATAAAAGTTGAGAAAACATAAACAGGGTTGTTGTGCTGGAATGAGAGTTGTATTTGAACCGGTCACAGAGGATGGTGCCTGTTCAAATTTACATAAAACAAATGCTAAAACATCTGTTAGACTGTATTCTAACATGTGTGTTGCTTCCTGTGGGCATAATTTTGCATTATCAGAAAACTTTTGTTTAGATATAAGAAGCTTTTGTTACTTGGACTTGTTAGCACAGATCTCCAGCAATGGTTTTCCCCCCACTCCCTGCTGCAGGCTGTCAGCACTGAAGAGTGGGGCTTGCTGTGGCACCAACACCGTTTTCCCAGTGTGGTTCTGGCTCTGCTGTGCTCGGCACAGATGGGTGGGTGGTGGGGATCTGGCTGGCCCTGACACCTCCGATCTGGAGGGCAGTCGGCCTCCTCCACCTAGCTCCGTGCTCAGGTGCGTGGCCCTGCTGAGACCTAGCCTGCAGTCTGACCTGGGTTTTCCTCGAGGAAAGCAAGAAACCCCAGAGACTGGTCCTCCCTTCCATGTTCCCCCTTCAGGGTTTGTCGCTCTGATGGCAGTAGTGCATGCAGAGCGCTGAGCATCTCCCAAGGTCATGTGTGTCGTTTGTTAAAAGTTTAGTGGAGAGATCACAGACAGCAAGGGCCAG